TGTAAGTATATAGAATAGAAATTAAATATTGTCGACTGCAATAAGATCATTTAAATCTATTCAGTTTTGCAGAAGATATCGGGATACCTATCGTGTATTGTGTAATCGCTCATATAAATACGTGTAGGTACCTAATAAATTTATTTTGAAAATTCCGATTTAATCACTATCTGTTCAATATGTAACTATACACATATCTGTTTAATTCAATCACAAAATATAGTACTTAATATACATACTGTAATTTGTAATGCCATGTACCCAGCATAGTAGGCCTGAAACTCATATTGTGGATGGAAACTAGCTTAAAAGAACTCATCATCAACCGTAATAACTATATAACCTTCGCCTTGCAAACGCCAATTTGATTGCTAATCAACCGTGAATTTACGTAAAAACTTATTACTTAATAACCCCAATTATTTGGGCCAAGTTCAGTGGCCACGATACGCTGCTCGATATTGTATATAGATAATAGACGACTATTACCTATTTTTAATTATTCACAGTTAATCAAAACAATAGAAATGAGAGACGGAACAACGCCTCCTCACACTACTAAATGCAACTTGTGTATTTTATTTTAGGTAGGAAAAACTTAAGTTTTAACCATATTTTAATGTTACAAAACATACAAATGTTCACCTTGTGGTGTCATCAGGTCAATTACCTAATAACAAAAGTCAATAACACTGAATTTATCCTTACAGATTTACCTAGTACCTAATGCTCAAGATATTCATTAAAGTACATTTTTAAAATCCTTATGAACGCTGTGGGTTTCTAAGATGGTACCTGTGAAATTGTCCGTGATCTCTGAGCTATCCGGGATAATGAAATCGTTACGAAATTTGTTCCAATAGTATAAGATTAACCTCATACACTAAGGAAGGAAACTTCATTCTGTGGTGTAATAAAGAACGCACTCGGCCCGGATGCTTGCAAATTTGGATCGACCTGTTAGGAGGATACATTTTCAATTTTTTATCCTCATGAGTAACTTTTAAATAGAAAGTGAAACAAATATATTGACATTGATCATGACACTCTGTACATGCTAACTATAAATGTACATTACACTGTACCTGCGTAAATCGATGTTTGGGAGAGAAAAGATTAATAGTTGTTTAATCGAATATCAGAATAGCATTACCTTTGTAACAAGAGAATAGTATTCTTGTCTGTGAAACAGAAGAAAAAAAAAGAAAAATAGAATGACTAAAATGAAATAAGGTAACTCGGTGTCACGTCGTGGGGTATTCACAAGAATGAATAGTTGTCAGGTAGGAACGCGTGGAGGTCGATGTAACTGTTTAAAGTTAGTTACTAACATTCCAATCAAGTCAATTTCATTCGTTCAATGCATGAAGTATTTAGGTAGAGCATATTTTCACTAGTAAAGATGAATAAGTAGCTTTGCTGTAATGTTAATGATGATGATTGTCTGGCATAGATGTAGCATACTATACGTGCCAGTATGGAAACGATCGATACATACGATTAAACGATTTAATTGAAACTGCATATTATTAGAATAATAATCATTGCGGAAGGAAGGATGACGGTACAGACAGACAGACCTTGCCACTTCCGAGCTTTAATCGGAAACAGCTGGATCAATTTCCGACCTTCTAATGTCCAATAATGAAATTAATATATGGATTAATTTGTAATACAGCGGCATGACAAGACTCGAAAGCAATGCCAGGTTAGTATCAGTTATGAAAAACTTGTTCACAAATACTTGTTTATATTGAAAAAGAAACAATCACCTCAATACTATGTTCCACACTATACGCATAAGTTCTTATATACTTTTTAATGTTTTAAATACAGAATACTTGATCTTGAACTCTTTTAAGCTAAAAATATACTTACACGTCAAGGTAGTTGAGTTATGCAGACTACTTCCTTGTGATCTTTAATCTTTTGATCTAAAATTTACTTTATGGTTGTTACTTATAACATTGTCAATAGAACGTGGAATATCCATTGGTCAAATTATTAAACATTTGAAAAATAATACCCTCATGATAATGATAAACGTTGTCCTTATCATTTCAGCAATCCACAGCCAAATATAAGCTTTATCTTAAACCACTAATTATTCTTTGGGAAGTAATTTCATGTCGAACAGAAATTTTTGTAATTACAACTTGAACTATTTTATGAATTCAAAAAATTAAAACTTCAGTGAAGAATCCTTATTTTCGCGATTGCTTTATAGGCTCAACGATCTATCATCAGCACTGATATGTCAGTTAGACAGCCGACCCACACATATGAAGTTATATTTCGTATAGCACAGGGACAGACAGGACAAAAATATAGTTACTCCATATATATCGGAGTGTCCCTTAACTTTTATGACAATATTATATATTTATTATTTATTACAGGTATTATTGTGTCCTTGCTTCCAGGACCATCTTGTATGAATATGAATTGGTTACAATAGAATAGATTCACGTCCCTCAAAGATAGAGCGTATCTGCATTATAAATATTTGTCTTGTCCATTATTGGAACATTAATATAATAATTAGACATAGATTCTCTGCAATTACGAACATATCTAAAAGCATGACTGTATATTATTTTGTGTCCAGAAACTAAGGAATCGCGCGGTTACGCCCACGCAAAGTACAGTTCCTTTCGTTACCCATGTGGAAAATCCCAAAAGTAAATTGCCTTCGTCATCATGAGGAACTTCTGTGCAATTTTTTAGATATATTTTATTATTCAGGACATTTCGTTATTAGTCATGAATCCCACAAGTCGCATTTTTTTTAAAAACACTTTAAAACCTACACCAATTATAAAGTAGTAGTTATATTATAGTTTGTAATGGGTTATGTAGAGCCAGTTGAAAACTCTATCGGTGGTAAAAACGTATATATATATATGATTTTTATAGATCTATCAAAAGAGTGTTAGGCAGAGTCACCAGTAATTAACAAAATAGAACACAATGGTCTTTATTTAAATAAACTTACAACACTTTTGAACAGTCATACTTTTTTAATCCACTCATTTGAAGTGTTTCAGCACAAGAGAAATGAGCAAGAAAATAACTACGATGATTTCTAGGAAGGACCGTGAGAAGATTGACCTGACATGGTATGCTGCTAACAATGGGGCCACTAGTTTCCATTAATAAGTCTCCTCGACTTATTAATGGTAACTAGTAGCCCCATAGTGGCTCGATTTATATACAGGATATAAATATTGCATAAACCGCCTTACTGATCTGATATTTAGGTATTAACTAGACGTTTCATCGGGGAGCCTTATGACTTAAATGATAAATAAAAAGAATATTTTTAACAATATTATATAGGTATTAATCGTTTATTGGATATGGTAGAATATTCTCTGTAGGTACTTACAAAGTTACACTGAAAGGCGTCAATTTTATAAAAAATATATACATATATTATGAAACTATAGATAGGTATGTGTTATTATAACTATAGGTACTGCCAGCACGTCCGCAACAAACTATGATTATTTATAAATCTTCGCAATTTTAGCTAGTAGGTATCCTAGCCCTAAAGTTTTAGTTCACTAGATAAAGTTTGAGTTCATTAGATCAGCTATTTCGTGACTATTGAAATCTGATTATTATGTAATAAAATCTTTAGAAAATAATAAGTTACATTCCGTAGATTATTTCACAGAAGATTGTTGTATCGTGCACGAAGTCTAAAAGGTTTCATAGTCCCTAGAAGTGTATAATTATGCATTGCATGCAAAGTTTTTCTTGCGGCCTCCCGCAGATATTGGATAATTCATATGCACCACCTTGTCAATACGATGTCAAGGCAAAAATTGGATGGTAATATGGGAAATTGTTATCGTGTTTAATGACGCATTAATTACACAATTGTAGGTTACCAATTAATTAAGTAGCTAGTGTTAAAAGTCGAATTACTCGTTAATTTATAAATAACTAGTATCCGGTCCGGAGTTCGCCCGTTTAAATTCAATATAAGTACATGTCACCCCTATCATGCCTGTTTATATACAGATTTTTTATTACAAGTGCAGTCACAGGGATGAAAGGGGATTGTTAGTAATGTGGACTGATGACCCTAATGCTAACAATATACTATCAGTCATGTCGGGTTGACCTTTGTAATAAATTCCTGGTGAATTTGCCTTCACCATGACTTCACCTTCATTTTATCATCATCCTCTAATGTTTCGCCTGTGGTATTGTAAGCACAATCGTATGCACTATTTTATTATCATCCATTAAAATAAATGGAGCAACAGTTTGCAATATCCTTATATAAATTTAAACGGAAGCGAATACATAGGTACATTCATATGGTACCAAGCAACTTATACGTGCAAATATATATATATTTGCACGTATAAGTTGCTTGTGGTGTAGGTGTAGGTTGGCCATATGGCCAACCTACACCTACACCACAAGTACCAACCTACATCATAGATGTAATAAATATAAAAATATAATGTAAAAAATACTCAATTTGAACTGATTCGTTATTAAACTCATGTCTCTTGGTAACTATTCAAAATACTTTTAACTTATTTTGGTAACAGTTGTCCGCCCGGCCTTGCCCAGGCGCTCATTTTTTTTTCAGAACATTGTATTTTATAGAAATTCTGTAATAATGTAGCTTACAACCTGTGAACTTCTCAAATCTGCGTAGTGCTTACAGTATTTGCTTTCCTTATAAGAAACTCGGCGCTCTCTTTATAATAACTCAGTTGACTTCTTTACATTGTATAAAACAAAGTCGACGCCGCGGTATGTTCGGTTATATCTTTTAAATTACACAACAGATTTTAATGCAGTTTTTAGCTATAGATAAAGTTATTCAAGAAGAAGGTGTATATGTACTATAGAACAAGTTGAGAAATTCAATGATTTATAATGCATCCGTGCTAAGCCGGGACAGGTCGCTAGTTTAATTTGCTACAATTTACAAGGATTCGGACACAAGGAAAATGGAAAAAATTAAACAATAATACTGTATAGGTAGATTTAATGGTTATTAATACAAATATGATTATAATTCGGTCATAGATTATTGTATATAACAGAATAAAAAACTTTATAATATCATAGTATAATACGTACAATTAAATTAAAAATTATTTATATAAAATCAATGGACATAATCTTTTTTTATGAACAAGAATTAAGTAAACAAAATGAACGTAACCATAGAGACAAGCATGTGCGTAGCTTTTTTTTTCGGACTATTCTAATGGTGTTGGCCGCAATTGGCCTTTACAGCTTCACCGGACGATAGGGGGCGAGTGCAGATGGCACTCCAAACCCGCGGAAGGACTTATGGAGCGGCTGAAGGCCAACTCCCGCCTGACGGATACGACTTTAGTCTGAGGGCACCACTAGGGGTTCGAACCTCGGGTCGGGCCGTCATAATATCGATCCCCGTTTGAATTGGATGGGGAATCGATCGGAGGTGGTAGTAGATGCGTAGCATTATCTGATTTTTGTAGGATATAATCTCACACAAACTTGTACAACAATAAAAATGTCATCGTATCAAGATCAAATATTACGATGAATCTATGTGCTTTGGCATCCCTGCCAGATAGTATCAAACCTCTATTGAAGTTGTTTGCTAATGTACAATTATATCTCTAACGAAAAATAATACATCAACATACAGAATAAAATACATGATACATTAAAATTATATAAAGCAATATCTCGCAAAAGCAGATTAATTAAAAAATTAAATGTATATGGTATATAGTAGAATCTTGATCCTTTTATTCAATTATACGAAGAACATACGACTTAATTGCAGTATGCTGTCCATAACATGCAAACGCTGTGGACGCCTCTCTAATTCATTGTTATTATATCGCTCACCACTGTAAATGAGAAAAAATAACTTTAAATCTATTGATATAGGTACGATTTTTCAATGATTACGTAACAGTTACGATTTTCAACCTATGAAGATCGCCAGCTTGTTTAATATTCGTATAACAGTTGTTGTAATTCGGTCTCAAACAGGTTAGTAAACAGCCGTTATATTGTCAGCAAAGTGTGGTAGTAACTTAGGCTGACTGAATAAGCAATAGAAATAAACTTAATTCTTTATTCACAGAACTCTAATACAGGCATTTTTAATATTATTTTTTTATTTAACCACTTATTCGAAAAGCAGACTGAGCACAAGAATGAGCAAAAAACTTGCATATGGTTAATTTAAAAAATATATACAATTTTATAAGACTTTTTAGAAGAGTTTATAAGATTTTGTGTGAATACTGCAGACCAGTTTCTATGAATATACCGATTTGTCAAATTTCCACTTTATTACTTGATGAAAGTTATTTTCGACTTGATAAATCATTTGAGGTTAGTCAGTCACCGATCAGTTAGGTCAAGATTAAAATATCCATAGGAATTGTAATCTATGGATGTAAGGACGAGTTATAAAGTGGTTATTCATAAAATCCATACGTACTGTGTGAGAGATTTCGCACGGAGGCACGCCAAATGAGCGTAGTAAGTCGGCGTGGGGTAGGACACGGCCCGCATACAGCGCGAGTACAAGTGACATAAGTAGTATGTCAGTTGCTCGACTTCGTCGGAGGGGATCTTTCCATCATTACACACTGCGTGATAGCGGGTCGGACGGGCTGTGCCCTTTATAGCCTGGTGAGATACCTGGAAAATAAAGTTAGCAAATCCATAGAGCAAATGTAAATTGAAATCACGCCATACGTGGAGTACGATACCTAATAAATTATTTTTTACTCCTGTGATATTAAAGAATATATCTATATATTAGTAGATTGGCGTACCCACCTATGGTAATGGTATAGTAGAACACCGGTAATAGAGATAGTATGAGTATGAAGTTAGGCCACTTCATTACCAGCGGAGGCCGAATGGCGTTTATCAAAAAGAACTTGCTTCTTATATATAGTACTCTTAATATAAGCTTAATATAATATTCAACATTAAACTTCCAAGCTACATCTAACTCTATTTAATAAAAAGTACGTGGACAGACGACTGGTTGCCATTTTAATTACATAAACAATGGTAACATATATATTTAAGTAATACTCACCAAATAAAAGTCCAATTCAGTTGCATGAACAATTTCTTTGTCAACCACTGTGCCAGGCTCCACGTTTTGGGGGCTATTTGGTACAAACAATCTGAAAAGAATAAAAATCTATAAGTTACTAACAGCCCGCTTTATTATTTCTAGCTGGGCAATGAAAGCACTGCACCAAAATTACGTAACATCAATTGTTTAGCAAATCCTATTTGGTTACATACCGACAGCAATGCCACCTCTACCGGTTCTCATTTGTGTTGTGCAAACTGTTAACCCGTTGAAATATACACACAAAATTTAATCAAAATCGGCCCTGCTGTTTAGGAGAGGTTTGATGTCAACGCTCACAAATTATGTATATTCAAATACAAAGTGTATTAGAGTAGACTGTAAGGTTTGATTCATATGACGTATATTATTAATTAATATTTTATTAAATAGAATTAACAGTTACTTTTTGTACTATTTACTTGATCCAACAACGATACATCAAAGACAGAATCTCATACAATGGTTACCTCGTGTGATGTCGTTTCTGAACGAGTAAAAATAGTACTTCAGGCTTCATATTTGGATTTCCAGTCATCCTCTGATATGCATTGTGTACTGCTGTGAGCTCACTAGCCATCACCTGGAAATTTTAATAAATAAATCAAACATGTTCAATAATACCTTACCACACATACCTTTAAATATTTACAGCAACACAACTAACCAATTTAATTTCCATTACATGTTACAAGACAGCTAGTTACTGATACCTATAGCACAGGTTTTTGTTATCAGAGTCCTCATATTATATTACGCAAATTTCTACCATTTGGTTACCCAGAACTAACTACAATTGTTATATATTGCTTCTTTTTAAATGTTATAAGTTAGATAAATAAAATGCAAAAATATAATTATTATATTAAAATTAGGCGTACCAGGCCGAACACAATTTTGAATAAAGTAATTTCTGGCATAGCTTTAACTACTTTATTAAATACCCGACAGAGATTGTCATGTCTTAGTGAATGAGCGAGCTACCAAACGCGCAAAGTTGAAATAGGTTTTCACATTTTTCCATTTTGTACCCAATATTCCTAGTAAGAAACTTCTACAATATACAAAAAAATACGAAATTTTTATCGATTTCGTATTTCTATCCCACATTTTATAATGTTTAGAAAAATGCCTTATTTTTTATTAGTACCTGTGCAAACTGTCCCTCTGAAACACCATCGCGGAAAACATATATCTTTCTAGGCAACTTGTTCTGCTTTTGTTTGTATACCTTCAGATGATCCACCATCATATCTTCAAACTGCATAATCATTTCTCGCTGTAAGGCACAAATTTTACCCTCGTATTTAGTGTAATCATTTAAAATATTATTCCAACAAAAATGTTATTCACAAATTACTAGCAATGTGCCTTGTTAGGTTAACCTCCACGCGGATCCCCCTGGAAATCATCGTGATAAATTCTTGGAGAGTTTGTCACGATGGGCTAACTGAGCTGACCTTATCTTATCATCCTCCACTGGTGCCCCAGCAGCGTAAATTTAATTTATTATCATCAGTATATTTATTCATTATCATCCAAGAATAAAAAATCTTATAAAAGGATATAAAAAAAAACGAGCCCTCGTTTAATTTTGACAACTGACTGAACATATCGCAAGCTATAACATTAAGAATAATTTACTTCAATCGAAAATATATATTAACTTGCAATAAAGACTACCAAATAAATCAATTAAGAAAATTAGTACCACTAAACCTAAAAATAAAGAAAAAATTCTCATCTGAAATTGGTAGTCGTTATCATTCGGTAAAGATATAATATACGCCAATACATGATTCCTACTAAGGTTGAGAAACACTTCTCTAAACTATAGGCTTTTCACCATTCCATAATAAAAAAACTTATTTTACCTAACATATAAATGGATTACAATAAAATTAATTATATATATTAACTGTAATGTTTTAGTCATTTATTTTATGTGTCTAAAACATTACAGTTAAGATTATATATAGACATTATATCTATCTAAAACATAATCGTCAGTAATTGGGTTTAGCGGTCTCACTGTCACCAATATCAGGTGAACCTCCACCCGGTCTCCTCTGAGAATCATTGCACTTAATTCGTGGTGAATTTAGCCACAACGGACTGACTGACCTAACTACATTCTCATTATATCATCCTCCACTGGAGTCCCACCAGCGTATACCGTAATATTAGAGGGCATCATTCATCAACAACAATAAAAAAAAACCTTACCTTTGGAGTTTGAATACTCAATTCAATATTGTATTGATAACACTTCGGATCTATTGAGGCTGTCACAGCAGCAATACTTGGTACGGACGACTGAAATAATAAAGAACTCCGTTTTACTCATTCTACTTGTTAACCAATTTCAGTTAAAAAGTATCTTATATTATAATCCAGGTTATGATCTATCTGTGTACCAAACCAATTTTATTCGAATATGTCTAGTAGTTTTTGCGTGAAAGAGTAGAAAATATTGAAGCAATCCTCTCAAACTACAACATTTTGAATATTAATTTCAATTAGAAGGATTCAAAATTTAATCAGTTGATAAATGATTATTGTATTATATGCCATAAAACTAATAATTTTATGTAACAATAAGTAACTACTTTAAACCGATAAATAAATTGTCACAATCCCAGCACATACTGTAGGTAAATTTATTTATAATAATTAATAAATAAATTTACCTACAGTATGTGCTATATCACGCCCTTAACAAAATCATGTTGATTCTGTAATTTTCACAGTCAGTGAAATATTAGCCAGGTAAATAGCAGATGCTAACCAATTCAATATTAAACCAGGTAATCTTTAACAGCTTTCTTTTTTCAAGAGCGTAGTGACCGGAATGGAAAGATCGTAACTTCAAATATGAATGCCGTATGAAAATAAAAAATATAATCTACCTGATCGGGTGAAGGATGTGTAACGTCAGCACCGACTACCATAACATCACCGCCGCTCAAACATCGAGGTAAGGAGCTGGTGTCTAGCGCGTGGTTAATACCCATCAATTTAGAATTGACCTAACAACAATTACAAATGATTATTAAAATACCAAACCATTATCTAAAATATAAAAGACAAATATGATTAATTAAATATTTAAGATCCCGAGAAAACCGTATGAATATAAAATCGGTATTTTTTAAATTATTGATATTTTATTATATGCAGAAAATAATAAAAATGGTACAGTTACCATACCTTTAGAAGTATATTGCGTGCAGTTTGCGCGTTCATACGACGATTCATTGTGAATTCTTTTACGCACTGCGTCAGAATACCAACTTCTCTTTCCGCTGTTCTCTTGACCTAATAAAAAACATTACTTTATTTAAATATTCATGATTATAGAGTTTATAGATAGACGACTGGCTATCTGAGCTGGTCTAGCGGTTTCCGCTACCGCCTTACTTCCGATGATTGTCGAATGTATTCTATTCTATTCTCACAAATTTGTATTTACAACTGAATCTGTATTTTTGTAAACATGTACAAGCTTATTTGAAAAGAGTAAGAGTAAGTTTCTTGTCTGTTCTTCTTAGCTCGAATGCACTCCGAACTGATGGTAGATTTTGACATATCATAAGAGTGTAATAGACCTACATGAATAAAGATATTTTTTGATTTTGCATTTTGAATATCGTTCCTCTTTTAAAGTTAAGAAATACAACTAAATGGAAAATTTGACAGAATAATTATAAATCACCTTATGATATAAATCACGCGCACGTGTTCCGACAATCACAAATAGGAATTTAATTCCCTTTTTCAAAGCAGTGACAAAGATATATTGCAAATCTCTCATTGTTCCATTGAATTGTGTCATCTCAGGTCTTGAGGCTGTCATTCCCATTTCTCCTGCTACTTTCATCATCTGCACAAAAATATAAAGAAGGTAAAGGCAGTCAGTCTCGTACATTAAAGGATATTAATATCTTTAATTTCTACGTATGATAATTTGTATAAGTTGGTATTTTAACCCCGCCTGCGCGATAGTAGGTGTGACATAACATATGATACAAATAGGATAAAAATGCTTGATATTAATGTGATATTTCCTACTCGAATTAATATAAAATCTGAACAATCTGCTTTTTTTCACGAGGAAGAGGAAGGAATACTCTATGGACCAGGCATGGCGATTAGCAGTTGATATTTTAAAGTTTCTAACATACAAATATGACAATCAGACTAAGTTTGCCTATAGAATAGAAAGTTACTAGTTTTACAGTTAAAACTTAAAAAATAAAATATCCAATGTTTACATTTTCTAAACCAGCAGGCGATGTTACAGACAAAAAAGTAAATAGAAAACACTCACCAAACTTATTACGTTCTGGAAATTTTATATTTATCTGTCCAATATTGTTAATAAATGATAAAAAACTTGAAGCTCTAAATATTTACTGGTCGTAGAAAAAAAATCCTAAAATATCTACTGCGATGAAGCTTAAAGGATATTAATATCTTTAATTTCTACGTATGATAATTTGAACTCAGTAGGTGTGACATCTGATACTAAAAATGCTTGATATTTCGAATTAATATAAAAATCTCTTTTTTTTAATGTATTGGCATAGCAAACAAGTCTACATACAAATATGAGACCATTTGTTAAAACTTAAAAAATAAAATTTGACAGACAAAAAAGTAAATAGAAAACACTCACCAAACTTATTACGCGCCAATTTTTTCCAAGAACTCGCTTTCAAGAGACCATTTGTTTGCCAAGCGCCTTTTCTGCATCGTAATAATATAATAACTTTTATTAATTAGAGCAAGAGACCTCGTACTAACATATAAACCATTAGGTACATAGTCACATTACTACTATTAAGATGTGTTTTTATCTACACATATACATAAAATTGGAGTGTCTGTATGTAACATTGAAATAACCGTCTTTTACTACAATGCATACGAATATAAATGCGTGTTTAAATAATTCAAAGGTTAAATTTTTCAATGTATCAAGAACAAAGTACTCTATAGTGCTCATATATGGTAGATTAGTTGTAACGGCTATACCAAGCCAAAACTCATGAATCAAAGTGTAAATTTGAAAAAAAAAATGTTGGATCATTCCACCATTTTTTTTTTTCAAATTTACACCACACATGCGTTGTCTATGCGACGCAATAATTTTCACAATTATGTCTTCTCTCTTAATAAAATTAAAAAAATACTAAATGATTGTGTACTGTACTATGCTGTTTCATTAAGATTTCAATAAGTATGTAATTGGTAGATCACACAGGGTTCCAATAGGAAACAGGAGATCTTGGATCTAATCAAGTTGGCTACCTCTGACTTACAACGACGTGAATCGTTAACTTGTTTGCCATTCCAATTAGATTAAAAAAAAACATTGCAAAGTATTATAGATATAAAACAATTTTCTATTTTACAGTACTTTTGAAAAAATGTTTAGTTTCACCAGCTCAGTTAAAATGAAAGTCAGTTAGTTTTTCAGCTTTTTCCTTTACGGCTAACTTTTGTACATAGAATATTTGCGGAATAAAAATATATGGCTTTCTTGAAATAGCCTATGCCCAGAGAAAACGTCGACAGGTAGCTTACTCCAAAATCTAAATGGGTGGAATGAATTAGCTCTAAAATAGACTTATCTACTTGATGGCCAGCGTTATGCTTTCAACAATAACCCTACTTATCATTGCTCGTGGTTGTACCTCTCCTCTAATTTTTACACCGTGTGGGTTTGAAGTGTAAACACACACAATGTTAAAAGGAGCAATACATATTTATTGTACAGTGTAAATAAATTTTTATCATACGAACCTTGGCGTTAATGATCTTCCAGGTGCTACCTCTAATTGAGGTGGTGCAAGGATCTTGGCGTCCACTAAATGGAATTGATCATCTATTGTTAAACCAAATTTCTTGAAATTTTCATTTTTTGGGTAATTCATCTGTAATAAAAATATAACATAGTAACACAAACATCATTAAGTTTTTGAATTGTTTGGCATTTTTCATCTTTCACTCTTCCCTAGCAACCATCGCCAATATCGTCAAATATTTATTATGCATGTTACATTTCATAAAATATCTAAACCTTTTTGGTTGGTAACCTTATCTATATTTATTAATATTCGCGAGTACAATAATGTTGCACGACAATGAGCAATAGGTGGTCGCTTTTTTTCTCTGTCAGTGTCTTTGGTGCTATTAATGGAGATTAGTGGTCTCACAGATTCATCGCCGTGATCCCCTTTCGAAACCATACTGGTTAACTTGCTACAGTAGACGAACTGTCGACTGCATGGTCACACCATTCCATTATTATCCAAAAAACGATTATATAATTTTACTCACACTTCTTATGACTTCTTCAATTTTGCGTTTTCGGTCACTTGGTGCGGTAGCCGCCTCTTTTACCATAGTCGCTAACTGTTTCTCTGTTAGCTGTTTGTTGTTCGCCTTAAAACATAGTATCAAAAATTTTTAATAAAATTATATCGGACGGTTACAATTGTTACAAGGTATTAAAATTTAAAAATTATATATTTTACACACTACTTAATATTGGCATTGCAACTTACATAATGGCATAAAGGCAAATAATCATGTATTAAAATTAACCCATATTATATTTTTCATAGTTACCTGTCCATATGATACCTCCAGTAACTCCATTGGATAATAAATCGTCTTACTCTTCGATCCTACCCAAACACAATTGAGGTTTGGATATTGGAGTCTAAAATCATAATATATAGTTAGTAAAAGAATATTTTCTTAAACTTACCTAAAAAAAGAGGAGATTGTCTATTTGGTTTTATTTTTTATGTTCGTTTATATGATATACGTCCAGATTAGTTCCACAGAAATTTCATCAATATCGGTTCGGTGCAGCTTACGATCGCTAGAATAATCCCATATAAATCCCAATGGCTACCTTATGTAATATGGCTTATATTAAAATTTAAATTTAAAATGAAATTGTTAATGAAACTGAAACGAAATCGAAATATAAATTTAAAATATATTACATGTTTTGAATTTATATTTCGAATTCGTTTATATTTCAAGAAAAACATACTAGTGTGAATCCTTGATATTAGTTTTAAACATATTAGTGTGAAACATTGAGTTTAATTAGTTATTGTAGAAAATTTTCATAGCAACACATTTTGTATGGAGATGAGGAGAGGAGGACATGGTCGAGGGAATACATCTCTAAACCTATTAAACTATATTATTTAATGTACATTATTCCAAAATAACATATGTAGTGTTTACATATTTATATAATAAAAAACACAAAATCATAAGGACCCAACTAAAGCCGGAGCAGACCACTAGTAACATAAAAACAAGTCGATAATAAATTATGTACCTGACTCCCTTTATCTTAGTAAAGAAATCAGCAACCGTCATTCTTGTATTTCTTCCTGAGTTCGGATCGGTGTATTCAAAAGTCTCCTCATTAGCGGGTCCCACGGTGCCGTTGCATACGAACTCACGCTTCTGTCCGCCGGCTGTGGTGTCCCCACCTATTGCAGCTACCACCTTCAGTAAAAAATTATTACATATGTAAAGAATGTTATACTACAGTAGGCACCGTCATCTAGTCCCAAACTAAGCAGAATTTTTACCATGAATATGGTAAACATACTCAATTACTGCTCTTATTTATAAACATATACATTATATGTAACGATGGAGGATTGTTGGTAATAAGGACTAGTGGCCTATTATTTTGGCCTGTCGAGATTTCTTTGTCCTGTCCTTCCTAGTAAAGTAAGATATTGTTATTGTCTTGCTAAAAGTGAAAAAGGTTTGACCGATTTAATTTCTTTGTTTTTTTTACCTGAAATATAACGTTAATCAAATATAGATCAGTTAATTTTACCTTGTATAATTAATTGTATTTCCTATGGAAAGACATTTACATATTTTAAATAAAATCACAAAACTAAAAACTTAATTTGGATACATATACAAGAATTACAATATTTAAAGTACGTATCTATTACATACACAAATTATGTGATGCCTTAATGCAGTACATTATTAAACATTATGTATATTTAAAAAAACCCACCTTTAGGCCACGAATGAAATCTTTGAATGGCGACACAGCCCAATTTCTCTGCATCAAATTTTGATTTGGATTTAAACCAAAGTCCTTCATGAATGCTGTTAGAAGGGGTTGGCTTTTAGGGAACCCTTTATGGACAACTGAAATAAAGCAAAGTATATTGATCACGTTAATTAATTTTAATAACATATCAAAAACTACCAGTACCTATATGATGGTTAAAATATGGGCAAACAATTCAACCTCGGTATAAAAAGGATAATGTTTAAATAGGCATAATATACTAGCTGTACTCGCGCCTTCGTCCGTGTGGAATTTAACATTATTTTTCTAAAATAAAAGTAGCCATACTCCTCATCATAGCTGGGCATTTACTCGTTAATCCGTCGTTTCGTATCTGTGTTACGTATTTCTGCCGCCATGTAAGGTATGTTTCGATTGACTAAGGTGACTAAGGTAGACAAATTACAGTTATAGAGGTTTGACATCTTAGTTCTCCAGAATCGCAACGCATAAGTGGCGGTGTCGCATGACTATGTAATATTTGTGGTACTATACACGTAAAAAGGCGAAGGATACCGCTTACCACCGACGGGGCGTCAAATTGTTTGCTATTCTAAATAAATAAAAAATCTACATTGCCATTCAGACAAACAACAAGAATGAGTTCCATCTGCGATGTAGTATTCGATGATAACAAAAGTGATGCCTATAAAGCACGGACGCCGTAATCCAACAGGAGCCGTAGACTTGTTAATAGACTCATTAGATTATCAAATTATTAATAACTAGCCGGAAATAAAATAAATAACATCTAAAAAAGCAGCCTAAGTTACTCCTTATAACTTTAGCTATCTGCGAGTGAAAGACCGTCACAATCGGGCCAGCTGTATCAGAGATTAACAAGAACCAACAAAATACAATTAATTTTACTATTAATTTTCATATGTAAGTATCGTATATACTTTCATATGCATTTAGTAAAAATATACACTATGTCAGTCTGCCCAATATAGGATACATGCAACGTCACATCCGAATGCTAGCCACTCGCCGCAAACTCCAATCTTTTGAAACTGTCGTTTCAAGTATTTCCAACAAATTCCCTTTAATTAGTGACGAAAATACAACACTCACTCGATATTTCTACAAACGCTAACAAACCTACACAAATCAAATCGAATTTATTTTACTCAATGATATTTGCCATATGCTCAATTGCCACACAGTCATTTTATGTTTACATACCGTCTATATTCACAAAAGGTCTGCTGGTAAATATAGCGGATTGGAACAATCCAGTCCACATCTCCAAGCCATCGGACAGATCCACTGGGTTGAGGGGGCGCTTGTAAAACTGACGGCCGCTCTGATGTAAAACAGAAAATAAAAATACATGATGAACAGATCGTTATATAAACATTAAAGACAATTTATGTTTAAAAATAAATGAGAGAGGAGCACCTAGCAGTATGTGGGAGTCAAGTGTTATGTACACCACGACGCCGATAGTAGACAATCTATAATACTATGTTATAAATAAATATGTTTAATACTATCTACAGGATATAACGGAAAGGGTATATCAATACGAAAAGCACGGAGCTTGGCCATGGTTATAAACCACCTCCGATGGTTTTTTAAAGTATAACTAGTAATAACCACTTAAAATGCACTTACTACCACGACTATATCAAAAACTAATTTAGAATTACGTTACTTTGCACAACACTAGTTACTATTTCAACTTGTTATTGTTTTGTGGTAAAATTCTTTTTAAAATAATTACTTTAAGTAATATTGAATATTACGAAATACACTGTAGAAGCTGTGAATTTATGTGTTGTGCGTGAGCTGTATCGTAGGTGTTTTATCGCCGGCTGACTTCTTTTTGTGGGGATACATAAAGAATACAAGTGGATAGTAAAAATACGAGTAGTGTAGTGGTTGTTGTTGTGTAGTGACGTGTACAATATCAGAGGAAATGATGGTGTGCATCGTACAGCCTTATATATGGCAGCAGGCTAGGTCACTTTGAACCCTTCCAGTAAAACAAAGGTCAGTAAATCTACTTACCTACTTACTAACATTAATTTGTGCAATAATCAAAGTTACATCAAAATCCGTTCGTGAAACTGTGAATTCGTGAAACTTCGTGAAAAAGTAACAAACATCCATCCATACTCATAATTATAAACTTTCGCGTTTATAATATTAGTAAAATTATGCATAATTATTATCAAATTGTGAACTATATTATACCATTAAGTTATTAAAAAGTATAAATTAGCCCAGTAATACGGTTATGAATATTATCACAATATGGCAGATAAAAATGTATATTTAGCCCTACACTCAAAGTTGATGTCATATAGACAGATAATCTCGCTTTCTCATGTTATACTCATAACATATCATGCAAAAAGGGGGTTCCCTGAATTAATTATAGATAATGCTTAATACTACCAGAAGCACAAATTATTAATAGTGGTGTCATTATGATTATTAAGATACTAATAATTACCTATGATTAATTCAGGGATTGGATTAGTGAAATGGCAGAAATAATACCTTGACATATGACTCCAAGGTCCCTTGTCTCAGTATCACGTCCACACATTGTATTGCTTCAGAGGGCGGGTTCAAAGATGTACCACCAGTCTTCATGTACCTGAAATACATATATTAAATATGTGTATGTGATATTTTTTACTTTCTGTTATCATTATAAGAACTAAGCCCAACACATATAGCTAGAGGCACTGTAAAAAGTCTCCTGCGTGATTACTCTAGTCCCACCTATTTTAGCAGCTTGCTTCGTAAGGGTTACACCCTAAACCGATGAAGCAGGTCGTAAAGGTTATGTCGTAAAATTAAAGAATAATAATGTTGACATCTTAGATCTCTGAAATTAGTCAATTTTTCATGATTAAACAGCAGGTTATTAGTTTATCTGATCTGATTCTAATGTTAATGAAGTTTGATATGCGAAAACGAAATATTAACTTTAACCTATTATTCTAAACAGAATTTTCAGAATTTCAGAATTGTCAGTATCACTGTGACAAAACTTACACACAAAGGTAAACAAAGCAATGTTACTTACTGTATTATTTTATCCAGATCGACCACTCCTGTATGTTTGAAGGACACCTCAAATGGAACCTTTTTTCCATTATTATCAGTTACTTCCACCTAAAATATAATAAAAGTTTATTAAAACATAATAGTAGGTATATATAGGTAAATAGTAAATGCCTAGTTTTACGATAGGAGGATAGGATCAGTGTTATTATTAAAAATATCATAGAGATGATAATAATATTACTAGAAAATTTTTAAGACATACAACAACATAAATTAGCGATCTACTTATAATAATGCATCATCTTTATAAGTAACCATCATATAATATGTAATATGCTTCATATAGTTATAAATACATATACATCAATATTTGTCTGTTAGTAAAGACATTAGAATAATAATCTATTCATAAATATTAATGTACTGATCCAGTTTGTACATGGAGAACTTCTTGAACTATCTTGGTTCTTTGTAAAAATCTATATTAATCGTAACTTATCAAATTTAATATCGAATAGTTTAACATACCTTAATAATTAAACGTTCATTCTCCGGTACCTCTGAAAACGGATTCAAGGTATAACAATTCTTCATTTGATCAAATGCAACAATTGCCTTTGGGAATCGCAAATTTTTGGCCATTATGAATGCTTTGGGTATCAATTTTTTCACTTTATCTGGTCTAAATGTCACATCATAGCGGTGCTGAAAAGAAGATATTTTTCAAACATCGCCAATTTTAACATTGATTATCGCATAATATAAAATATGTAGTTGTATTACTCACAATTTTGCGAGGTTCGATATTCATTTTGAGATAGTTTGTCAACACTTTAGTTGATTGATACTTCGCTTGTGGCGCATTAGTAATAATTTTATGCGGTATTCTAAAACAACTTTGAAAAGCTGGTCCGGCTCCTGTAGTTGAGGCGTATGGAGTCTGTTCCACGGGTCTTTGTGGTTTACTTGTGCGTTCTGAGTGTTGTATAGGTGGTCGTGACGATGGCTGCGTAGGCTGTTGCTGTCTCCATGTTCCACCATAACCCGAGGAGCTCTGCTGGCTGCTTTGAGGTTGTAATTGAGGTTTACTCCATCCTGAAGAAGCTTGAGATTTCTGTGAACTTGCAAAGGGTACTTCAGAGACTGATGGCGATGGCAAGTCCTGCGCTATCACTGGAACTTCTGCCGTTGCTGTTGCTGTTGCTGTTGATGTCGATATAGTAATAGGAATGGGTACAAAATTTTTCTTTTTTTTTCGTGGATTCCGTTTTTTACCACCTCCCAAACCTAATCCTAAACCTGTATCCTCATCAGGTCCGGACGGTTTGATTTCCTCCTCTGATGGTTTACCAGAAGTTGGTGGTTGGCTCAACGTTAATGAACTCATACTTTTTTCTAGTTCCCCAGTCATTTTCTGATCTTTACTACCTACAAAATAAAGTGAACATTTTGATAAAATAACAATTTATCAAGTTTTATGTATGTTTTATTTGATGTAGCAATATGAATCCGAAAAAATCTATTTACGAAGATTTAACAAACTGTAAAAAAACTACCATGAACACTAACTAAATTTCAGATTAGGTTCCTTAGTTAGATCGTAAATTCCTAGTGATTTTTATAATATAGGCACAGGCAATCCACTACATTTTAAAATCTGTACAAGAACTTCAACATCTTACTATATAAAGAAGTAACTAATACATTATGAGATGGCACATATATGAATTTTAGTTGATACTCTGTAACATTTATGGTTCTTCTTATGTAATTAAAATTAAAACTGGCAACCACCTGATGGTAAGTGGTTACCTATCTACAACAGCGGCGCAATAACATAATTACACACAATTTTCATAAAGTCTACCTTGGTGATGCAGTAATTCCATATATGATATATATTATACCAGAACATATTAGATCTATAAAACAATGGTTACCAGTTTCAGTTAAAGATGCTGCAGTTTCTTGTGTGGATTTCTTTTTACGTGGATTACGTTTTTTACCCCCGCCTAAACCAATATCATTATCTTCTTCAGGTTCGGTTGGTTTGGTTGTTGTCTCCACTTCCATTGTACTGGTAGACGTAGATGGTACGTCAGAGGTAGAAAGAGCTTCAGTTGTGGATACGTCTTCTGTCTCCTTATTCTTCTTGTCTCCTTTTTTCTTTCCTGCAAAATTAAATATTTTAAAGTTTATTTTTATGAAATGAAACAAATTGTTTATTTGTAATAGAATAAGACATAATAACACAATACAAGCTCAAAGATGATAATAAATAAAAAGTTCAAAGTGAATTAAAAAATTTACAAAATTCACAGGCTTGACTTGTCTATTACTCACCTCCTCGCCCCATTTTTATTATTTAGTATATTCCAAGGAAATATATAAGATCTGAAAAATATAAAAACCAATATTTAATTTAGTATATCACCCGTAATGTTGATTTTAACAATTATTACTAACATTCAGATATTAATTTTAGTACAACTCTTTCTATACCTCAGAGAATGAAAATATAAATTCAAGACTAAGTTTTACACAGCACCTTACTTATGTTGGTTTTGAGTTTAATGCCTGGTTTATAATGATTTATAATGATTGCCCAGTATGTATAACACAAGTTCTGTTTAGCTTAGGACTAGAAGTAGTGTGTGAATCGTCTTGATATATTATTGTATATTACAACATAAATTTTACACAAAATTACATAATAATAATAACCTAAAACGATTTACACAGTCCAATCTAGTTCCAAACTAAGCATAGTTGAATATGGTTACTAAACACTGATAAAATTACACGTTTTTTGTAAATAGGACATGTAATATACACAAAAATACTCAAACCATTATAAACAACTATTAATGAATGCAAATGTTAATATATAATACAATAAATCAATCTTGCAACAATCAGAAGTTTTAATTTAAATTTTATATTTATAATATTTTATATTTCCTAATCAAAATTATTTATATGCCAAACACTGTCTTTTGCACAATTACATTTAATCATTTGCAGGTTAAAATACCAACACTTAATTAAAACTAGTATATTCATAGATACTATATGTGCCTACGATTTCACCCGCGGCAAATTTCAATATAAAATATAGCCTCCTAGCCGTGCCCGTGACTTCATCCATGTGGAATAGACAACGTATGAGGAATTTCCATTTCATCTCATAAACCTCTAAACGTCATACTTATTTATTTATTCAAAATAAAACAACAGTCTAAAAAGTAAGTTCAAGTTTTCTGGCTTCCTATCTTTATAAACAATTGTTCATCTCCCATACAAACCCTTTTTCGCATTAAAATGCCTATGTCCTTTCTCAGGGTCTAGACTATCTCTATACTAAATTTCATTTATATCGTTTTAGTAGTTTTTGCGTAAAAGCGAAACAGACAGACAGACAGAGTTACATTCGCATTTATAATATTAGTAGGGATAAGGATGTGTTATTCTGATGCATAAGCTATATTACTGTACAGTTTCATCAAAAACTTTCGCGTTTATGATGTTATTAAGATAATTCAACTTATAAAGTTGTTTCTATCCCCAATTAAATGTTTAAAACAAAACCTAAAATGCAATCAATAAAGCTCAACTGTACAATATATACAATTGATTAGAGAGTTGAAAGTTTTATGTGTGTTAGTTCTTATTTTTGTTAGTCTACTCCTAAAATTTCAACTTGCGGAAAGACATAGTTTTTTAGACATTAATTTTTGAAATTTTAATTAGAATACGTGAAAACAGTCAAAACATTTTTGATATCCGCTCAGCATTTTGTTATTTATTAAGTTCTTTGTTTTAGACTTTTCAAAAATAGTTTTTGTGTAATTTTTTGCAATTTTAATTTAGTTTTTATTGTATTACACATCATAATGTATGTAAAAATACTTTGAGTATTTTTCATCACAAAAGGCTATTTGATACTATTAAAAATATGCTACGAAATGTGGTCATCCTATTAAGAAATAACATAAAAAACATATTTATCTCTGTTGTAATCAAAAATGTTTACAGATTTTTAGAATAAACAAAATAAATTCAAATATTTTTTTAAATTTCTTCAGCCATAAGAACGCTCTGTGATTGGTTACGCCTCGCGTGACGTCACACGCTGTACCTGTGAGCTGCTGAAATATCAGCATTCTTTAAACATGTTTGTATTATGCAGTACTCTTTGCACATTTTCATGACAAATCAATGTCAAGAAATTAAAATGGATATAGAGAAGCTTAAAGCTTGCAGAATGGCATTATAGAATGATGCCATTGTAGAAAGAAAGTGTCCTAGTAAACCTATGTATATTTAAAAAAATATTCTGTATCTAAAAATGTAAAGCCCAGGTGCAAATACAAATGTATGCTGCTGTTAAAAGTGTTAAATTTGTGTTGCTAGATTTGCTTAGCTTAGCTTGCCACATTTGTGTTGCAGCAAATTTAAAGAAAATGAGACAGTTGAAATTTATTTAGTCACTTAGGATACTGACTACATACATAAGATAATAAAAAAGCTACAGGACTGAATGTATACATTCAGTACATTAGTTTACTAGCTTGTAATGTCATGCAGAACATATAGCATCCGCCATTACAGAAACAGCTATTTTAGTATGAATATTGTAATTAAACTTTAACACAATATTTTATGGGAAAATACAGCAAATATCACAGAAATATACATGGTGTATTAATCATATACCATCGCATCATTTAAAACAATCTATCAAAATCAATCAAATAGCCTATTAAGTAGCTGATATGATGATGATAGATAAGTTGTCTTTGTATATTATTATTTAAATGTTGTACCTATAATTTGTATTTTTGTAATAAATGTATAATTACTATTTTGATGTATAATATGTATTAATTACTATTAGATCAGAATGAAGCTCACCTGTCCCCCTCAAAATCAATGAGGAACCGCAACCCCCCAAGGGGGATTCCCCTCAGTAAGGGGAATCCCTAGCGCTTATAATACCAACTCTTACTCATGATACAATCTATATTCATGTCAAATTTCACTATCATTCTTTCAATCATTTAGTTATGAGTCAATGGTATCAAGCAAAGAGAAAGACAAGGTTTCACATTCATAATATTACGTATACCCAACACAAAAAAATTATGTATGAACTTTAAATATTGTGACAGAATATAAATATTGAATATGTTCAACAAATTTAGTTAATTAGTATAATTTCAAATGATTATGCAAGATTATAAATGTTCATATTTAGTTAGTATCTAGTTTAATTAAATAAATTACTATAATTAATATTTTAACTTACTCTAATCTAAATGCGGTTGCTAGTTTGGACTCGTTGCATTTACGCTTTAGGCAATAACATTATACAAGACAGTCCAATTGTAGGTATTCATATTTATAAATTCATCTCATTTAATGTAATGAAAATTTTGATCTTATTACGATTTGAAAGGTATTAAGATTTACTCATTATGATACGCCACAAAATAATAAGAAAGTGACAATGAAGACTATTTGTGAAATTACAATTGTAAAAAACAAGAAAATGTAGTACTTACAATGTGTCAATCCCTTCGTGGCTTGGGTAGATATTCTATAGAGCAAGTCTAGAACTATACAATTGCATACTAAACAATACTATAGATTCTAGAATCAATAAATGATTGTTGGTGTTCTAGACAGTTCTGTACAGGGTCGGTCCTCTTAATAGACCAACTTTTGAATGTGCACACATGTAAAGATTAGCATGTGTGCGTGTGCTAATGTATACCCTTCTAGAAAATAAAAATAGTCTGTAATTACAACAATACATAATATGGTAACATTGGTACAATAACAGTTCTTTATGACAAACAAAAATCTGATTTCCGGTCGGCATTTAACCTCCATCCTTTGTTATATTGATTTGTATTTATTTACTATATTTGTGTACTATCCTTTAGCCAAAAAACTCATTAAATTTCTTTTTTAGTATAGTACCACAGATAACCAAATATTACGTAATAACATGCTTGATAGCAACGAGTAATTATAACTAATGTAGAAGATTTCAAATTTAAGGGCAGTTTAGTTGATATTATTAGTATTACTATCAGAAATAAATATTATAAATATCATAGATTTCCGAATCCTACAAAGTGAGTTATAAAATATTTTCTAATACTACTTAGACATTATATTTTTTATTGGCAACCCTTATAAAATTAAAATTTACGATAATATTAATATATATACTTTTAGGAAAAAAAAATCGTGTGCAATTTCAATAATACGTAATAATTCTTTATAAGTTTCCAGGGCCGTAAAACAACTCAATAAAAAAGAAACTTCTTTATGATAACAAAAAGTTTTATTTATTTCTGATTTCCGGTTCCGGTCTGCATTTAACCGCCATTACTGCTATTGAGTGGTATTTATTTTCTCCACATTTAATAACTGATATCTCTACCACAATTTCTTAGAATTTGAGTGTTTTAATATAATAGTGAAAGGACGTTTTTAGTTTTAGTGTTCTACGACAAGACGTTTCAACTATTACTATAAAACTTTTTTTAGGATAATTTAGATTATTTGATTTACTTTGATATATACTATGTTTATTTTTAAACAATGAGTAACAGGAATAATTATAGAAAGTGTGCAAAGTGTCATAGAACACGCGCTGAAGACGTAACTGTGACCTACCATAGGTTTCCAAATCCTGGAGCTGCAAATATTACAAAGTGAGTTACAAAATATGTTTTATTACCACTCAGGTCTATGGCAACATGATACATAAAATACCTGTAAATTATTAATTCTCCATAAATAGAACAGAGTGGAGAAGTTGATCAGTTGTACAGATTATCTATGATAACATGACTTGCTACTCCATGACTTAGGTGTATTATTATCAAATTGCATGCCTATTTAACACCATAGTTTGATATGTTATAACTTTAATGCACACAGTACAGAAGATAAAAGTATATTTGGTGAACTTAATACCATGCTGTGTTTTCTACCAGTCAACCACAGATATGGAGAGACAATTGTTGGCAGTGCAAATATAAAAAAAATTAAATATATGCATAGCAACATTATGTGCCTATATATTTACAATAGGCACATACATACATTAATCTGGTGCACTTACATTATAGTATTCTTATACCTAATACTGCTTGCTTTGTAATAGCGGTATACACATAATTATAATAAATATTTGTTCTATTTGCAGAGCTCGTGCTTGGGCTAAATATTGCTGGCCAAATGAAGACTGGGGCTCTTTGGAGTTCTTAAAGACTCTCTATAATAAAAACAAAGTTTTGTGCGGAAGACACTTTCATTCGTCTCAATTTTATGACAATCAACGGCAAAAACTTAACAAATTTGCTGTTCCTGATATTACTGATATAGAAAATCAGGTACAATAACATTCTTTTCATATTGGAAGTGGTCACTTTCTTGTGGATGCTACTAATGTTAAGTTCATATGAAAGAGTAAACAACACAACAAGCATATACAATACTGTACTTGTTGTTCATTCTATGTAATTTTTTAAGTGTTAATGAAAAAATAAATAGTTTATTATGTTTATCTACTCTGATGAGTCTCCTAAAATATAATGTAAATAAATAAATTATCCTGGACAATTAACAAAGCACCATCTAGTCCCACGGTAAGCAGAGCTTGTGTTATGGGTACTAAACAACTGATATAAATACTTATATTTTTTTAAATGTAAATACATACATGGTGTACATAGAAAACACACAGACCGATACAAACAACCATATTCATGAGTACAAATGTTTGGAACATGTGAGTAATCGAACCCGCTTCTAACAATCAATCCACAACCAATTCTGAGTAAAATTTGTTTTTGATGGAAATATTCTATAATTTTCAGAATATGAGTCAACCTGCTGCTACTACAACAGATAATCCAAGGTCTGCCGTCCCTCTGTCAGTAATTGAAAATACTTTACATACACCTTCTATAAATGAATCAACCTCAATGCAGCAAAGTTTTGTGGATGTTCCAAGTACTTCTAAATCTACATACCATAAACAGGTAAATATTAATACAAAATACAATAGTAGTATCACAGATAAGATAACCTTACATACATATACAGCATTCCATACAAGAAAATAGTTCCTTTCTAACATGAACTATATTATTGTTTGGGCTATTTTATTTAACAGCTATATCTGAATCAGTTTAGATTACTAATGGGTGCTTAGTAATAAAGTATGCTAATTGATATGTATCTGTAATATAAACTTGATTGGGTATTGGGTATTAACAAGGTAGATATAATTATTTTCTATGATTTACCTACATAATCGTTAGCAGGCACTCTACAAATACGGCTCTCAAATCTACAGAATGCATTTTATTATTCAGATAATACATGCCTACTGTTTAACTCTGACGAAAAAAGAGTTATTATAAAGTTTAATATATCTGCTTTATAGCTCCTAAATGGATAGATCCATTTCATTATTTTTTTATATCAAAATCAATCTATTTTTAAAATCTATTTTTATCAAATCTGATTTGATAAAAATAGATTTTACCTATTATAAATTACTGTACATAGCATGCCTTATGTCATTTGCAATGTATTATCCCAATAAGAATTCCACAATATAAATTTAATAATAGGAAAATAATATCTTTAAAACTGAAATCCACGAAAAACTGGTCTGTGTCCATTTTATTAATAGGTACTTAGTTTTACTTGCAAAACTTTCGATGTCTCTACAGGTGTAGGTACCTGCCAGTAGTAAATCATTAGGATCTGATGTCTTTACCACTATCAGTATAGAGGGTCTGTCATAAAGTGAAAATAATAACACAATATTGGAATCAAAAATATGTGTATTGATTTATAATTTTTACCATTATTTTTAAGTAATACTTTTTATATGTGGTTTATTATCTATTAATGTAGTGAGTGTAACACCTGACATGGCTACACTGAACTTATTTAGATATTAAATATATACTTGAATGGATGCCTGATCCATTAATTAATTAATTAAATATTTTCAATTGATGGATATAGGATGCAGGGACAGCACAATATTGGTTGTTGATAATGTCTCTGACTTTGAAATTGTAGTGTTGAGGCTAATTATTTATTTTATTTGTTGGTAGTACAGATATTGTTGCATAATAAATTTTGATAATTGTGTTGAATTTATCTGCCGAAATATAATTTATACTTCCCCTTGTTTTACTTCCAAACTATTATTTAAATTATATATGTATTAAAGACACCAGAGGCAAGTTCAGCAGTTATGTTAAGTATTATAGAAAAAATGTATGGTACCATTTCAGACTACTTCTACATCCAAAAGCACTTCAGATAATGCTTCAAACAAACCATCAACATCAAATATTCAAAGGAAGCCTGGAATTTTAGGCGAAATTCAAGTCAGAAAAAGTACAGAATTAACATCTAGAGAAAACAAATTATATAAAATATGTAAGAGGAAATTTAAGGAAATTATAAGATTAAGAAAACAGTTGAAAAGCAAGAAAATAAATATAATAAAAAAAATATCAGAAGATGAAAATGTGCAAAAATTTTGTAATTTAAATATATCAAATTCTTTTTTAACTTTATTACAAAGTCAATTAAAAAATTGTCCAAAACGACCAAAAGGACGACGTTACACAACAGAACAAAAGATAATGGCGTTAGCTATATACAAAAAATCACCAGCCTGTTACAGGCTTTTGAGACGTATGTTTGCTTTACCCGGCCAAAATTGTTTGAAAAAATTATTGAATAAAGTGCCATTAAAACCAGGCCTAAACAAACATATATTTGTATCGTTAAAGAATGTTTGTGAACAACAAACAAGTCATGAAAACATCTGTATTCTATCGTTTGATGAGATGAGTATCAGAAAACACTTATTTTATGATAGGAAAAATGATATAATACAAGGCTATCAAGACCATGGCAACCATGGTAGAAACGGTACAGTTGCCAATAAAGCCCTCGTTTTTATGCTTGCGGGAATTCGAAAAAAATGGAAACAGCCCATAGCATTTTACTTTTCGAACATATTAACCGCAGATAGAATGACAGTAATTTTGAAAGAGGTAATAATTTTATTTATTTATGTAGTATAACCGTACATGTATGTATAACCTAACACAACTACTAAACTATTGGTTTTATTCTTTCAGATACTTACGGAATGCTTCAATTACAATATTAATATAGTCGCAACTGTGTGCGACTTATCAACCGTTAACTTGAAAGTGTTGAAAACACTTGGTGCTTCACCTGCAGAACCCTACTTCATACATGATCAAAGGGAAATAGTAACAGTGCTAGATCCACCTCATTTATTAAAATGCACTCGCAATCTCTTAATGAAGCATAATATTGAATGTATAACAGATTTAGAGTCACAAGATGCAAGTATTAAAGGTAAGTAATATATACGTATCAGTTTTTTTAATACAGGTGTAACCTGTATAAAATAACAGTGTAGGTATAGAATTTTAAATATGACAAATATTTAGTAAATAATTTTAGGTGTTAGACTTTGATTAATTTTCTTTTTGTTTTTAGGCATAGTCAAATGGAGTCACATTGAACAATTTTATAATCAAGACAAAAATAACGCAAATTTTGTTTATGCTCCTGTATTGACTGACCATCATATACATCCTAATATGAAACAACAGATGAGAGTGAAACTTGCAGCACAAGTTTTTAGTCACTCTGTTGCTGCCGGTATATTAGCAAAAATTGCGTCTAGTAAGTGAATTTGGTTATTTTTAATTATTATCTTTTATAATTTGAGTGACAAATGAACATAAAACGATTGTGCTATAAAATGAATTTTTAAATGTAGTTTAATAGTATCTGAGAGTACACGTACAACAGCCCAGATATGAGGCTGATTGTGGAAAATAAAATTTACAATACAATTTAATTTCCGAGAGAGCTTCACGTATGCACTATGTTTTAGCACCCTCATCAATTATATTTAAAGACTGTGGCCATTATAAATTATACTGTAAAATAACACTAATCAATTGTCTGATGAGTAAAAATAATACCTGAAAACTGCAAATTAGTGGTTACAACACAATAAAATAAAAATAAATGTTTGGTTTTTCGAGACAGACGAAGTACATAAGTACCTATTTACATAAAAGTTTTTATACCATTTTAATCACTTTGTACGCCAGTCTGTCTTCAACCTTACTTCAACCTCTGATTTCACAGTAAAACGATAAGTTTTATTGTTATAAAAAATTACTGTGAAATCAGTATCACTTTTAAAAGTATTTTTTTGCAGATGAACTTCCAAACGAAGCCCATGCGACTGCAACATTTGTTAAAAAAATGGATGATTTATTTGATTCAATTAATGCGGACAGTCCTGACCTGCGTAGAGGAAAAAAATATTCTTGCAACTTAACAATGCGGAGTCCTCACTTAGCCCTTTATAAAGATATGCGAAAATTTATATCATCAATGAAATATCTAAGTAGCAGGACAACTCCTCCTTTTCAAGACGGATGGATACAGACTTTAAATGCCATAGAAAGGTTGTGGAATAATTTGCAGGTCCAAAAAGTCAAGAGCTTGTCCACGCGTCGCCTGAATCAAGACCCTTTAGAAAATTGTTTTGGATGCATCCAATATCATTGTGGGTCAAATACGAATCCGACAATTTCCCAATTTTTGGCAGGTATTAAAACGGCTATAATTACAAATTTACGGCACTCTGGACAAAATACAAATTGCGAAGATGACAGTGCTACTTTAGCAAATAATTTGCTCCCATTTTTAACATCGAACTTGGAACAGGAGCAACAAACATATACTGAACATACTGTATCAGCTGATAATGTAGAAACATTATTAGCTAATACAGTGGAAGCAATGGACCAAGCTACCCCTGAAGGTCAAGCTTGTGCATATATATGCGGCTTTATATTTAAGAAACTGAGGCACAATGAATGTAAAGATTGCCTAAATATTTATGTGACAAAAAATATTGAAGCAATTCACATATTTACCAGCTTTAAGGAATATGAAACTTCAAACACGTCATTAAATTATATAAATAAAAATGTGGTAGTATGTGTAGAAAAGTGTGCCATAGTAATTAATAATTATTTGAAAAACAATGCACACACTCCACAAATACGAACAAATATAATGACATCTTTGGGTTCTGTTGATTTTAGTTTTTTAAATACTTGTGTAAATCATTTTGAAAGTAATAAACGGCACATTCAAAACAGTATATTTTATATATGTGTTAAAAGGTACATTATAATTAAAAATAGAGAAATGGATGAAGATGAGAAAAAGAGAGCGTTAGAAAGAAAGATGAAGATTTTACAAAATAAATGAGAATTGTATTTAATGTTTTAAGTAAGTGAACTCATTCGTTTTAATTTTTAAAGATGTAAATGAAATGAGGTCTCACTCATTTATAAAGAACATTTCAAAGAACAAAATGCCTTGATTCGTGAAATGTCTTGAAATATTTTGAAATATTATACAATAAAAAAAGAGTTTGAAGGTATGAATGGTAAAATGAATTACGAATTTGATATATTAGCATAATGACATTAAAATAAGAATAATATTGATATATAAACAATAATATATAATCATTTTTAACTTTTATCATAATAATTTTTACTTTTTAACTGTATACTGTAATGTGCTATCTGGAATTATGTAACTATTTACAGAAGTATAATTAATATAATTATTAATATAAAATATGCGTGTCTTCACATATGGCGGAATGTGTTGAACCATATGTACCCATTATATAATCATTGTGCACACCACATTCCTCGCTTTCCTTTTTTGTAAATATAAAAATAATTTTATAATTTCTTTATTAACCATCTTGTGTTACAAAAGATATGAATATAGCTTATGACAGTAACAGTTATTTATACTGTATAAATATTTATAATAAATTGAATAATAAATCACTGAGGTCTGTTTTTAAAAATTACTTAAATATCTCACTGCTAAATGTTTCTACTCATTAGAGATTAACTGTAAAATTGATCAGATAAATTATTTATATTAGACATAATATTATAATTTATTTTATAATAAGTTGGTAACTAGCAAAAAATAAATGTTAAACCAATGTTCGTCCGTCCATTATACTCATGAGCGAATGCTTCTTGTAGTTGGTCTGCCCTAATCACTACGATTGATTTAGTCTTATTTAGTTCTAAACCAGTTGGTTGTATATTTAACATTTTCTCTATTTGAGTATTGAATTAGTGCTTAGTATTTGGTTGTTTGTATTCACACATCAACTTAAAAATGTAATGTTACAACAAAATTATTTAAAAGAGCAACACGCAATTTCCTTGTTCATTCTTCTTGTGTTGAGACAGCTTACCGAATGAGCGGTAGATTGAAAAATGTGGTATCTATTTAAAAGTACTTCAATGTAAGTTTATTTGAATAAAGGATTTTCTATTCTATTGACACTAACATTAAAAAATTCTGTTTTACACAACATTAAAACTATATATAATAAATTTGCATGCTAAGTTAACTGATTGAGGCACTGGCAAAAATTAAAATAACTACATCTTGCTACATTCAAATTAAATTAAATAAATATTTTTAATTTGTTTATATGCAACTTTAAAGTATCATCAAAAAAATGAAAGATTGCATTTTGTTATAAACGTCAAAATTAAATATAATGATATGTCCTGTAACGGCCTGTTGTAGAACATATTATTCTTTATTTTGTCTGTTACTTCAAAAAGTACTAAAATTTGTTCCAGTGTTATTTTACTGTATAAAATAGAATGATATAGAATTGAAAGCTTTTAGCATGCATAATCATTTTAATGAACTATTAATATTTATCTAAATAAATGTGTCATTTCTCATGTATTTACTCTTTTTTTTTATTTTTGCTAATTTTAATTGTGATTTGCTACAAATCTAACCCCACCGGCGGGAGGACTCTGATGGATGGTAAACGTAGTGACGGCAGAATGTTGATAAATATATTTCACCGAGCTATAATATTTTACATTCCGCGCTTACCACGTTTATCAACCATCGCAGACCACCGGATCCGTCTTGAGTCGGCAGTCAATAATGGCGGGATTTAAAAATAAACTTTGAATTTCCCGCCAAGGGGGCCAATTATTTACAATAATTTTTAAATATCCCGCCACGATAATTTTCAAATATCCCGCTATTTCGCTTTTCTTCAAAAAGTATTCAGTGCTAATCCGGTACGGCGCTAGTAGTATAAGTGCGTAAGGTCGTGGTTGCAATTTTTTAATACGGAGACGTCATTCTTCTCTTGAGTAGTATATTCTTTGGTTCTGTAGGTCTACCACGAAAGTTACTGCCGATTATCGCGTAACGAAACGAAAGACGACCGAAATACTAGTCCAAAGGAACCATGAAGTTTCTTCGGAATAAGATATTTCGGACGGGTACCATAGACTATGATCGTGAACGAATGAAAGATGAGAGGTCTTTTATTATACACTCTTAAATTAGGAAAAAAATAAAGTGGTATAATCCGGATAAAATAAAACGTACAGTCGTTTATATTTAAATGTGTTGAAATTATAAACTTCTAAAATTAGTAGTATTTTATGTCATAAGAAAACGTCAAACCTCTATTTATGTTTGAAAATAACGGTACTGCGTATTACAAATATTTTTGTTTTTATTTTTTATATATGAACTTAAAAATCATAAAAGAAAATATTATTTACACTTGTGAATAATAAAAGGTAAGATATTTACTAATTTATTAAGTTTTTAAATGATTTTTTATTGTTAAATTTGTTCGTTAAACATCAATGAAAATGAACATCTACTAACTTTGATTTTATTTATGAGTTTCTATTTATGACAAGCGCTAACAAATGTATTTATGCATTTAGATGAGTAATCCCACTGTGGAACAAGTGGATACACTCCTAACATTCCTACCAGAGCACCAGGAGTTAGCTCGTGGCCACTATAGAAATGCAGAAGGGCGAACAAGATCCACCCAATTATGGGTTCGTCTCACAGACGAACTCAATGCATTGGGTGGATGCACTAAAACTATAAAGCAGTGGCAGAAGGTAAGCACTTTTCTTGATATTTTAGTATGTGATATGCATTTAAAATGTTAAACAATTTTGTTATTAAATAAAATTTTCCAATACTCATACTTTATAAATTTTAGGTATGGGCTGACAAAAAATATCTAACTAAAAAAGCTGCTGCTGCTGCTCGAAGGTCTGCCACAGCCACTGGAGGAGGGCCATCATCTGCTGAGCCTTTAAACCCAATACAGAGCAGAATATTGAGTATTATGGGAGAGGGCTTTGGAGAACCTCAGTCGGATGCACGTGTTCCTGCATTTCCAGAGGTATGTTGTAAAACCATTACTAAAATAGTGCTAACTGTTATCTCTAGACATATATAACATCATGGATGTCATCAAAATACATGGTGATTTCCATAGTATTCCTCATGCATTACCATTCCTTTTATTTCTGTATATAAGGTACCTACACAGCCTTTTCCCACCTTTCAAACTGAAATACAGCTATGCAAGAACAGCTGAAATATGAGTTGAGACAAGAGTCGGTACCTTTTGCTCTACCTCAGAGCCGATGACTTATATTAAGACTGCATGTTGCAATATCCTGCTAATAAATTATGTGTCAAAGTAAACACATAGAATACTTAATATATTAATGAGTGAAGGCATAGTCACTGGAAACAGCTAATGTATATAAATTTTTTTAGGTGCCCAGCTCAGCAGATGAAACTCCATTAGAGATTCAAAATATAGAGCAGCAGCAGCAGCAAAATCCTCAGCAAATGATGCAACATCACGGGTTCATATTTTCTAATGCATAAATATAATTAAGACAAGTTGCCTTAGTTATATTTGTACATTTTCAAAACATTTCGGGCATTTCATAATGTTGAAAGCATTACTTATTTACAAAATTAAAAACTTTTTACAATAAAATCTTTTTATTTTATAATCACGTATATGTAGGTATACATTTTTTAAAATAACACTAATTATAAATTATTAAAACATCAATTCAGAAAAATGTTGTATAAGTATATGCAAACTAAGTAGTGTAGTTCAAGGCGCATTAAATTAATGACTAGTAAAAAACTGTAGTTTAGTAGATAAACTGGTAAGACAAATATATTTATATAAAGCTAAGTAACATTTTTATACTCATTATTTAACAAATCAACAAACTAACATAATTCAACAAATCAACAATGATATGTATATAAAGCTAAGTAACTTTTTTATACTCATTATTTAACAAATCAACAAACTTACATAATTCAACAAATCAACAATGATATGTATAAAGCTAAGTAACTTTTTTATACTTATTATTTAACAAATCAACAAAGTAACATAATTAAACAAATCAACAATGATATATATAAAGCTAAGTAACATTTTTATACTTATTATTCAACAAATCAACAAACTAACATAATTCAACAAATCAACAATGATATATATAAAGCTAAGTAAAATTTTTATACTTATTATTCAACAAATCAACAAACTAACACAAATCAACTTTGATCATATCAAATTTAAAAAAAAAACAAAACTTCATCTATTCATTCGTCTTAATTCTATTAGTAGACCCTCCAATCCATCCCTTATTAATACATTTAATTCCTGGAGTGATTGGCGAATCAGCCCTAACTCTTCCACCCGTCGATCCTCCGCTGCGATTCGCCGCTCCTCCATTTCGAATAAACGCCTGCGTACACTGCGAGGTCCAATGGCGTCTGCTCGACGGCGTCGTCGCTCTGGACGTGTAGTAGTCGTTGAAGTTCTAAAAAACAGTTTTTTTTTAAATAATTCTTATCATTATTGTTTTCGGTATGTATGATTGGTACTAATAACAGACTTGATGTCTAGGAATATACTAGTGATTAGGGACTATAAGCCCCCATTACTAATAATCATAATATTTACAGAAATATTTTCATATAACAATAATTTATTTATGATATATTTTTTTTTAATCAATAATAAGGTATAAGTAATAGTGTTATTTATTAGTACTGTCTTATCTTTACTTCTTAGTTAACATTGAAAAACTGTGTATACATATATAAAACTGTAAAAATTAAATTGAATGTATGAAATAATAAGAGGCATTTGGAAGACAGACATATTATAAAGATAATATCACCACTATCATCTCTTTCTTCAGCAGTGTTACTTATAATAAAATAAATTATTTATTTCCATATGCTTTTAGTACATTCTTTAAAGTTGATCATCAGCAGTCTGAAAAATCCATGTCAGGACTTCCAGGCAATCCAAATCTAGCTCACAAAAAACTGCTATAATATGTTTTAACATATAAAAATTACAAACACAAATATACTGAATATGGCAGTTGCCTGTACTAACTAATGGCTAATGCAGCACTGGTCATCAAATGTCTTACCAACTATTTTCTCTATTTATTACACCTAGTTGCACTCTTATGGACCTCATCTTTCACACAGTCCATTCATCTTTTTGGTCATCAAATCAATTAACAAATAATTTATTATAAATACATACTTGATCATTCTAAATAGTTTCAATCAACATTAGATTTCAATCAACATTATGAAATGCCCGAAATGTTTTGAAAATGTACAAATATAACTAAGGCAACTTGTCTTAATTATATTTATGCATTAGAAAATATGAACCCGTGATGTTGCATCATTTGCTGAGGATTTTGCTGCTGCTGCTGCTCTATATTTTGAATCTCTAATGGAGTTTCATCTGCTGAGCTGGGCACCTAAAAAAATTTATATACATTAGCTGTTTCCAGTGACTATGCCTTCACTCATTAATATATTAAGTATTCTATGTGTTTACTTTGACACATAATTTATTAGCAGGATATTGCAACATGCAGTCTTAATATAAGTCATCGGCTCTGAGGTAGAGCAAAAGGTACCGACTCTTGTCTCAACTCATATTTCAGCTGTTCTTGCATAGCTGTATTTCAGTTTGAAAGGTGGGAAAAGGCTGTGTAGGTACCTTATATACAGAAATAAAAGGAATGGTAATGCATGAGGAATACTATGGAAATCACCATGTATTTTGATGACATCCATGATGTTATATATGTCTAGAGATAACAGTTAGCACTATTTTAGTAATGGTTTTACAACATACCTCTGGAAATGCAGGAACACGTGCATCCGACTGAGGTTCTCCAAAGCCCTCTCCCATAATACTCAATATTCTGCTCTGTATTGGGTTTAAAGGCTCAGCAGATGATGGCCCTCCTCCAGTGGCTGTGGCAGACCTTCGAGCAGCAGCAGCAGCTTTTTTAGTTAGATATTTTTTGTCAGCCCATACCTAAAATTTATAAAGTATGAGTATTGGAAAATTTTATTTAATAACAAAATTGTTTAACATTTTAAATGTATATCACATACTAAAATATCAAGAAAAGTGCTTACCTTCTGCCACTGCTTTATAGTTTTAGTGCATCCACCCAATGCATTGAGTTCGTCTGTGAGACGAACCCATAATTGGGTGGATCTTGTTCGCCCTTCTGCATTTCTACAGTGGCCACGAGCTAACTCCTGGTGCTCTGGTAGGAATGTTAGGAGTGTATCCACTTGTTCCACAGTGGGATTACTCATCTAAATGCATAAATACATTTGTTAGCGCTTGTCATAAATAGAAACTCATAAATAAAATCAAAGTTAGTAGATGTTCATTTTCATTGATGTTTAACGAACAAATTTAACAATAAAAAATCATTTAAAAACTTAATAAATTAGTAAATATCTTACCTTTTATTATTCACAAGTGTAAATAATATTTTCTTTTATGATTTTTAAGTTCATATATAAAAAAATAAAAACAAAAATATTTGTAATACGCAGTACCGTTATTTTCAAACATAAATAGAGGTTTGACGTTTTCTTATGACATAAAATACTACTAATTTTAGAAGTTTATAATTTCAACACATTTAAATATAAACGACTGTACATTTTATTTTATCCGGATTATACCACTTTATTTTTTTCCTAATTTAAGAGTGTATAATAAAAGACCTCTCATCTTTCATTCGTTCACGATCATAGTCTATGGTACCCGTCCGAAATATCTTATTCCGAAGAAACTTCATGGTTCCTTTGGACTAGTATTTCGGTCGTCTTTCGTTTCGTTACGCGATAATCGGCAGTAACTTTCGTGGTAGACCTACTGGTACTATATTACTGTATTGATGTATTCTATATTTTCACTTCAATATTATAATTTGTTTATTTTGAGTCTTACTGTAATTGTGTAAAGCTTAAAGTCGTAAAATGATTTATGTATGGAATGTGGTGCCCTCTACATTGACATATAAATAATAAAGTGAACTTGCCATAACAAAAAATATATTATTTTTTGTCGTAGACAAAACGTAGTGTATTAATACCTGTTTTCAGTAATACAAAAATATATCTAATATTTTTGTATTACTGAAAACAGGAGCGTCGTTGACGTCGTTGTTCAGTTTAATGTTGCCGCTCTATAATGAATCATTATACTATGACAGGATAAGACACAATCCTTATGCAGGCCCGTTCAAACGCAGACCTTAAGTATTTACGCTTAAGGCCTACTATAAGGAGCTCGTAGTCAGCTTCCAGGTATCGATAAGTATGAGCTATGTATACCTTTGCTAAATAATTTATTATTGTCGAAATAAAGAACATAACATTAACCTAATAGGTTATTATTATGTTTATAATAATTATAAATTTCATTTCATGGCGTTACTGTAAGAACCGTCACTAAGAATATCAGGACACAAAAAAAACATGTAATCTCTGGTCTATTTAAAACTCTGTTTATGGTTTTATCCCGCGCGACATCCAAGACATGCTAACTAATTTTGAAACATATATAGGTACCTATATATTTATACGTTACCTCGACATGGATAAAACTTTAAATAATTGATACAAGGATATGGACTACGGATAAGACTTAAATTTTGAACACGAATGAAAACATAATAAATATACATACATAAGAATTGGCCTTTGGCCTCATCACTTGTTCAAATATGAAGAAGTTTAAAAGTAGACTAGGCTGTACGGTCTAAGGATCTTTGCCTGTTCCATCACTGAAAAGGAGATGGACGAATATGGAAAAAAAAAAAATGTTTATGGTTTTGGTACTGAAAATAAAACATCGAATTTAATTTGTACTTTATATATTTTTGCTTAATATCTTGACTGTATCTTGTAATTAATTGTAGTAAAAAAACCCCAATTGTTTATTTTACAAATGTCTGCTAGTATTACATATACCCAAAAATTCGAACTAAATATTAATGTTACAGAGTCATGAATATTGTAATGTTTACCATCCCGGCCTTTCGTAGCAGTTTAGAGCTTTTGCAGAAAATATGGCCTGTAACTCTCGTGAAAGTGATATAAATCTGAACACTGTGTCCGATTTAACTGATGACAATAATATTGTTGATGATCTATCTATAATTCCCCTCGAAAAGGACAGTTTTGGTAAGTTTGCAAATACGATTTCGAGTGTCATTGATTTTTGGTAAATTGAAATTATCAAAGAACTATGCCTTTCTATAATATAATCTGTTATAATTATTGAGAATCATCGTATTTCAATTGATTTATTTAATATCTGCTCATGAGAAGTAAATCGGTGTTTAAATTTTAGCAATATGTGAATTGTGTGGTCGCGTCGGTCGACGGAATAATTTTTATCAGCGCAATAACAAGTTCTGTTCTTTGCGATGTTGTACAAGCAGTACCAGACGTCGACATTGTAACTGGAGATTCAAACTAATGGAAGGCACAGAACACATGGAGGGCATGATCCCTTTGGAGCCCTTACCACAACTTCAGCAGTGGCAGACTGCATTAAATGATTTGCAGGTACTTGAATGGATTCTAAACAATAAGCAAACAAGGATATGGTCTTTATGGACCTCTATAAATCATATATTGCATTCATTTATGCCACTTAACAAATGTAAAGTTGTTTCTTGGAAGTACAAACAAAATATAATGTATTATAATACATCAAGTATTTGCTAAAACAGACAAGATGGTCATAAAGGCAAAATGCTGAATGCCCAAAATAATATTTTCTGTTAGGGTCTAATACTTGTAGTAATTATTTAATGTTAGAATTTAGTTTTAAATCATGGATATAAAATGCAGAGATAGTAAAACATTGTTCCTTTAATAGTGAAGATAGATATTTGCAAAATCAACCTGAGAGATGATTACAAAAAATATTTATAGATACTATATATTTATTATAGATACTATGGATGATTCATTCCAGTTTTACAAGAGTTGCTAATATTATAATGTAATACCAAATATATTATTTCTGATTCAAGAATTGGTTCACTAAAATGTGACTGGACAGTGAAGCAGCATTTTTTTGAACCACTAACATTTCGGTTAATTAACTATTGTAGTAATAAATTAAGAATTAACTAATTTTGTAACTTGCACTAGTTTTTTAGTATAAATTTGACAAAATAGTATGTTTCTATATCTAACTATAATAAAACTTTTATTAATATTTTTTTTATTTATAATTATCATATAAAAATATACTAGGTATTGATTTAAGAGTGCTGTCTTATTAGTAGTTCATTATTAAAGGAAATAACACATCTTGATATCAGTTTTTAATGAAATCGTTGCTGTATATGTGATGCATTGATAAAGCATTATTAATATTTTATATTGGATTTTCTGGACAAAAACTCTATATAAAGTCACTTGTATACCTTTATTTATGTTTTTTATGGATTGTAATGGTATGATGCACCTGCCTGCGCTAATGGTTTACCCATATTGGCAAATGACATTTTACCACAATGGTTTTCAGGGGGTATTGCATGAAAGTCAACCTGATATAGTAGCAATAGAGTTGTAATGTAATGTAATGTATGTTGGACTCCAGTCTCCGCAATTAGCCTGTCAGCAATAGAGTTATTAGTCTACATTACTAACAATTCCTTTCCCTTATTTATATGTTTAATTAATTACTTTCTTTGTGCAATAAAGTATACATTTATAAATTAATTTAAGGCTGGACCTATAAAGCAATCTGCAGCACTAGTGGCAAATAGTTATGAATGGAAGGATGAGCTGTTTGGCTGCGACTTTTTAGCTGCTCCAGTCAGTTTGTTTAAACATGCACCTCTCCATGAGATGTGGGACAATACCTTTGAAGGTATGAAGGTGGAAGTGAAAAACACAGATTGTGATAATCCATCAGAAAAGTTGAATGATTATTTCTGGGTGGCTACAGTATTAAAAGTAAGTACTTTCCATAAATGAGTATTTATAAGAACCATCGAATCATTATGATACACTGTGACATTTCAAAATACAAAAAAATCAGTATTATAAAATGATTTTTTTATACTGTAAGCAATGTAGCATGGTGCGGGTGACAGTTACTTATTTATTTTATTGCTACTTTTAAGTTAATACAGTTATTAATGATTTAATATACTACAAATATTGTACAGCTGAAATACTTAGTTATAATTTGAAAATTGCTGCAACTTTTAAGAGTGAAATGAAACATTAATGAATCTGTCACCCGAACCATCCTACAGCGCACATTGTATAGCCATAAATAAATAAAGAAATTCTATAAAAGATAAATTCCTATAAAATTTAAAGTATGTAATTTCACAAGGTAGTAGAGACTTACAAACTTGACCATCTGTAACAAGGATGGGGGATGGGTCAATCAAAAATCATGTCATTAAATCATGAAATTCCATAAAGCACATGTATGGCTCCCTGGACTAACTTAAATTTGTAAAGTTACAGATTAATCATTACTTGGATATATGATTTTTCATAGTTAGCCAAATAAATTATAAATTAATTCGTAGGTATATTATTATTAAACTATTTTCTAATATGCTGTATTTTTATGTTTCCTATGTGCAATAAGGGGCTATTTTTATTATACAGGTAAAAGGTTATATGGGTTTATTACGATACGAGGGATTTGGTAGTGACGATTCTAAGGATTTTTGGGTAAACTTGTGCTGTTCTGAAGTTCATCCAGTAGGATGGTGTGCGACTAGAGGCAAGCCGCTTATACCTCCTCGTACTATTGAAGATAAATACACTGATTGGAAAAAGTAAGTATTTCCTCTTTTGTATTACATTAAAACAAAATCAGAAATAAAAAATTTCAGTATATTTTTTACTTTATTAGGATTTAATAAAATACAGCATACAGATGTTTGTATGCTTTATGGTTAATAAGCTGATTGTCCACGGGATGATATCAGCACCTCAGACATACCTTTGAGACATTGCCATGCCAGAATACTAAAATTTCATGCTGATTTTGTAGTTTTACTGCCATATCTCCTTTCTACTAAAACACAGTTAAGAAGTAAGTTATTAAAAGCAAGCTAGCTGAAATTGAGACGATTTTGTACAAAATCTGTTCAGTCACTCCTTGTTAGTTTCAAGTCTATTGACTGAAAAAATGTCTGGTATAAATGAACTGTTTGATTTCAGATTTTTAGTGAAGCAGTTAACTGGTGCTCGTACATTACCAGCTAACTTCTACAGTAAGTTAAATGATAGCCTGATATCAAGATTTTCAATTGGATCCATCTTGGAGGTTGTGGATAAAAATAGAATATCACAAGTTAAGGTTGGTTGTTTGCTCTGCGAAGATTCAGAAGATATTATAAACTTTCTTTGCTTAGTTAGAGAAGGGGAATTCCCTCTCGTATCAATCCCACTGTACCATTAAAACGAGGATCGAAATTACGGCGGCCTGAGCGGAGGTTCAAATCTCTAATGGATATGACCCTCAGACAGGAGTTAACCTTCTGATATAAGGCAACATTAGTCCTTCTGCGGGTTTGAAGTGCCCACTGCTCATAGCTCCAGTTTCTCTGGTCAAGCGTGTAAAGGCCAGCTGTGACCAACAGCATTAGAATAATTTCTATTTTTTCGACTACTTCTATCATAGAGTTAAATGAGTCGTAAAAGAATCTAAAGGGCACAATAATTTAAGATTAAATCCTCAATAGAAAACTTCATTTTACAAATAAACATTAACACCAAACTTTATTACAAAAAACCTTCCTTTTTTTTCAAATAGGTGGCCAGTGTATGCGAAATTGTTGGGAAGAGGTTACATATAAAATATTATGACAGTTCTCCAGAAGATAATGGTTTCTGGTGTCACGAAGATTCGCCCCTTATCCATCCAGTTGGCTGGGCATTTCGAATTGGGCACCCCTTAGACGCACCACAAAGTTACTGTCAAAGGGTAGCAGCAGGACGATTGATACCAAGTGATTCCACGCCAGATATGTTTCACAAATATCCTAGCAATGAACCTCCATTGTTTGCTGAGGGAATGAAATTGGAGGCAATAGATCCCCTGAATTTGTCCGCTATATGTTCAGCAACGGTCATGCAGATATTGAATGAAGGTTACATGATGATTAGAATAGATTTTTACCCAGTCGACGCGTCGGGTGCCGACTGGTTTTGTTATCATCAGCGGTCACCCTGTATATTTCCTGTTGGATTTGCATTAGCAAACAACATACCTTTGGTGCCTCCTGCTGGGTAAGAATAATAAAATCTTGTAATATTGGCGTAAGGGCATAGCATATAAGACATACTGAGGTATACTCTAAAAAATTCATCTGCGTGGGAACCTCATTCTCGCCTATTTCAATTATCGGCAGCATTCTGTCTACATTTCCTGTTGCCATCTTTGCAAGACTTTTTCTTTTTTATATAACTGTTTATTTTGTGATCATTTAATAAATTATTATTTGTCTTTAGACAACTACATCTTCATTTTTTTATAGGGAATGCGAATATGTAGGTGACAACCACCATTAATCAAACACCGTTGGGAGGACACTCAGTATGGTGGATATTGAGTATCGTCCCAACGCTGTTTGATTAATGGTGGATGATGACTTCTCCAGAGTTCGGATATACACTGCCTTTATTGCTATAGATTACGCGTTATATATGTGGTCGGTGCACTATACGCTACAATGGTTAGAAGAACAGCAATTTTGTAGGTTCACAATGGAAGAGTTTAATTGGGAGCAGTATCTCTCGATGACATGTAGTCCTGCGGCGGGACGGTCTCTGTTTGCGGCGCGCGGTCACGTGGTCTCGCACGGTTTCGTAGCCGGCATGCGGCTAGAGTGCGCGGACCTGATGGACCCCAGACTAGTCTGCGTCGCCACCATAGCGAGGGTGGTCGCTGACCTTCTCAAGGTAGGCATGTGATTACTTATTTACAAATATATCCAACAGGATCATCATTCCATAATCTCGCTAATATTATAAACATAAAAGTTTGTAAGTATAGATGGATGGATGTTTGTTATTCTTTGACATAAAAACCACTTAAGGGATGTTGATGAAACTTTACATACAGTAATACAGCTTATTCTTCAGAATAACACATCCGCTATAATTTTAAAAAAATATTATGTAAATTGAGCGAAATATAATGATAAATGTCCAGTAAGTGTAATGCAGACGAAGCTGCATGGGTCAGCTAGTCATTCATAAAAAAACTAAATAGATGTTTTAAAATCACAAAATTGTTTAAATGTTGTAAACGAGTAGGAAGCTTCTGCGTTTCTAGAAAGAATTTTTGTTTATGGATGATAATGGAATGGTGCACCCGGCTGCGCTGCTTCACGTTGGCGGGGCAACAGTTGAGGATGATAAGATGAAAATGAGGTCAGGTCAGTTAGCTCAACGTGACCTTCACCAGAAATTTATCAGGATGGTTTCCAGTAGGAACCGCCAGGTGAACCTGACATGGTACATTGCTAGTAATGGGGTCATGAGTCCACATTACTAACAATCCCCATCCCCCTTCTAGGAAGGGTTTGGCTGGCTACATTAAGTAATCTTAGCTCTATGCGCATGACGGTCGATATAAGTGTGTGTGTGGTAGGTGCACTTCGACGGCTGGGGCACGGAGTACGACCAGTGGCTGTGGGCGCACAGCACGGACGTGTACCCGGTGGGGTGGTGCCGCGCCGTCGGACACCGGCTCGAGGGCCCGCTGCAGCCGCCGCCGAGGCTCGCGCGGCTCGCACGCAAACCGTCGCACAAGCAGCAGCGACGCAGACGACGCCCGCACGGTAATTGTAAACCTTTACGTTGGGCTTGCAACCAATTCGGCAGTATACCGAAGACTTCTCCGAACACCCCGACCGAATAGCCGAATATTAGGCAAAAGTATACGGCCGGATTTAGCGCCAAAACTTTTACAGACGTGATTTCGCGCTCGTTTGTTCTAATGTAGTCGCTTTGTGCAGATAATATTGTCAGCGCTATTAATTTTAAGTTAGAATTTCTCAACCACTATAACTAACTCTCAATAATTATTAATATATTAATATTTAACTCTTCTTAATGACTTTACAGTTCCGAAAACATCTTCTCAACCACCAACCACAACAGAGGAAAGCTCTCAATATTCTGACATGGGTGACACCAAGAGTCTTTCGCCGCCGACCAGTGTATCGGAGATATCAGTAGAGAACGAACTTAAAATTGATGCAGAGACGTTATCTGATAAAATGGAGACAGATACAGAAATCACGCATGAGCTAGAACTCCCTGAGCCTATAGCTGATATCAGTCAGGATTTTTCGGTAAGTTCTTATATTTGTTAGTATAAATGTAAAGCCCAATTTACACTCAGCCCGACTGGGCAGGGAAGTGAGCAGCGCGAGAGTGTAAACACGATATTTCCCATGCTATTGGCGCTGCCACTCGCGCTGCCCGGCCCTCCTTCAATTGTCGGTTTTTCGTACGCGAGTCAAAGTACTGGAAACGCGAGTGGCAGCATGTGTTTACATTCAGCCGACTCGCTCAGTTGTCGCCTGGCAATATTTCCGGCAGCGCGAGTGGCTGAGGAAGACGCTGAATGTAAACGTCGCGTAAGGATTAAAACACATGGATCTATTTTTTTTTTTTTTACGTAAGTGGCAAAGTAAGCGGTAACCGTCGCTGTAAGTATATATACTTACATGAACAGCACTACAAACAACACGTTGTCATATGACACCTGTGACAACACTCATACATTGCCATTCCAGATGACTAATATGTTACGCTTCTATATTCTGTAATTTTTATTAATTTCAATGTATTATCTCACCGTTTAACGAAACACACCTTACAAAGCAATTTGATTGGCGGTTGAAACATGTAAGATGGAGATGTTTACACGACTTTTCACAAAGTCTACCTCGGTGCCTGCGCATGCCGCGATTGCGTACCACTTCTTTCTAGTTATATAATCTTTTTTTAATTTATTTAATTCAGGGTACTAATGGTCCATATTATAAATATCTTACAGACTAACATACATATCAATGATATTAAAATGAATACAAAAAATAAATATAAATTGTCTGTGTGCTCACGGCACTGCTGACGCTAATCTACCACAGTAGTGCCGATACACTACACCTTTCGGCCAGTAGCCCTCCTTCATGGAGGTGGTCAGCATTTTGGTGGGAACTCGGGCTTCGAACGTCTTGAAACTCGCGTTATATCTCGATTCCAGCTGCGTCACTCTCAATGTCAGGTTACTATTGGTCCGTATGTAATCGACAATGTCCTGCTCCTATAACGTCGTTGAAGATTCAGATATTGTTGTTGCAGAGTATTCCCACAGACATATCACAAGATTCAAGTCAACTCGTCGCTGAACCGTCCCCGGAAGTTCCAACGGAAGAGACGACGATAAATAATGATAAGGTGATACCTAGACTAGTCAACACCACTGTGCCCTTAGATGTACTAAATACGGTCGATCCAGAGAACTGGACGACGGCAGACGTAGCTAAGTTCCTTACTGTCAATGATTGCCAACCGTACTGTGTTAATTTCGGTCAGATAACAGGACCTATGATGCTGCAGTTGTCTAAAGATGAAATAATAGAGTTATTAGAAATGAAAGTAGGCCCGTCATTAAAGATTTTTGATTTAATACAACAATTAAAATGCAAAATAAAACAACCTCAATGTAGATTGTTAAGTAGCTTTAAGTAGTTTTAGTGCATAAGTTGCTTCACTTGTATGTATATATAAGAGATCATTCGCTTAAAGTAACAATGTCGAACTAACAGGAAATGCAGGAGGGACCATAGTCTTTTGGAATAGCAATGTGCCAATGCATAAATGGTACCATGGTGGTCTTATCCGCGGTGATGTTCATATATTTATGGGCGACATACCGTAATACATAAACGTGGTGTTTCATTAATTTTCACTAGCTAATATTTTAAAGGGCACATTGTTAAAAATATAATATAATATTTTTCATGGGGCTTATTTATCTTATAATTTCCAAGTGAAATTTTATCTCATGTAATCGTGGAATATTTTTTTTGTTAACAGAGGATGCAAAAACAGTATATCAATTATACATAATAAAGAAACCAAATATATTATACTTTTTTCCAATGATAGTCTGGATAAATACAAAATACAGTTCATTTAATGAAATTTTCGTTTTTGTACGTGAATTTAACTGTAAAGTAATGGCGAAAATTATGTGCATATATAACATTTTCTAATGGCAATCGCTATACAGATAGATAAATTGCTAAATATCTTAAAACATTTTACGATGCAGCTTCACTACATCTAGAAAAATCACAAATATATTTATTGATTTGATTGGAGCACTGATGGCGGTTGTCAAGCACGATTCTCTAAACCTAGCATAATTATACACTGCAAAAATATTAAAGAACAAGTAAATATCTTTAGAATTGTACTTCAATATTCATATCACAAATACATTAGTATTAGATTTTAGTCAAACTAGTTTAAATTTTGTTTATTGCGTAATGTATTCTTGTACTTTCACTAAAAGAGAAAATTTTATAATTTTACTATAGTTGTAGATTTAGAATATGGTATTATATTTTGCGCCACCACATGGTATTTATTTTAGCACGCAAGACCTGTTGAGTTGGTAATGGAATTGACTATGTAACTGTATAACTGAGTAGCTTTAATTGTTGTTTGATTGTTTGATAAATCTCGCTCATTTTATACACTGACAGTGAAGCAACTTCTACTATAAATTATCGTATATTTTATTATATTCTGCTCTCCCTCTATTTTTTTTGTATAATGAGAGTACACGATATTTTAACAAATTATTTGCAATCAATTTAGCCTAATAATTTCATGCGTTAAATAAGAATTATATGGTATCTATTACATTTTATTGCGCTTGTGTAAGCATTTTTATGGAACGAGCTATTTTTTTTAATTGATGTTATAAATCATGTCTTGACAGATGGGTCGGTCCCATCGAAACTAAACTTGAAATCACAATTAAATAATTGTTATTTAAATATTTATAAAGTTATTGATATAGTCGGTTCTTAACACAAATAATTTTATGGTAAATAATATATTTACCCCGGTATTATATCCTACCTTTAGAACCCGACTAACTATATAAATATTTTTTACTGAACGGGATAAATGAAAAGTAATTATTTAAAGTATTTTTAAACTTGATATTTTTTAAGTCTAAGGACGGAAGGTATGTAAAAACGACACAGATAGCTCAAAAATAAGTTGTCTATTTTTAGATAAATTGTGTGGCATTCAGTGATATTTATGAGTAATAACAAAGGATATGATGTTAGTATGTTTTTACAAGTTGACTAGGTATTCATAGTAGTAATATTGGTTTATTACTCGTACATTTGTAATAGACATTCATATTATATAGCAATAATATTACCATTACTAAAATATTTACGCAGTTGCCCAAATCATGGATAGTTTTATAATCATTATTTATTATGTATTACAAAAAATTGTAGGGTCATTATGACATGACTACATCCACGGAACAAAGAAGTAAATAGAAAGATAATGATAAAAAAATATTTAGAAAACGCCTGCCGCCAACACAAACACAACAAATTAATTAGCTACGTAGCCAATCAAATAAAAATAATTTTTCGTTTCAAAAGACAGATATTACTATTCTTTTAAGTTTTGTGACTTGAAGATGTTAAGTACGCAGTAAAGTAATACACTCCATACAAAAAAATTGTACAATTACGTATTTTTATGTTTGTTACATTAATTTAGTTTAAAAATATATCAACCAACAATATATAATTATAAACGACATTAATATGGCTTTGCTCAATTGTAGTACAAAATATGTCTGACCCGCGCCAATTGTCACGTACATCGAAGTATGAAGTATTAAACTTAGTTGTGGCATACGGTTTATCTCGTTGCTCCCGTACCATTTCTACCTACCTTTTTGTTCTGTGACTACATTACATCACAAATTGTTGAAAGTTAACAAATTATATTTTAAGATATTACTTGTACTGTTATTATGTCATTTAAAAAGCTTCATTTCTTCGACATAGAACTGTAGATTTCCATATAGCTAAGATAGAAATCTTAGCCCTATAGAAAAATAAATAGTCATTAGTACTTACATACTCACGGAAATTGTACCAATTATTATTATAAATAACAAAAACAAACTGTTAAGAAAAATATAGATATATCTAAATCGCTCATAGCACTAACGTATGTCGCATGCCATTGGTCTTATTTTAGAGAAGTGCACATTTTCTAAGTACATACAAAGATTGTGTAATATCTTAATAATATAGGTTACTTTAAGTGATGTGCAAATAAAGCATATATTATTGTCTTTCTCGTATTATTTTTATATAACTCAGTCATTAATACTTTATTGCGGTATTGCTGTATGTGGAATATATATAATTTATTTACGTGTGATTTAGTCATATTCTATTTTGTATTGTTTAGCCTGAGAAATCTGTAGGTTCTTGATCTGATAATAGAAAACTGCATTAACTATTTGTAGTTTGCCAATTTAGTATTATACATGTTTCTTGACTATCATGATTTTATGTAATAAATCCAGATGGGATGGATTTCCAGTAGGTCTTTATGCTTTGGAATAGTTATAATTCGAATAACTGCTTTCATTTATAACTGCTAAATATGTGACAAATATAACTATAAGCAAATTCTTTATATTTTAATTGTAAGACCATACACAGCTGTAATCCATTGCAAGGTTGATCAATATTATATACATAATTGCCTTTTTAGTGACTTACATTTTGATAAATATCCATCACATTATTGTGTGTAATAGATTTGAATGTTCTGGTGCAGTACATTGAATAAAAATAAATTATTTTAGCATTTAATTTCTTTTATTATTTGGACGGATAACTTAATAATTATACAATTTATCACCAACATATTTCTTTGTTTGTGTTCAGCTCTTGCAATATTTGACTGGTAATCATTCTGTAACAATACAATTTAATATAAATAATAGGTATTTATTGTCTGTATACCATACAATTGATGATATTAGTATTTTTTATGGACACGGAGAATGGATATCTCGTAATTGCAGACAAACGGGTTTTTATTAATCTATCCAAATGATTTTGTTTAAAAGTATCTAGAAGAGTTCGTCATTCCGTTACTAGATCAATTTAATTTTATAATAAATTATTACCTCATAGCATGTGTATGAACGGTAGATGCATATAGTACACAGCATAAAATATTTCCAGATCTCTGTCCATGACATTTATGGTATTCAGAACTCCAATATGTCTCACATATACAGTCTCCTAAATCAGAAACTGCCGAATGCCCTGCTGAAATGAAAAATAATATGATTAATTTAAAGTTATTTTCCAACCTTTTGTATGTACGCTCACATGCATTATCTTATCAAATTAACATTGAATATTTCGTCTGTCATTCATCCAAATTTCATATGCTCATCTTAAACGTGACTGACGACCTCATCCACTATTTTTTGAATTTATACAATATAAACAAAAACTCAATTCTTTCCATTTTAGAATATTAGTTTAGTTATATACCTTAATCTACTGCTATATTTAACTAATTATTTACCTTCATTGTTGTGGTCTTTGACTTTTAATTCTGGTGCTAAGTCTCTTGCAGTTGTGACATAGAATGTTCTTAATATGTCCATGCGATGAGCTCCTGACATGCTACGAGTTTTCTGTACGGACGCATGTAAATGTCGAGAAAATACACATCTTCGTTTATTTATATTTATTAAAAGGATTCTGCAATCACAATTACATATTTGAATATTTTGAATCAATATATTCTATTAAGAAATAAGAATTAATACTGAATACAAGTGAGTCTGCAGTTCATTCTGATAGTTTTCAGTCTAAATAAAACAATTAACTAAATATATATCAGTCCTTACCCCAAAACACTACTCTCAAATGTAATGCTTATTGGAAAATTCCTCGGATACACCAGTTTAGCTTCTTTTATTGTTTGCGCGTAAGTCTCCCAACACTGCAGAACTATTTCGTCTATTTGCGATAGAGGTGGAGTGGCACCACAAATTACAACCACATAGACATCGGCTAACAATTTGCAAGTAACTGCCCGAAATGCTACCTGTAAAAGTTCATCAGCACAACACAAAGCATCACATACCACGCAAAAAAAGATTGTGTAGTATATTATATTTCGACAAACAAGATAATTTTTGCAATATTAGCAATAAGGCTATGATTTTATTATGAATTCATGGAAGTTATAGCATTTGAACTGTTCAAATTGTGGTGAATGCATCAAGGTCAAGTCCGGACCAGATCAGCAAGAATATTTAGATATTATCGAAAAGTATTGACTAATGATTAACGAGCATTTTCTATCACGGGAGTATCAGTCAGAAAAATAAAATTGTGTTGTGTTTTTGGTATTGTTCAGAACTTAGGACCTTTGAGATGTAAAAAGTCCAAAATTTTAACATAGTTTATAATAACTGTAGTAACACAAATACATGAAAATTGAGAAGTCAGTAGAAAAGGATAAAGCATAATTCAGAAACATACATCGGGGCTCATTAGCGGTAAATAAACTGGTGTGTCTCTTAGGGGAGCGCCATCTTGTGCAGCAGCAAGTAGGAGCAGCAGTCGAGCTTCTCTGGGATCCAATTCATCAAAATCGGAGCTGGTTGCTACTAAATGACCATGAATGGCGAGACATGCCCATCGCCCAGTTACATTTTCTGCATAATTGTCTAATGCTTGCTAGAACAAACAAAAATTAGTTAAGGAATTAAACTTAACAAATTACTTATAATAATAACATCTCAAGACAATCCATACAATGCCATCTAGTTCTAAGTTAAGCAGAGTTTGTGTTATGACCATGACCACTCTTTATTATCTGATGTGTGACCATCGGATAATAAAGCAGATACTTTACCACTAGACCACCGAGGCTGTCACTTATGGAATTAAAGGATGCAATTACATTCTTTTCATTGTTACCTTCCATCAAGAGACTGAAATACAGCAGAATGACTAACCTTTATGTCTATAAGTGTTGTTTTTTTCTTACTGACCCACAAATATTCATTATCATTAATAATTTTTTATGCCTTTAGTCATTTATTTAACAAATTAAAGTGAAGAATCTGCAAATTTGTAAAGTTTATTTTTGCTCTTGCAAAATGTCTCTACAAGTTTTATTATATATTTATATTACACACATCACATCCACTGAGTAAACATTTTCTGAAATTAGCATGTAAACAGGACATAATGAGTATGTTGTGTGGGAAAAACCATGCCACATAGTGTGATATAAAATGTTAATTTCAACTGTACTGTAAAATTATGTACTATCATTTTCTCCGTCAATAACATACCTGTAACTGTTGTGCTTGTGGACATAAAATACTTTGAATAAGATCAAGTACTAATGTTGGAAATGAACTGGAGACTGCATTAGGATCTAATGATTCTAGAAGATAGTCTAAAATAGGATAGCACGGCCTTAAGTCTCTTTTTACTTGATCTATGTTTTTCATGTTTTCTAACTCTTTCTTGCCAATAGAAAAAACCATAACATCATGAACACAGGATAATAACAGTTCAAGGTCACACTCAAGGCCACCTGTAGCTACTCCAATTAATGTGATGCTGAAATTAAAAGATGTTTTGTTACCTAGACTAATATTATAAATAGGAAATTTTAATATTTCTATGTTTGTTAAATAAAATAAATAGTTGACAGATTTTAAAAATACAAAGATAATTTTTACATATATATATATATTGAATTTTATGAAAATAATTGCATTATTTTCATAAAATTCATTATGTCTGTAACAAGTCTTAATCAAAATTTCACATGTCAATTTACTGTTCATTACTAATTAGAAATATATCACTATAAAATAAAAACAATACCTTTTACAATATTCCTTCCAAATTATTGTTCCATTGTCAACATGAGTATTTACCATTGATATCTTGTGGCATTTACTAAACATATTAATGCCATGCAGGGATGCAATAGTTGAAAACTGAATCTGAAAGAAATATTATATGTAAATTATTTAAAGGAAGGAAACTAAAGGATAGTTTCAGGAAGTCTGCAAACTTTCAATGCACAGTTTCAATGTAATAGTGATGTTGTCGGAAATATCAGGTCAGCCCTCTAGTGTACACTAGCCAGGGGTGTCAACCAAATTAAATATAACAAAAATTCAGAGATAAATATGTAAATACAAATGTTTCATATATGATACTTTTCAACTTCCTAATTTAGTTTTGAGCTTTGCATTTTCATATGTATTCATTTTATATGTTAAGCTTTTAAAATATGTTTATACTGATTCATGTTTCTTACTTACATTTTCATTGTTACCGCGTTTTCTTGAGAATATAGGTACACCGCTTTCACTAGCTATAGCAAATACTATTACAGACATTGTTTTAATAATATAAGTTCGGTTTTGTTTATATTCACTTTACAATGAGGCACATTATATAGAATATAGTATTAATTAACAACTGTTAGTGAAAAACAATACAAACAAAAATAAAAAATAAATCAAAACAATGTCAAACATGCTTGGTAATTTTGACATTGACATTCCATAGTTTATAGTTCGATTTTAGATCGCTGAGATAATAATCACTACGTTTTATTTAGACCTGTGAAAGTGTTAGTTCTACAAACTGATTTAAAGAAAGATTACGGGGATAAAATACAAACAGAATATACTTTTTTAAATGAATGATTATTCAATCGACCAGATTGCTCAAACGGTATAAGCTGACTCCGCACCGGTTAAGTATCATAAAATGAACGTAAGATAGCCCATTGTGACACATTAACCAGGAATTAACCTCGATGGTTTATAGGGGAGGCCACAACTGAACTATTTAAATATGTATGAGATGAGACAAGAAAATAAAAAACTACTCTATTTACAATGGCCCTGTGTAATGAGGGATAAACAAATCTATGATCTTTAATTGATTAAAAATGTTTAATAAGTTAAGTACAAACTACAATACAACTGTTCTACACAATAAATGTTTTAAGTATATAAATGTAATATAAGATTTAATATTACCTAATCGAAAATACATAAGATTTTATACATTTTATTAAAATTTCAACGATCATTCTGAAGGTTGGCTTTGTAAGGCACATACCTGTATAATATAAACATTTTTCTATATAAGTATCATAATTAGTAATATTCGGATTTATATAATGTATTATTTACAAAATATAAGTATTTATACAAAAAAATATAAATATTTTATGTAGTCTTACACAAGATTTGTTTTGTTAGGGATAGTATAATATCTAGGGCTAGTATAGTATGTATAGCTATGTCCGGGTCTGAATAATTAATATCCTTAATTTTATTTAAGTACACACAACGGTATAGTAATACATTGTAAGATCTCATTTGTATGAAAATAGTTCCAGATCTAAATTCCCTAATGGTGCTTTACATACATATAAGTACACAGTTGCTTTCCTTTTTGTTTTTAATTTGACAAAAATATTTTGACTTGGTCCTTTGACAAATATTACCTTCGGGTATTAAGTACAAGTTCATACAGTAAGTAAATCAGATCGTTATTCGATATAAAGTAAGTATCGATAATTACATTTTTTATGTAAGTACGAATTTTAGAAGATTTCATTATTATTACTTAGTAACATAAATCATTAATTTAAGTATCTATTAATTTGTATCATCTACTACATTGTCTAATGTCTGCAGTCTTCTATTTCAATAGTGACTTTAATTCAAGATTTTTTTGTTCCCAAAGTCAACCCTTAATTGGGCCAGAATATACGATACTTATAACTCTTCAATTCCTGTTTTTGTTTGTTCCATATTTGATATCAATAAACTAAAAAATAACTTTTGACATAATTCTTTACGATAATATAAAAAAAAATCTACCCATATTGGTCAGGGGTAAATATCACATTCTTCAAGTTGTAGAAGGTGACATTATTTTTAACGAGGTGGTTCAATTAATTAACAATTAAGACTAGAAAAAGAGGCGAGATTATAATTGGGTGTCTATCCTTTGCGTAACTTCGATGTCGTCGTTATTTTTAGAATCGTCACCTGTGAATAAGACATGCATTTTATTAATAACAATGTTAACAATTTCCTAAACACTAAAAAACGTCTAGAAATTATAAAACATAAAAAGCAAACTTGTGCATAGATATTTTTTTTTATGATGAATATAATGAATGGAAATAATTGACGGACTTGTCCGTCATATATCTATCCGCCGGTAACCGGTAACTCGCCTATATTAATAAACAGTACAAGATCATGTCATGTGACGCCCGTGATACTCTTTCGATTTCAGATGACGAAGATATCTCTTATAATCATACCTCTTATAATGTAATTTAACTACTGCTGCATTCTGCCGAAATACAGCTTACAAACCAAGCTACTTGGCGTCTAAAATAACGGATATGGAATGTAAAAGAGAAGGTTCTTATTTGAATCACAATAATTGTTTATCAATTTTTTATCAATAGTGGCTTCAGAATAGCGTCATAAATTGGGCAAAATAACACAGGCTTTGATCTGAGGGTGCCTTGAACATAGAAAGAATCCTATAATAAGCCTATTACATACTATACTAAAAAAAGTTTAATTAATTTAAGAAACTAGAACATGAAACAATTATTGATAAAAAGAGGACTGCATCCCCAATACATTATCATGATGATGTATTTGCCACGGGCCTTAGATATTATAGCTGAAGCTGAAGAAACATAACTTTTTAATTCAGTGAAATGGCAAAACATGAAGGATGTCCTGGATGATGCAGTATTCTACATTATATCCACGAATATATATACTGTATATATATACTGTATCTATGCTAATATTACTTATATGTATATCTAGTCTAGTATATAAATATTAAATATAGTAAAGATTACTAATTAATTAGTCTATATCTACCGTAATGTATAACTTACCTTTTGATAACAATTTTGGCCCAGTTATGGCAATGAGGATCGCACCTAAAGGAGCTGATATTATTACACTGAGTACGCTCACAGCAAGAAGTGCTTTAGAATGTTGTTCTTCTTCTGATGGTGGAAGACCAGATGTTTGGCCGCTATTTACAAGGTCTAATGCAGCGGGACCTAAGGCGGCCTGTAACACAATTTCAAATTAGTACCTTGGATAATTTTGTTTTAATAAAAAAAAGCAGACGTAATCATCGCTAAAACAGCGATGATTACGTCTGCTTTTTTTTTAAACACAAAAGGAAGCCCGATTTCGTTTTGGAGATACAATCTTTAAGTGAAATATTTGTGCTCTTTCAGCCAAATTTCAAATGAACTTAAAATAATGACTTTTGAATAGTCATATTTTTTGATTCTACAAAAAAGTAAGAAACAGACTTACTGTCACATTTATAATATTAGTATAGATTATATATACATATACAATTATAGAATACGCATTGATTAAGAAATAATTGTTTTGTGCATGGTAACTAAAACATTGAAAGATCGCGTTTAAGCTTAAAATAGATTTTCAATTTAATATATCAAATGATGATGATTTTACCTGTACAGTAGCCTTAGCAAGCCAAGTTACACCGATGAACAGTTTTTCTTTTTTATTTAGCCCACATCCGAAACTAACCAGGAAAGTCGCTATAACTCGAAGCAATAAACACGAAATAAGGCATATCGCTCCCATTTTAATAACTTCAGGGTCCAAGGCACTAATCTGTGGACAAAATGGTCGATTTTTTTATTATTTATTATTATCTATTTGGTAAGTAACCTAATATAATCGTAAGAGTTGAAAAGAATGTACGTGAGGAAATGAAATTTACAGTTTGGTTATAAGTACCTAACTATGCAATATTTGCCAAATCGTACATAACCTACTATTATTTATATCAAGGATTATCAGTCTATGAATGCTTTTGCAATGCATGCTTACTACTGTATTTCTATATACCTACTACATGAACATGAAATTTATTCCAATCCAAATATAATATGACGTAGAAAAAAAATTCAAATACAATAATCTTTAAGATTAAAAATACATATAGCCAAACAAATATTTCTTTACTGTATATAGTGATAGACATATTTTATCAAAAATATCCAATTTTACATACCGTAATCTGTGCACCAGTGAAAGCAAAGAGAATAGGCTCAAAAAATATCCATAATATTCTGAATATGTTGCTAACTGGATTCTTATTGACGACCCATCCTTGTTTCTCCCAGAAATAGGCTGCAACGAATCCTGATGAAACTATGGCAAGTGGTCCTAGAAACATAGATTCGGTCAAAACAAAAGCCTAAGTTACTTCCTATTTACATTAGCTATCTACGAGTGAAAGTACCGGCATAATCGGACCAGTAGTTTCAGAGATTAGCAAAAACATACAGGCAGACATTACTGTATACAAAAGTCCATTTACTAAAAATCTGTTAATTTAAAATTACGAACAGATACTATAAATCAATTTAATTTATATAGATTAGGGTGGCTATATTTAGACCATAAATCCAGTGCTATTTATGAATATTTAAGATGTTCTTACCTGCTCCACTCCATCCGATTAGACTTGATATGAACAAAGCGAACAGTCCTCCTAAAAATAATGCTAAAAATCTCAAAGGCACCATATATATATCGCCCTTCTCTGGTATTATAGCAAGCATGGCACCCCATAGTGATCCAAACAATACGCCAACGATTATTGATAGTGGTCCCTAAAATAGTCAATTCATTTATTTAACTTGCATTTAAATGGTACTAAGTACTTGGTAATAAGTAATTAATTGCACAAAAATCTCTAAAATGTGTTGACCTAGTATTTCAAGAATTATAAAATAATTTTATTACATACATATTGTATTACAGATAAGACAATATTACATAATATGTACATATTAATACTTATTTTTGTAGTCCATTTACACTACAGTAATAAAAAAATAGTAATTTATTTAAAAAAGTCATTAATACCTTTACAATATTGAAAGTCACCGAACCCGGAGAGAACATAGCATTCAAAATTATAGCGAAAACTGCAACACTGATGGAATCATCTATGGCTGCAGCAGCCAGAAGCAATGTTGGTATTCCTTTAGAAACACCATAGCCCACGTCTCTCAACCTGAAGAGACAGGGGACAACTACAGCTGGAGATACTGAAGCTATCATTGACCCCAAGAGGAAACCTGGAATTAAATAAATAATATACTTTGAAAACAAATATGCAAATATATTATTCTCAATGCACAGTCAAAATCAGTTATAGGTATATACTAATATTAGAAAGTTTACATTTTGGATCAGAGATTTAGCTGTTGTAGCTGTTGGCAATGGGATATCAAAAAATCTAAGCCCATAATATCTTTCAGACTAGTGGAAATTTATATAAATATACGGGTTATAGGGATGTAACTAAACCCGCAGAAAAAAAATTGTAAATTAACATAACTGCATAAGGATCAAAATCAAATTAATATGGATATTAAATTGTTTGTTTGAAACATTAAAAATATCGACTGAACACTGGCATTATCTATACATATAAATGATCTATACACATTAATAAAATTGGAGTGTCTGTTTGTAATATTGAAATAAACGTTTTTTACTACATACATATGAATATAAATAGGATACACACCAAAATAACATTTTTTACAATTTTTGTCTGCCTGTCTGTTTGTTCCGGCTAATCTATGAAATAGCTGGACCGATTTTGACGGGACTTTTTTTGGCAGGTAGCTGATGTAATAAGGAGTAACTTAGGTTACTTTTATTTTAGAAAAATTAAGTTAAATTCCACGCGGACGAAGTCGCGTGTACAGGTAGTTATTAATAAAAATGGTTCTTTATAAAAATCTTACCCCATATCCAAGGCAATCCCAATAAGTAATGCGAAGTAACACTAATGGCAACGCATTCGACCAGCCACGGCAATAAACCTAATTGTAAGACTGCTACATAGTGCTTTCTTAAAATTGCAGCATCCAAGCCTAGTCCTGCTCGAGTTAAAATAATAACTAAGGCTACTTTCCTGAAAAAAAAACAGGAGATGTAATACTATAGGTGCACGTTTCGGTGAATATTTATTTTTTTTGCCGGTTGGCAGCAGCTGGACTTTACAGCTTCACCGGATGATAGAGAGCGAGTGCAGATGGCACTCTAACCCCGCGGAAGGACTTATTTAGATTTAGAGGAGGAAAAGGTCAACTCCCGGCTGGCTAATATGACTTTAGTCTGTGGGCTCAGTTAGGGGTTCGAACCTCGGCTGAGGCCATAATTTCGATTCCCCTTTGAATTAGACGGGGGATCGATCGGAGGGGTAAAAAGTTGTATTTTCGTTGGTATATAGTATATTTAACTACGTTTAATGTGAATGTGAGACTAGTGAATCCTGAAGGATATAAAATATAAATGATTTATAATTTCGAGATTGATTATTTATTTATTTAGCCTATACCTCAAATCTTGGTTCAGCTTCCTATAAGTGTCGGTCATGTGTATTATATTTAAGTTTTGGAATAAAATTCCTGTCACCAACATGCCTATAAGTGCCGGTAACGTAGTGATTTTTAACCACAGCCATCCAATTAAGTACGCCGCTATGACTAAAAAGGTCATGCTAAGGAGCTCGCCATTTAAGCCCACAGATTCTCCTAACTCTGCGTACAGGATGCCCCAGGTTAGTAGAACTGCAATAAAAATAAAAAAAACATTGCCTCTAAAAATAGGATATCTTCACATATGACAATAACTTTCTTGAGGTCTCGAAGGTACTGAATATTTTCTTAGTCATCTTAGTGACGGTTAGCATAGTTCAAGGACAGGTTGCGAGTCTACAATAATTGTATAATATCTAATTCTGGTATTTCTTACTACAACTACTACTAGATGTGTTTTAAAGATATGTTTCGTATTTACTTCGGTCATGAACTTTCAAATACTTAAGGCTAATAAATTTCGATGAAAAGGAGTTGATTAGGTATATTTCGAGGTTGGTATATTGTAGATATAAGTATATATTTTATACTACGACGGTGACAAACAATCTGATGGTAAATGGTTACCATCATACGACTTGAGTTTTATTTTCATGAAGAAAATAATGTTTCATATCTAACTGATCTAGGTCTGTAAATTATTAATTAGTATAAAATTCTTAAACTAAATTAATAGAATCCAACTGTTTACATTATGATTACATATAACAACAACTGTCTACATATCTTAACTGCATTATCAATTTCACATTATTTATACAAATATGTGAAAAGGTAGAGCGAATATTTGAAGTGGTTAATGTACATAAAATAGCGTTTACCGAGATAAAACTTCATTTGTTTGTGCACTAACAGTATTATGTAAATCAGGAAAATGTTTAATTTAGGCAAGTACTATACATAGCTAATTAATTAAAAACAGCTAGCCACCAATATTTTTGGAATGGTCGTAAATTGTGTACATAGAAAACTATAGATTAGGTGTTGAGTTTTATGCATTAATGCAAGCTACAACATCCCAGGTAGGTAGGTATATCCGTATTTGAAATTATGTATTCTTTTCATTAATATACAAAAATTGCTTTTTTTCTTAAAAAAGGAGCCTTTATATTCTGGAATATAATAACGCTTGCACTGCAATTTTTCAAAAGAAACTATTATTTTTTAATATTACCTACGTATTCTTGTTTATGTAAATTACTTTAGTAAATTTCCAATAAAAGCCAATCATGCTTTTTCGATTTCAAGGATTTTATTTAACTTATCTTGAAAAGTTAAATAAAACCCTTGAAATCGATTTTGAATTAAAAAAACAAAACAGTACCTCTATATTTGGAAAATTCATAAGCTAAATATACTTACAGAACATAATGATGCAAAGCTGCTGTGCCGTCTGTCTGTATGTAGAGAAGAAAGGAAAAGGGAATAATTTTGTCCACCAAGACGGTTGCCAGGACGGTGTTGGGTCTTCTTGGTGACATCGTAAACATAATTTCTCCCACCAACTAAAATATAAAGTAATAATTTAAGACCTATTATTAACACTCAGATTACAAATGAACCATATAATGTACATACTTGTCACTAGATCCCTCGTTTTTCTCATCTGTCAATAAAAAAATAAAACATTAAATTGTTAATACAAAAATATTTGTCCGTTTTTCAACTCCATGAATACTGTGTTCAAAAGCCTTTATTTCTTTATGAATGTTCACTTCTCGAGATTGTTCCACTAGCCAAACAAATGTAAATTAATATAGTTTGGTAGGTAAATCCATTAATTTAACAAGTTTTAGTTCCGAAATTATCAGACACGAATAATGCGAGGCGGAACTTTAGTGTCATATTAAAATTTAAATATACTTTGGTGGAATAGAAAGTCTATACCTACCTACTAAATATATGTATATAACTACTAGAAATATAAGAATTTAAGAGTAGAAAATGTACGTATTCGATTATAAAATTAATAACTTTGTAATTTGTAGCGAACTTATATGTTCGGGAGCGCCTCTGAAAACTCTGGCAGTGGCGTAATAGAACTTGTATGCAAGTACATAGATCTTTATTTTGTTTACATAATAGCTTTTACTTTTAATTATATAGAAGATAGATATACGCATGTCTACTCGTTGAGCTGCATTTAAACCAAACGTCATAATCATTATAATTCTTTTTATATCTCCAATTTCGCCCGTACTTATTTATACTGGCTTATACCTGATACGTAAGATACTGTCATAAGTGTTATACTACCATATTTATCATAGTCGTTTATTTACATCTCTACCACATTTGGGTTTTTATCATATATCAAATTTGCACCTCTAAGTTATGAAAACGAAAATAATAGAGTTAATAAGTCATATAGAAACAGTAATAAAAGTGATTTAACAGTGATCTCATGGATCATGTAGTAAACCTTTTTATATATAAAAGGATGTCCGATAGACTAACTATATAAGAATCGACATGCTTATGCTTATGTCATATATAGATATATATATTTTAATAGATTGATTACTGAGTTGTAATATGTATTTCATTTTTAATAATTGTTACTAAGGTAGTATTATTAGGAGGTATTAGTAAGGATCATAAGTAGTAAGCTATCATAAAATAGGACAAAACAAAAAATTACAATGAATTAATGTAATAATAATAAATTATATAATTATGAACAAATCGTTATTATTTTTTCTTGCAATTTTATTTTCCATATTGAAGTATTTTATATATATTCTATATATAGCTATAGTTTGAGAGAAATCCCTATCGACATTCTTATCTAGAAGGTGATCTTGACACAGCACGGACAATCATATTTAAATTATGGACTGGAGATATAATACGAGTATTTACCTGTAAATATGTAGGTGCAAATGACAATAATTGTAATTATAAATATTAAATGACGATCCCACAACCACTATGAAGTGCCGAAACTTCCAAGCAATACCAGATTTAAATTTTTAATCTACAAGCTATTTCATCCCAATATTAACGGCTGTTCCCAGTAATATATCCTTATAAACTAAACTTATTTATTATTTACTTTAGTTTCGGTTAGATAATGACGATTTGTATAAATAAAATAATATACCTAATTAAATTGTCATACGCAAAGTATATTGTAGATATTTATATTAATGGGAACAGCCGTGAAACTAGATTACTGAATTTCTTCCCCACACTTAAAACTCGAATGTTAAGCCAATTAATGTTTTATTTTTGCGGTGATAAATAATTGTATATATAAGGCGTGTTCATGTTAGGAATAATCGAACAGATTAAACATAATAGCATAGAGAATCAAATCTATCATTACATTATCAGTATAAAAATATAGTAGGTACCTAATAGTATTCAGTACAACATTACAGCGCCAATATTTTTTCTGTGTATATTTTTTATTGGTTTGCAAATAATAAATATAGCTATATTTATACATGTGTAGTAATAGAAATACAAAGCATCTGTATATAAGTGTTTGTCGAAGTCACCGTTTCGTATATAAATAATTATATAAATAATTTTATCAAGCTTATAGTGCAATATAGCAAAAAAACTGTGCTATAAATAAAACCAGGAAATTTTGTTTACCTACGAACGTATACACTCGAGCACCTATAAACACAATAAGTAATTTTATTTTTTATTTAATTATTTTGTATATTACAAACTGTTAAAACTTTAATTACCAAGCGTACAAAAAAAAAATAACTGAAATAACGTGGTTACTAATTTCTACATAGGAAATGCAAAAAAATATTTAATGCTTGTGATAATTACAATTACAACAACATTTATCAGTATTACTTAATGAAATACTTGTCGTAATTCTTAATAATTTGATTAGAGTATAAGTACCTAGTATTTTCTCGGTGTAAAGATATACAAACGAAGATGCATTTTTAAATATTGTTTATTTATTAAATAAATAATATTATCTAGAACGTTGTAGTCTATAATTAATAGAGTTGGTTTTTCTACGATTCCACTTATTACACCATAAAATAATGTAAGATTTCCATACTAAAACGTTAGTTTCAAACTCCTCAATAGCGAAGGTTGAGACTAACTTTTAGCGAATGCGTTAATTCAGTTACACGCATAAAAATAAGTATTCAATGTCCCTACCTGGATCATTTAAATTATTTTCCATCGTCATTATACGTCACGCATTTCCTGAGGAAAATAAAAAAATAAGTAATCAGTTAGGATCTCCATTTGAATATCTTAGATATATCTATACATAATAAAAATAATGTGAGGTATAGAGTCCTTATATACACTGTTTTAGATAAATGTTTCGGTAACCATCTTTATGTTCAACTATCTTTCACCTATTTTTTTTTAGATAAAAGCTACCTTAAGTCCCTCCATCTCCACAATCTAAATTCAAGGGTACTTATTCAGTAGTATAATAGATAGACACACTTCGTATATACATATATTACTGGAGAATAAATTTAAAAACAATGGTGTAAATCAAAACCCAGTTAGTGATTCTAAACATAATTTTCTAAAGATCGAAATACGTTTTGCTATTTAAATTTATTAGTTCAGTGCTTATTTTTATTTAATATTAGCTGTGCCCAAGATTCCGCCCACATGGAATAGTGACCATTTTGAACTATTTAGGCTAATTATAAAAAGGTAAAGAAAAAACTTGATAAAAATGACCTATTTCCTTACAAACACTTTCTCCCCTTTATTATTTTACTCCCTTAAGGGTATAATTTTTACATACTTTCAATATTATATTGATGTATTTTATTAACAGCCTAAAAAATAAGTTTCAAGCTTCTAGCTTTAAAAATGACGATTCTTCCATACATCCTCATCTCGGGACGAAATCGCGGTCACATTTAGTTTTATGTTAGACCTACAATGAGAATATATTTGTGATAAATATGGAACTGCTAACTGCTTGTATATTTTTTTAAGTAATTGAAATAGCAAACAAGCTTTCGTTCCCCCTGATGGTAAGTGATGATCGTCGTTTATATACATTTAATGATTTTAAATTGATTATAAATCGAGCGATCACATCACGATAACCTTTCAACCAAGACAAATCACAGATGAAATAGGTGATTATATATGAGAATAAAAATATATATAATACTATCAGTATTCTATATAACATTCGCGAATTGTGTGTATCGAACTTTTTGTCGAGTGGAACCGAACTTTTTTTTATGAAATAAATAAATAAAAATAGATTATGTTACTCCTTATGCATTTACCTGTGAAATTTCCATCAAAATCGATATACTGGTTTCAGAGATTAGCAAGAATAAACATGCATACAAGTACGGCATATGTACTTCCATATACATTTCGTAAAAAACCGTTAATTTGAAATACAACACAGACAGACATTTTTTTTTATTTGTGTTGATTTATAATAATATTCTTAGAATAATTGTTTGTCCGTGCACTTGTGTCGTTAACCTCAGAAAAAGCTTAACCAATTTATGTACAATTTTCACAAATGTATTCCGGCAAGATTAATTTAAATAAAATTACTTTAATATTTGGGTACGCGCCGGCTGTGCTAATTCCCAATAAAGCTCCGGCACTGGTGGTAAGTTGTCATAAGGTTAATAAACTTAGAGTTAGAGACATAATGTTAGCTTACTTTTTTTATAACTGCACTTTGATTTTTTTAAATGTATTTTATATATTACCGCATAACTGTTACAGTCGTGCATTCTAAATTTCTAATACTTTACGAAAAGTTAACTACATTAAAAGCATAGATAACATTAATTTAATATTAATACAAACATAATGTTTAAAACACAAAATATAATTGAAGATCAGTGAATTAAACTGTTTTTAAATACCTCTAAAAATGTTATTGTTTATTAATGACAGTAGTCTCCTTAATACGACTGGGACTCCAAAACACGTTTACAGTTTCAGATTTGTGACTGCACTGTCGTAACAATCTACTCTGTCTCTGTTCTTGTAGATTGTATACACTACGTATAATGTGTATTGTAGACGTTATGTACACCGAGCGAAGGCCATTTAAGTCAGAAGTCAATATGATAAAATTGTATCTAAACGAAAACACGAGATTACCATGTGGCATCGTCTCGGCTGTGACGACAGAACTGTCATACTTGTAGAGAAATAAGTTTTTCAGATGACATTCTTATCAATGACGAAATGACACGATAAAACATTCTAAAAATTTTCAAATATTTATTGTATTCTATTTTTAAATTAATCGAAACCGATAGGGAAATAAAAATTTAAGGCGACATTCTTATCAATAATAAAATGACACGATAAAACATTCTAAAAATGTTCAAATATTTACTTATGTTCTATTTTTAAATTAATCGAAACCGATAGGGAAATGTAAATTTAAGGTGACATTTTTATCAATGACAATAAGACAAGATAAAAACATTTTAACCGGAAATATCTACTACTTTCCAGTTGGAGATACATTTTTTTATGGATAATAATGAAATGGTGCCTGCGACAACATTACGTTCAACAATAATTCTAGGGGATATTCTAAATAATGTCAGGGGAATTATTATAAAATTTGATATTTTTAAAATAAACGAGTAAAACATTTGTATTAGCAATTTTTAGTGAGTGTTCATTTTAGTTCGTAATCGGCGTTTTCTTTGCGGGTTTATGTTTTTAACTTTTTATTGAACATGGTTCCTTTAATTGATGAATATGAATGGTACGCTAACACTATACATATTCAGAGCACCAGTGAAAGTCATTGTCGAAATAATTTATTCATATCTGACACTGTAAAATGATGATAATATGATGAGGATTAAAGTCAGGTAGACCATCATAATGAATACACTGGAACTTAACCACGATGGTTTCTAGGAGAATTGTTTTGGGTTCTATTAAGTTAATATAGTTCTCAAAAATAGTTTACAGTGATTAGTTACCTATAGGCAGAGATCAGTTACATTTTGTATATAGTTAGACACTTGTTCATATAGATGTATTCCAACACGATTTCATGTATTGAGCAACGATGCTGAGTACTATTTATTAATGTTTATGTGACGCTATGGTGAGTCATTACTCTATATGCGTAAGTCGCTGGGGGATCATAATTTGATCATTTAATACAGCAATAATAGTTTTGGTACCCAACAGTATCATTTTATAATTATGTTTATGTATGATGACTCAAGTTATTTTGTGCAAGTATTAAGTAATATTCTAAAACTAATCTCTAGTTTTTCTTCTAAGTTCTTCTTGTTAGGTAGGTAAAATGTAAAAATGTAGTAGGTACATATTTTATAGATCCTTTCTTATACCTACTAAATAACATTTTATTTTTTGTAGTATTAGTAGGTATTGTTTTCTTTTGTTGACCTATTGCTTGTAGTGTTGTTTTTGATATGTCCCATCAAACGTCCTCCAGTTGTAAACTCACGTAGGTTTTGTATGTAGTGTTAGATAAAGGTTAAATATATAATGAAGAAGTAGTAGATATAATTATTATATCTATGTATATTGTATCTTTTTTTAATAGGTAATCTATATGATTACCTAGTTACTATGTCGTTACTCTGCGGAGTGATCCGCAGTTCTGGTTCTTCACACTTTGGCCTGATTTTTGGTGATAGTATTTTTTCATTAAATTTCAAATATAGTAATAAAACACCTTCAAATTATATAAAAAAATTCTAAAGTTATTTTCTAATATTTTGTGTACCACGCTTACAGTTAGTAAGCGTAAAACATTAAGTACAGCAAAAACATTTTTTTTGTTTATTATTACACTTTATCACACTATTGCGATGAACCTATACCATATTTACCTATTATTAAACCTTTTTTTATTGTTTAGTTTCATATATTAAAAATAACATAACATTTTTTGTTACTTATTGATTCTAATAAAATAAACAAGTAAAATAACTTACATTTATTCGAAGCTCTAATATAGTATAGGTTATGTTTTGACAGACACAAAATTTTCATTGTATTGTAGTGAATTTTGTGTACTTACTTAACTGGTTAATTACAGTGGGCAGTAGACTAATAAGTCACTTTAGTATTCCAATAAAGTAGAAGTAAATACGATGTAACTACAAATTTGCTTTCTTAGAGTTTCTATAAAATTCATATATACCTATAATGATTGTATATAAAAAATATCTAAAACACGAAAATTTATAGTATCACAGTCTGTTTATTCACTAAATTAAATATTCTATTCAGAGTAAGTAAATAAATATGTTTAAGCCAATAACAATAACAACGTAGTGTAGTGTAGCGTAGAAATCTTCCAAAAAAGTACTCTGTGAGTTTTAGCATGTACCTATAGATATTATTCTTATAAATAATCATAGAATACTTCACCAGAGGGCGCTTAATAGAATATTACAAAAAGTAGGTATATAACTCAAAGCATTAAATAAAAACTCAGTGCAAATAAGTACAAAACTGAAGATTTGAAATTGGAATCTTATTTATTTTAGATGTTTAAATTCGGATTATAATATAATTTTCACTTTGGAGGATGTTTATTAAACAGAATATTTAATTTGAGGTACGGTCACTAGATGGCGATGTGTGTACTAAAAATATAGATAAGTTTCTAAGAGTCCATAATTTAATTATTTTTAACTGATAATGATGAACTATATCGGAGGATATCGGAGGATATTACTATATATCTATTTACAAATATTTTAGTAAATTGTTTAGAAAGTAGGTAGGTAAGTAAATTCTAACAAGTTTTATTTTATATGGCTAATATGCATTATAACTAAGAACTGCAAGACAATCATTGAGAAAATAAAATAGTACAAGATGGTCTGGGATCGTCTTGTCTAGTACAATACTTCTTAAATTGTGGGTCGCTAGAGAAAACTACGGAACCTAAATTATTATTGAACGGGTTCTAATGTCACTACGGAAACTGAGCACCACTAATATTTATGAAAAATAAGGTCTTTTACGAGCCCCAAATTTGAAAATATTTATTAGGTCTGCAAGGATGTCATATCTGGAAAATTCATACATTTAGGAACAAAAGAATACAATATTTACATTTATTTTTATAGGTACCTACTGTTATGTAATATTATGTTATCTGTGCTACTGTACAGGAGGGCATTAAGCACAAAATGAATTTACTATTTCAGTATTTTTTACGTCAGTAACTCAGTAGTATACCTAGTAGGTATCATAATAATCATATGCGATTACTTAAGCATAGTTCCAATACATACAGTTATTTACTTCTATAACCGACGATTGTATCTATAATCTGAGAGTGTGACAATGCTAGTCCGAGTATCAAAATGGGCTCATTAAAAACTACTGTCGCTAAAAATATCACGAATTTAACGAATTTTTATTTAACATACAGTTATTTAACAAAATATGCAAATCTGTTGAATTTTACTTTCTGTGTTTTGGCTTGTCGGTCATGGGCAAGCATTAACATTTCACTGTCGACGGCGGGCGCGCGTCTTTCCCATATCCGCGACGGCAAAATGTATCGATAAACCAGTGCTTTCTAAACAAGATCTCAATCCATTAATGTTTATAATGTGAAGTGTGATGGAACTTAAAAAAACAGTAAATATTTAACATTTATACCTTTTAGTTCATGTGCCAATATGTATTTATTTAAGTGTGCAATATCAGTGTTTTTAATATTAATGATGTATACAAAAGTTGGTATGTTTCTGATAATTTCATAAAATATGCATGTAGGTATATAGTATTTATAAGAAGCTTTTAATAATTATTTATTAATTAAGAAAACCTAATTGTTATAGTCCAAACATATAACATGACATTATGTTAATTTAGTAAGTCTAAAATAAAAATAAAGTGATAAAATAAATGAAAACGTTCAAAAAATATAAAACAAATCCTATATTATTAAGAAACATTAAATTTCAAAAATGGAAGACAATACTAATTTCGATGTTAATGGAGAGGTTTGCAGATTGCCGATCAAGTTAGATTAAGTATTCTTGTTTTTAAATTTAACATAGGAATATACCTATATTTGCATTCATTGGCAATCAACTAAATCGGCACCCTTGTAAGCTCGCAATTGTTGTTTCGTAACCAAATTACTTAAGTATCCTAATGCTTAATCAAATAGTTATTTAAAATATTATGCAGATTATAAGATAAATTTAAATATATGAATTGAAATTAAGATGAACTTTCTTCAACTTTCAAAACAGGATATTTTGCACTATTCGTATGTCGGGTCGTTTCGAAGTAGAGTCAAATTGCTAAAATAGTGCTTTAGACTAATTAAAATAATTTACGTATTCGTTTTTTTAATACCGTAAATAATTACAATAATTATGGTAAGGTAATTGTCTACTGAGCTATTTAAAGTTTAATGTTAAATAAAGTGCGTTTTCATGACCATTTATACTAAACGATTCATGAGCACAGAACGTTCCAAGATGACAGATTTCATGCTCTGTTGGACATTACAATGCGTAGGAGAAATTGAGATTTTTTAACTTGTATCAGCCCGCACATATCTCAGTCGTCACGTAAACTAACGTAATAAACTGTGTATTCAATATCAGTCTGGCCCAGCTTCTTTTGAATCTCCCAAGAAGCGTCGTTTGTTGCTATGTACTATTATGACGTCATTTGGAATGGCAATCTTTTTTTATGCTTTACAACTGCTTCCAAACATATTAAAGTTTACATATGGGATTGCGATTTCTTTAGATCATCTACTTAATAATATTAAGTTTAACTAGTTTGAATGAAGGAGATAATAGGAATTAACAGCAAAATAAGAGTTAAATAGATATTTTTCGTCAGTGTAAATCAAATACCTACCGGAGTCTCTACGGACTGTTAATTATTACTAATATTTATGTAATATAATCTGTAAATAGTACGATTACATTACTATCTATTTAAGTCTATGAATGATCATCTCAAAAAATTTGAATAAATACTATTTGGAATTAAAATGAACAATACGCATAACTTATTGCTATAGATAGTGTAATGTCAACCAATAGAAAGTAAAAGCGAAAAAGTATGAAAACGCGCTTTCTTTTAATAGCTAAAAAGAGAATAAATCGTCGCATTATGTGTGTGATCTGGTTTTTTTCCAATCACGCTATTAACGCTTGTTCACACCATAAATATGTTCTCTATGATGACATGTAGTACGTAAGCAATTATGCAAATTAATATTATGAGAGAAATTATAATATTTTTTGCTTATAGGTAATTGATAAACTCAAAAAGACTTACTGATGAGAACTGTTACTAAGTTTTTTAATAATTTATTTACCTATTGAATACAAACTCCTTATAAATTTTACTTCTGGGATCGCAACCTTGCAATCTGCAATTATTATGCTTGTTACCGATTCTTCTAAAACAGTTTATGCGAAAGATTAAACTTCATTTTGAAGTTGTTTGATAAATTCCTGTGAACAAACTGGTATCGGACATTCGTTAAAGTTGCCAACCCTACTCTTTATACCTGACAGAAGGTGAAAGTTGTTGTGGCGGTTCGACCACTTCTTTTAAATCCTGAATTATGCTTCCAGGAATAATAAAGATGCTACTGTACCTTTCCTCTTTTGGATTTACAAGACATAACTGATTACGTAGCTACATACAATTCTGTTTTTTTATATTTGATTTTATAATCAAGTTTTATCGAATATTAATACCTATTTACAAAAAATATATTTGACTGATTATTTAGTTGTTTATGGTATATAATGGCTGCTCTGATGGAAAGTATACTGGAAAGTTGTTGCTCGTTAATACGCATAAACAAACCAAAATATAAACAATGAAACTCTTAGGCAGTTAAACTATGTAATTTTCTCTTAACTGTGGTTAAAGTAATAGTTTTTATATATTATTTAGGTACGTAAATTATGATCAAAGTGAGATCACTAAAGATAAATAAACTGACATGAACAAATATTTTTAAGTTTCCTGGATGTACTTATTACAATAGTTCTAGGTTGTGTAGGATGGAAAAATATTTCGGCCTATGTGTACCATATAAACATATAGACCAAGAAACAGCAACAGCTAAACCTTTGTTATTTTCTAAAGGCAATTTTTTTTCATATAAGTCTCCAATATAATAATGCTATTTATGTTGGAGATTCTACTATATCAATACTCACCACAGATAACATAATTGATACTCACCAATACAGATAGCATAAACTTTTAGGTAACTTTATAAATCAAAAAGCTGTTAGTCCGACGCTTAGCTTAAAGACACTTATGAATCAGTACGGGTGATTTCTGTTTTAGTACTTTATTATTCCTTTTCAGTATCAGAAGCAGAGGGCAGCTTGATGTCAATGATAGACTTTCGATACTTCAGATGTGTAATGAAAAGGGACTGGCAGTGTCCAAATAGTGAAATCAATTTTTATATGTTTACTCCGTAAGTATATACTGTCGTCCTTTTTAATTAATATTTTAGGTAGATAGAATATTCTTTACTTGTAACATATAGTAAAAAAAGGCATGAACAATATATTAAAGGACATATATCGTTACAATAAGGCGGCCTTATTGCTGAAATCAATTTTAGGTAGTTATTTACGAGTGGACAAAGAGATAATCATAATGTTATAAATACGACTTACATACGAAAAAAAGCAATGAGTTACTGAGCTATTACCAGTATTGGCAGTACCTATTTATAGATATAAAGTCATCACTCCATTACCAACTTATGCTTTAATATTTAAACTTTAGAGATTTTCTACAAAAATGTTCTTATTTATTAGGTATTGCGATATTGAAACGATCAGAAGTATGTCGTCTATGAAATTACTTTAGTTAAATAATTTATAGATTTGATAAAATCTTGTCAGTTTCATATTTATGTATATCAGTATTCCATGAGCAGGGAGAGACCATTCCAACAATGGGTGGACGTCCGCTACACAAGGCACCTCAAGGAGCACGGTTGGAAGAAAACCAGAAAGAATGTACTCATCATCCACGGCTTCAATGGAACCTATTCCAAGACACCGATGACCTTTATACGTGATGGTAATAATTAAACTCAAAATTTTACTAACAGTAACAATGAGACAGTTAATGTTTTTATATCGTACTGGCACAGTTACAACAGTACAGAATGAATACAAAATTACACATATATGTACATTAAAATGACAATACCATACTAATAATATCTACTGAATGTATAATATCGGAAACCAATCCATTTCGAAAGTATCTACGTACCAAAACATTACTTTCTGCGGACGCATTTTGACTAGAGATGGCTGATAATTCGATCTACAAAAGTATATACCTATGCATTGTAGTGAGATATTTACTCATTTGGTATTTGGCTCTGTAGATTAGGTTATTATATCTAGATTCAAGATTCTTTATTTGTAAAACATGCGTGATTACATAAGGAGATAATATACTTTACTAACTCGAGCTAGACTTTGTAAAAAGTTATATCCATAGGTCTGTATACTCACTACTATTGTACCTGTACCCCCACTCCAGAATTTTGACAGATACTGAAAGCATGACTGGAAGGAATCCCTCTTTTGGAATAATTCCGCCATTGTATGCATTTACTCCATAAGTCATGTGTCATTTTACCTATACATAATTTATTGTACAAGAAAGTATTACAAATAAAAGTATAATACCACTATTACGAGCATCATATGATAACGTGATGTCAATAGCACTGTTCATATATATATGCATAGGCGACCGTATCTACTTACCATCAGTGGAGCTGTTAACCTTTTTGCAATTACAGAAAATTTTTTTGTACATTTAATATTCATTAAAAAATCGAAACACGTTTGGTCAAGTCTTCAGTTTTGTCAATACGCTTGAAATACAGGAAATTAATAAATATTTTTTTATCTTGTTTTCCAGCGTACCTGTCTCGTAAAGATTATAACGTCTTCATGGTCGACTGGTCGCCGTTATCCCGGTTTCCATGTTACCTCTCATCACTCTCCAACATGAAGTAAGTTAAACCTTATTTTAATATAAATTTGGGTAAACATAAAATAAATTTTGAGGTGGAGGAGGGGATTGTATAGTTATAGGCGCTAGAAGCCCCATTGGGAACAATGTACCATGTCAGTACGACCTTTATGTGTTTCTTGTATACCATTCTTCGTCATGGTGCGGTTGCCAACTTGACTTCGTGCTCTATTGGCGATCCAAAAGTCACGTTAGCTCGCGGGTGCATCATTTCATTATCCAGTTTTTCTTTATTTCATTAACAAGTTTATTAAGGATCCTACATGTTGATCTCCAAGATCTGTGTAGCAAATTTCATTTAAACCGTCTAATTATTATACTAGCTAAAGTTGTATATTTCTCCTATGACATATTAGTATGTCGGAGGCCGAAAAATACAATGTTCTCGTTTATCTACCATCAGTATAGTGTGCAAGGTCTAAGACGAACGCAAAATAACTTAAATACAGATTTTGTTCTTAAAATAAACTTGTCACCATACCTAATGTTTAAGGCGTGTAGCCTACATTTTATATGTTACAATTGTTTCACTTGACCAATTTCCGTGACGTTATCGTAAAAGTTCGCGACGATCAAAGAGAAAGTAGCGGAGATAATTTGCAGGTGGAACTAATTATTTATATGATATCATGGATACTGGCGATTATATGGTATTTAAATGCTATGGCGAAAAACGATACCATTATATCGTTACTTAGGTACTAACTTACTATTTAAATATAGCTTTCGTTTATCTTTCTTTTTGTATACTAGTAAATTTATAAAAACAGTATGTTATAGTACAACTATGTTTTTCGTTTGTAGGATGAGATAAGGCAGCAAAATTACAGGTCATAGAGGCATCATATCTTACTCCTCCGGAATTCCTAAATATGAGTGGTATCGCGGATGTCACATGTCCATAGTGCTATTCATGTATATAGTTAATGGTTGGTCATTTATATAAATAGAATAATAAAATCGAATAGAATAAGTACTCTACCAAAATTGTCAAAAAGGTTATAAATAATAGCATTATGCTATTATAGGTTTACAAATAGGTAGTTGTCTAGTACCTACAATAATACTAACATTAAAAAACAAATCATTATTTCAGATTAACAGCACAATGCACTGCACAGCTGTACTCTCAAATAACACAGGCTGGGGCACTCGCTAAGATGATCACCTGTGTCGGCCACTCCCTTGGAGCGCATATATGTGGGATGATATCAAATCACCTTACTGAGAAACAGTACAAAATCGTTGGTAAGTCCTTATTAATTTTTTATAGTAATTCTTTAGTAGAGTTCATTGACTTATGCTGATGGATATATATCATAGTTATTTCTATTGGAAGAAATAACTATGATCAATATCCATCCACCAAGTGCGTGGATTCAAAATTCTTGTATTAATCAAGAGATCGTCCTTAAAAAATAATGAAATGGTTTGGTTAGGAGAACAAATGAAACGTAACAGTAACTAAGCAAAATCAATTAAAGGTTCAAATGAAATAAACTACACATATGTGTATAAATATAACGATACAATTTGCAGTAACTATAATATTCGTAGTGTTTATTCATATCCATAAAGTATATTGCATGACTATAATAAGATCTATGATCTTATACGTCTTCCAAATAATGTAGTTGTAATCCCAAATGTACCTATAATTCAAATTAATCAAATCAATCAAATTAAATTTGTCTATTACTAAAATCTATGTATATTTCTTACTTTACTTGAAGTACAGATCTACCATTGTAGGTGAATATTTTTTATAGAAAAGGTGTTATAATAATTCTGAAAGGTATTATAGGATATTTAAATAATGTTAAAATATATTAAGATATAAATTTTATTTAACAACAGTTACATTACTGTAATTTATGTATGTATGAGTATAGTAAAAAAAAAGTATAAAGTATATAAACTGGCACATAAAATTTGGTTATTAATACCTATAAATATCAGGACCTGTATATGGCAAACGTCACTTAGAGTTGTGGTCCTTTGGGTAGAGCCAATGTTACAGTCTTCGTTTCCAAATATTGGGCAATACCATCCTCTCCTCTGAAAATGAATGAATGTTTTTAAAGTAATAAACATTTTTCCATTTTTTTCATTTTCATATCATTTACTTGATTATAGCAGAAAGGAAAAAATATTCTTTGAGTATAATATAAATGTAAATGTATGAATAACTTCTATCTACCTATATAAGTTAATAACAAAACAATTATGCTGCACCTATTTTTATGAATTAATTATATGCAAATACAAGTGAATACTGGTATTGTATATTATGTCTAAACTTCCAACTACATAAAAGTATATACAGATAATATATTTTATGTAACATATTATATACTTACAACTCTCTGCCAAGGCCGGAGTCCTTGAAGCCACCGAATGGTGTTTGACTTGTCACATGGTCGTATGTATTGATCCTACAAATAAAATAAATAAAATATTATTGTATACACAATTATGTCTAACTAACAATGCACATACTTATAATTATGTGGTCTATAAATATATATTATCTCTAGAGACATTGTTAAAAATTCACATAGGTGGCAAATAATGTCTTAAAAGAATAAAAGATTTTCACTTCGTTTTGTCTTCTTGTCGTGTCTATGAATTATGTAAACTATAAAAGTGCTAATAGTATGTTTTTACGCAGCAAAATAGCTTCCAGAGACTGAATTACCTACCTACCAACTTTATTTTTAAATTCAATAAACTCTTTAATCACTGGAATAGCAAACAAGTAAATGGGAAAACTATTTAAAAAATTAGAAATCTGTTAATAGTTGTCATATTTCTATTGATTTTGATGTAAAATTTATTGTAGAATAAATGATTGGATTTTAGGACAATAAGAAAGACACTGACAGGTTTAAATTTACTAGACTACAACTAGATTTTATTATATAATTCTATACCAATATGCAAATTCACCAAAATGTTAATGATAATAGACCCATGATTATGCTTTATCTACTTAGAATTTGCATTTTTCAGAACTTACCAAACGGATCCAGATTTAATATGCTTAGCGAAACTTAATGCTTTAGTGATATCATTCGTAATGACACCAGCCCCAAGTCCATAGTTTGTGTCATTGGCGCGATCAATGACTTCCTCGAAAGTATCGAATTTAAAGATACTTTGTACGGGGCCGAATATCTGTGAACACAACATTAACATTATTTTTGTACTATCCTATTGTTAATGTTAAATGCTGTATTGTTAAGGTCAGTAACGACTCTTCCTAGCCGTCTATGAAAAAATAAAAATACTTCAGCCTGAGTTATAACTTCATAACAGCTGATATATAATATTTCTTTTTATTTATTTATTTCAGGCTACTTATGGCCCATATTATAAATAATATATATATTATCATATAGGTACATGTAGAATTGAATAATTTATTTATTTTTTATTCAAATTCAAAATATATTTCTACTTCTATAACTTGCTAAGATCTTAATTTGAATTTTGTACTTAATTTAAGCAGTTACTCTTGAAGAAAAAACATAGAAGTTTACCTCTTCTCTAGCTATTTTCATGTCATCCTTTACATCAGCGAATACAGTGGGCTTGATGTAGTATCCCTTGCTTCCAAGTTTGTCTCCTCCAGCAAGACACCTTGCTCCACCTTGTTTACCTGCTTCTATATAACCAAGTACCTTTTCGTACATCTCTTTGTCGATCTGCAAATTTTTATTATTATATTTTATTTATATTATACTAGGTTCCGGATGATCGAATTGTAGTATTTTGGTATTTGTGTGCAAGCAACATTTAATTATTTAAATTGTGAAAAGAGACAAAAAGAAAAATATACGGTAAAAATACAAAGTTAGTAAAAACTTTACCAGTTGTAGGTATATGCAATGACATAAAGAGGAGATTACAGAAATTAAAACTAATTATAGTGAATAACGAATTCAACTAATTCCATATTAATAATACTTGTTTTCGTACTTGATAACAATAGTAGAATATTAACTTATGAAATATACATACGATGAGTATTAAGTGATACTCAATAATTATATTGATAAATACATAGTAAGAAGAATGAAAGAGGAAAAAAATTTTCCGGCCTCAAATAGTAGAACAAGGACAAGGTCATGATGAATCATAAGTAACAGATAGCATATGTGTTTACAATTTCAATAAAAACAGATTGAACTAAGTATAGTTTAATTTTTTTTTTAGTTTTTTAGTTTAAAATGAATAATTAAAATATAAATCTATGTGTATATAACTATTTATCTAAAAGTAAACCGACAGTATCTGTCATCATCATCATAGATGATTTTTTTTAATCCTTCGTAAATAACTTTTCTGTGGTGTTCATGTTATTACTTAATTAACTATATATATTTTACTATTGTAAATAAATGCTTTTAAGTAGTTTGTAGGCACTACCTTAAAAATAAAAAGATCAATATTAATTTGTTTAAAATAGCATACAAGCGAGTTTCTTGACTCTTATTTTTAGATGATTTTACATTCCCATTTCCAATTTCCTAAAAAATACTGTTTAAAAATTATAATTTGAATATGGATTACTTCTACTTCTATACCTGAGGTCCCTGCTGAACATTCTCGAAGGGATTTCCAACAGATCTCTTCTGAGCGATTTCAGCTGCCTTCGTAATGAATTGGTCATATATGCCGGACTGCACGTATGTTCTGGTACCAGCACAACAACACTGACCGCCATTTGCGAAAGCAGCCGCGTGAGCTATTTGAGCTGCTTTTTCCACTGAAAAAAAGCAGATATAGTATTTTTATTATTGATTCCACGTCAAATAGAGGTTCTTAAATCCCTTGAATTTATATCGTGTATTAAGTAAGAATATTAATTAATAAAATTTAGTTCTTAAAGGATGGTAGTCATATATATTGGACTGCATCTTTTATAGTGTGCACTAGTTCAGGCGAATGGTATAGTCAAAATGGTCTACATTTAATTGAAAATATTGTGTATGTTAGGGATTTATACCATCAGCATCATTGAAAACCACTAAAGGACTTTTTCCACCAAGCTCCAAAGTCACTCGCTTCAGATTTACTGCTGAAGCTGCTCCCAAAATAATACGGCCCACCTAAAAAGAAACGATAAGTAAAGTAAGATTCGGTTGGTTTTATGCCCAATAGTTCGCGACTCACGATCGTTCAATTTAGTTCGCAGCGCTCAGGAACTCTAGTTGGTTCGTTTGCGACTAGAGTTGGACAAAGTAAGCTAGTCAACAAAACAAAGTGGGCCTATAAGTATTATTTGTTTCTCGTAAAATATTCTCAATATGTTCTTAATTTTTTTACCAAGATATCTTTGTTTTTTCTTACGAAATAAAGACCTGCGAACTAATTCGCGTAATTCTTCTTTGTAAACGCTCTTCTAAACTAGTTCGTTCGCTGTCTCATATCAGATTTCCTAAACCAAAATTTGGGCATATTCTAAATTCTTTTTAATTCGTTAATCCTTATTTTATTTACAGTATTCTGCGGTGATCCTTAGAATAGAGTAAATTTAAATAAATAAACGACTAAATTTAAGTAGAAAATGTATTTCAGACAAATTAAAGCCCATTTAAATATCTTGTCTAAATTATAACATGTAACGTATGGCCGTTATGTACAAATTTAGAATCTCATTAAGTCAACAACGTGTTTGCGATCACTATAATACAATAGAAAGTAAATTTAAAAATAGCCCGTCACTATTTAAAGCGGCCTTTTTTAAGCGTGAGTGTATTATGTAGATATCATGAAATCAACTTATCTCTTAATTCTATCTAATATTCTTCTAAATTATATATAACATACTAAGATTTGTGCTGTTTATAAAGCATTAAAACTAATTTACCTACTAACACGCCTGATGGCGGTAAGTTTAGTTTCCTTTAATCTTGAGCATATTTACTTTTAACGTGAGATTACCTCAGTAGATCCAGTGAACGCCACTTTATCAACATCAGGATGGTGTGTTAGAGCTGCACCGGCTGTAGGCCCATAGCCCGGTACGACATTCACGACACCGGGGGGAAACCCGGCTTCTTTGATTAGAGCAGCTATTGCTAGGGCTGTGAGAGGAGTCTGTTCAGCGGGCTTTACGATCACTGTGCAACCTTTGAATAGCAAGTAAATGCTTATGTTTATTCATTGTTTAATAAGGGATTTCAAACTATAATATATGTTATAGCTAGATGTTGCTCATTATTATTATTAAAATTTAATACAGATGTAATAAAAATAAGTATCAAATGAATAAATATATATTTCTCTTATTATTGTTTTCTGATTTAGAAAAAAAATAGAATTTTTTTATTAATTTTTTTTCTAAATTCACATATACGAGCTTTTAGCTAAATAAACATAAACATATTATAAATCGTACATAGATATTTAATATTAAATAAATATGCTATATACGAGGGAGTTGAAAATAAACATCATATTACCTGCAGCTAAAGCTGGAGCAATCTTCCATGTCATCATTGGAATGGGATAGTTCCATGGTATAATTTGTCCACAAACACCCACAGGTTCTTTCAACGTAAAAGATAGAACTTCACCATCTGCAATTGTAGAAGAACTAAATATGATTGTAATATGTAAACAATATAACACACTAACGACCTTCCTCATGAAAACATCCGGGCCATAATTTTTTGTCGGCACGTGATGATCACGCTTATTATCTGGCAGACAGCATGACAGTAGGTTTGAAACTTTATCGCATGTTATTAAGTTATCAGTATAAATGCAATAAGTATTTGTATTTTAGTTGAAAACAACAATTGATTTTTTTTTTCGGACAAGCCCAATGTTTCTATTCTAGACATTATGTAATGTAAATAAAATAATTATTAATGGATCCATTCATTGGATACAAAGTACAGTTCTGATACCATTTCATAAATATCAATTTGGTTTCTTTGGGTTTTTGTTATTGTGGAACTAGGAAGATTAGAAACACATTTACAAATATTTTTCATACCTGCAGGTATAGTATTTCCTAAAATTTTGTCGGCTTTCCCAGCATAGTATCTTAGAACTGTCGCAGAAAAGTAAACTTCATCTTCTGCGTCTTTTATCGGCTTTCCACAATCCAATGTCTCAAGTTCTGCTAGATATCTAGCTTGCGACTCAATGAGATCCGCCAATTTAAGCATTAGGACACCACGTTGAGACGCATCCAAAGTACGCCATGGTGAGTGCCGGTGGAACGCTTTTTTGGCTGCTGCTACCGCTTTATCGACGTCAGCCTGAATTGATTATGGTATATGAGAAGATCAGTTATCTTCTATCTTATCTTAATCTTATTTGTCGAGAATAAACGAGCATTGTACAATATCGCTGTATTCTTTCTTACGACGTACGTTGGGTACCATCGCATGTGTAATAAAACACAAAACAAGAAACAAAATTAACAAATAAAATAATATAGCAAACGCTGTGTTATTGTAAACTCTCTATTTACGTTTTCATTTTGATTTACTAGTATAAAACATGAATGAACCTTAAAAGCTTTGCGATATACAAGAAATAAAAGTGTAAATGAACATTAAAAATAATGTATGATTATTTTGCTTCGTTTCGTAGTACGGCAGGTTGTTTACAACTAATTAACACATCAAGAATAAATTGAGACTAAACAACAACTTAAAATTAAAGATAAATTAACAAAAAAATAATTTAAAGTTACGGATTACAATACTGGAGACCAAACACGTTTTATTGTTAACACTGAAGTTGAAATGAAAAGTTTAATTCACTATCTGGGTACAGATGGACAAAATAATCTGAATATAGGCTACGGAAAGTATTCTCTAAATGGCACAGCCATTACACTAAAATAGCTGTAGTATTTAACTTCATAAGTTGTGTTAATTACTCATATGCTTATACACTCAGAACTTGCAGGGAGCTGAGTTGGCAAGTTGTTTAAAATTACACTTGAGTGTACATTTCAGGTCCGTTTAATTAATTGGTATTTAGATTTTACATAGACCAAGTTATGTACTTACCTTATCTCCTTCAGCGACATTAGCAATGACAGTTTCATCCTGAGGATTGATGGTCGAGAAAGTTTTCTTACTGACTGCTTCTACCCACTCATTATTAATAAATAGCTAGAAGAAAATGGTAATTCATCAGAAATGAACTTTAGGTAGGAATATGCTGATAAATATGGAAACTATTTATTTTTAAACCCCTGATCCAAAGAAAAGGGAAAAGAGGGATATTATAGTTTTAGGTGCCTAAGTATATGTCTGTGACATTGTAGCTCTTAAACAAATGGACTGATTTTGACGTGGTATTTATTATCAATATTTGAGATGGTTCTAAGGTAATAGAATTTTCTGGAAGATTTGCTTGAATTGATCTTATTGTTCAGACTTTACAAGGTCATCCGCTATTTCTTACTATTTTATTTTTTTTCTTGTGTTGCGATTACATATTTTTTTAATATATTATTAATGGTACTCAAAGGTAATAGTATCAATGCATGTGATTATTTTTCAGTTTCAATAAGGCTCTAATAATATATTAAGGCTCCACGATTTGGAGAGTTGATGTGCACTTTATGAATTATGTTCCCAACCTGATAAATGATGGGAATTATTAACTTGTCCTCTTCTTTAGCTGGCCTTTAAAATTATTATTATTCATATATATTATGTATGTTTAAAACCTATCTTCCTAGGTAATTTAGGATACGTACTCTGTATTTTTAATTGTAGAAACCACTCTTAGTCATTTTTAATCAGTCTTAGTTTTTTCAGAGTTTATTAACCCAGTTATTTGGATTTCTTCCGAAATTTGATAACTGTTGACAAGACTTAGTAATGGCAGTAATCAACTGCTTTATCGTGACAGAAGATGGAGTATGTAGGTAGATCAGATAATAGGAACCGGTTATTGACCTATACCTACCTATATTTTATTAATATAGAATTGATAAAAATAAACGGTATTAGTGCTCGTACATAATAATGTATCTTTTAGAGATATCATACGGTTTTGGTCTGTTGGATGAAACTAGCAGCTAGCAATGTCGTTTCTTTTTATGTGTAGTTTCTTTTTATGTATACTGCAGCTCATTTTTCCGTTGCATACGTGTGGTCAGCCACAACCACAAAGGCTTTCTCTCTTTGTCGTTTGCTTGGATATTATGTGTCATTTTAATATGCCCAATAACGGTACCTATTTTATTTCAATTAAGTTGCAAACTTGCGAAATGTAGGTCAGTGGTGAGAATACCTAACTTAAATTGTGTAGGTATGTTGTACAGACTGCATAAAGTAGACTTAGTTATACTAGGATTACTATGTTGATGTACCTATATATGTTTAAAACAGGCGGATAAAACTTAAAAATTACTACTAAGTAGGTATATAAGAAAGAAAGAAAAATATTTTATTCAGTGCAATGTAAAAAATACAATATAAATATTAATCTTGCATTCCCATTATACTACAAAATATAGATTTCTACTATGATAGTTGTAGTTCTACTATGGTGGTAGTATGGTATGGATACTAAAAATCTCATATCATACGAGGATCCTTGTTGGTACCCCTAATGTATTATAATACCCGTATTTACATATTTTGGCCTAGATAGATTAAAACACAAAGCAAGTATACCTACACAATTGCCGAGATTATATAGGTCCATATTTTTTGTTTATTATATACCTCGTTCGTTCATAATATAAGAGCCGCGCTCTTGTCGGTGAAGCTATTGTGATTACTTTATTATTGTATATTTATTATTAGTTGAAATTATTATACCTACATGCAAATTAATCTAATTTCTCCAACAGTTTTTACCTGAAAGTTTAAATTACAGACAAGTTTCGTCTCCTTTCGATTTTACGATACTATTTTATATATAAAGATAATAAAGGACAAAATAACAAGGACAAAATAAAGAAAGATTAATTGTGTTATATATAGATTATGAATGGTAACAGGTACCCTTAAAAAAGCAAACATCTTTATCATTGGATAGACAAAGTCACAAGGTAGAGTTGTACCTACTACTCGTACATCTAATTAGGGTTTTTTTAAAAGTCATCTTTTGCATATCATATTTTCAGAATATAGGTACCTATTTTATTAATTCTTTGCTGATGACCCAAAATAATTACGAGTATTATGTGATGTCTAGCCTATGTTGTCTAGTGGTATAGCACAACCCTTTACTTCTGGATCGTTGCGGCTAATTTCTGGTACGGTAAAAATATTTGTATTCATTCTATGTATATTATGTACCTATTTAAAAGAAGTCAGTATATTTATCAGTTGTCTAATATTCCTAACACAATCCCTTTTTAAATTGGGCCTATATGGCGCTGTATGAATCGTATACGTATAGGTGTAATTATATACCAATCAATATTACTATTTATTTATTAAATAGCATGTTTTTAGATATTTGACTAATTTGGGTCCATGTATGTTATTTAGACATGAGTTTTATATAAATGTCTATAATATAAAATATATACATATATACTATCAAAATGCGCTAAAACTCAATATATATAATAATTTTGTTATACCTAAACTGTAAATGTGCGAGTCAATCCAGAATGGTCTTGTAGAGACATTATACATCCACGGATACAAAATTAGATACTACTTTAGTAAAATATTATTTTTTCATAAATCGTTAACTTAAAAATTGTAATACTCTATTATTTCTAACATACCTTTGTATATTTAACATCTACTTTCACCATTTTGATTATTAATTTATTTATATCAGCTCTGACAGAAAACACGTACACACCCTCTTTCGAATACTAGTAAACTGAACAGAATATAATCACTATTGAACTTGACCTACCAGAACGTTACAAACAGAATATTGTCAATGGAATTTAAAACTTACTGTAATGTTTCGAGAGTCTTTTTTGTAAATAGAGTTAAAGTACCATATGTCACATACTCGTTCTTCAAATTGTACCAATATTTGCTTTCCCGATTATTCTATTTCGAACCTTATTTCACGGCTGGTAATGTTTCCATTCGCGATCTTGTGATTTACCAAAGTGAAGTTAGGTTCAATTGTAGAGGTGCGGTTGCGGTATTGTAACAAACACCCCACTGACATTGAATATAAATTATTATTAATATTATTACATTATAGGTACATAATACTTATTAAATTATTAATGTTATTCAATGTTTTACGATCTATATTTCGGTTGCTATTTGCTTGGTGTTGCTGTGTTATTGTTGTTATAACGCGCAGATATTTATCATAGATTTGATTAAATTGAATACAATGTATAGAGAAGACTCTAATTCCTATTACTCTGAACAAATGATCGAAGTAATTTATCCTATAAGACTTGATATGATATTTAATTTATCTAAGTTGTAAATTACAATAATAATGTAAAAATCTTTTAATCAGTTTAATTTAATTACACACTTATCCACATGAATGATTAAATATCTAACTTTGTTCTACCTAAGATTCAAACGTTAGCGACAAAAGAATGCATGTTTTTGTAAACACTAGTTACGGTCACCTATATAGTACACTAAGGGATATCACATTATCATGACATTCGTGATATCTCTCATAGTATCCGCTCTATAGAGTCCGCTGGAATATCATGCCCTTTATCCTGTAATTTCCTTACCCAATCGCAGCCTGCAAACCAAACAGTTTATAATGCAAGTTTTTTAGCGGCTGAAAATTTTACTAATCTACTAGTCTATCTCTGGTTAATTTTTTATGGCGTTATAATAGGTGGACACAATTTGGAGCTTTATTGTATATTTTTAGCGTCATACTTGATTAAGTATACCTACTGAATAGGAACGTCACGTGTGTGACACATACGTCTGAATTTGTCGTCTGAACAATACTGTTATCAACACATAAAAATACCTCCAAACATCGTAATTATTGAGTTATGTAACTCCGTATAGTACAAACTAACAATAAATGCACTTATCTGTATTAACAATATTTTTGTACAATAATTTTTAGCTATCATACTTAGTAAGTAATATCTCTTTAACTAAGTAATATATGCATAGATATAGGTAATCATTAAAATTAAATCAACGAATAACAGAATACTAGATTATATATTTGCGTCTTCGTACGCGTGGTAGTCGAATGCAAGTAATTGCATCAATTTTTTTGCGGGCGAATGTAATTGAAACCAACTCTAGTCTAAATATTACGAGAAGCTTACTATACATAAGTGAAATCTGCATTTTAATTAGTTGACCGTTAAATATATTTAATGATGTGTGTACAAACGCATAAACAAACTAAATTTTAAAATGTACAACTTATTTATCAAATAGAAACCGCATTGTATATCGATGATAAGATGGATTACTTGATGTATTATTTCTTTTAATACTATTATGTTGTTGCAAGTCGTAGGTTTTCTTTCCAGGTAGGTATAGTTAATTCAGATATGTATGTAATTAGACTGTTTACGAGTAATATATAATCCCTTGTTTATTTTATAAAACATCAAAGATAGTATATTATTTTTTGTTTTGCGTTATAATTAATTAACGCGTTTACTTAAGGATTGTCTATATATTGTAGTTATACTTCCTTTACTATCTACTATATTTTCGGTTATACCTAAATGTATTATTCCATTTTAATTAATTTTAATGAGTTCTATAAGTTATGTCCAGTCATTAATTGTAATTTGTACAGCTGTATCGTATGACAAGAGTTGTTCAGAATGAATTGTCAAAATATCAGTGTTGTTGATGAGATTGTTACCTACAGTAAGCGTCATTGAAGATGATAAGGTGACTCTTGCCAGCAAGTTCAAGGGTTACGTGTTTCAGATTTATAGTGGTAGCTAGGGTTGTCAACTGAGAAATTCAAATTGATTCTGAAAGTCCGGATATCAGATTTCTGCGCCCCGTATCCCGATGAAGGGAGACTAATTGCTTCAATACATGCGTGTCACATGCTGGTACCAAGTATGTACTCGAAGTACCTAACTTTAGAAGCATAGACGCGTAAGTCAGTTAAATATTTTAAAAGTTAATCATTGTAAAAGTGGGCCAGTCTACTATAGCTGTCGACATAATATGCCACACCTTCAGTGATATGAATTTTGTTATACCTTGACTGAGTGTTCTTATCAGGAGAGTATTAAGTTTATGGATGCAATCAAAAGAACGGATTTTCTAAAAAATATAAAAACAAAACACACAATATATATAAAACAATCCAACAAACTTCATTACCCTATATTATATGAGCTGGTCTATTTTGAACGTTTTCTTAAACAATAATGTTTTCTACTGATTGTAACTGTCGAATTCGTGTAAGTGTATGACATTACGAAATTGCAGATAAACCTACCGTTTTATAACTTATTTAAATAATGAGGAAGTACCTGATTATTTCAACGGCCTGTTATTTTAGGATGCTAAAGATTCTTTGTGTTAGCGATAAAAGAGTAATTTATTATTGAGTATTAGTGCCGATATTTCTGGATCATTCTGGAAAGAATAAGATTCGTTTTTTTATTCTATGCCTGAAAATATTGTGTAAAATTTGTACCATTTTATAAAAAGACTTAAGTTACAAGATACTTGATTAATGATAAGGATGGATACTGTGCCTTGTTTGTCTGTACCTATGTTAGTCCAGATTTTGTTAGTATACGTTCACTCTAATTTACATTAGAAGGGAGCGGATATTCGAGGAGATTTCTCCAAGTAGAGTAGTAGAAGTAGAAAGGATGATTTCTCAAAAATTAATTATGTAAACAATTTTCTTAGATTTTGTCATTTAGAATATTTACATACAGAAATAATTATTTAATTTCATACCTGAATAAATTGTTTTATATTGTTATTGTAATATTTATCTGTAATTGCATATATTGATACTATTATCTATATTAATAGGTCTGCGTAAATTTTGCTATTTTGTTATTTATTGTTTACAATAAAGTTCCAGCATTGCTATCAATTAATTAAAAAATTATGTTCTTATTTATTGTTCAGTTTGTGACCTAACGTCCTAACTTAGAATATTATAATGATATCTGTGTTATAGCTTTTTACTTTAAACAATCTTAGGCAGAACTTAAACATATTTTTACGGTTGGCTATAAAATAACACGTATTTGAAATTGGTTTACTAAAGTCAATTACTAAATATTTGAGATATAAAGGCAATGAAATTTTGCATACAGGTGGCTTATAAATGTCTCGGTAGAGTAGATATATGAAGAGTTCGAACTCGCAAATGTAAAGTGCTGTTCACGGTTGCTGCTGGATATCAGGAGCTTGCTGTCGACCTGTTTGCCATTACTATGATATGTGCCTAATATGTATAAATATATTCGGTTTGTGAACGAGTCCCCCAATAATAGTTTTTTCACATATCTCTCATGTACAAATACCATGAGTTACATTTTTGTTACATGTAAAGAATAAGATCTTTATCTGTATGCAGGTATAATTCGATAATATTTTTGAAACAGATAACCTTTCTTATTTATTTGAGTCTCTTCAAACTCTTTCAGATTAAAGACTCGATAAATATGGGAATATAAAAGGAAATAAAAACAATATATATTTTAATTTACTATATTGATAATTAATAATTTTTGAAATGTCATAATAGTGTCATAAATTGGTACTGTTTTAATGAAATATTATAGTATGTTACTGTAGCAGTGGTTTCTTTGGCAGGCTTATCGTCACAGTTTTGTTTTCTAAATATTGTTGTATGCCTTCCTCGCCCCTGGAAATAATAATAAAAATATTATTACAATAATAATAAATAATAATACAAATTTTACATTTGTAAAAATTACAAAATCCTTAATAATATGATGTTTTAGGTTTATGCTATTGAAGAAGCATTACATAGTATTTGTTGATTTATTAATCATTCAACTTTAGTTTTTATTAAATTAATTTTGACTGTTGATTATAGGTATTTTATGTATCTCCAAAGCAAATTTTTAAAAAGTTAATAAATCATAAACAAATATTCATTTTCATATTAGGTTTTGGATCTTTAGATCTGATATACTACTGGGACAGATGGTGATGAAAAAGACATATGTTCCAAATATTTTCTCAGGTTATATCTCATACTTAGGGCCATTAATAAATCAATTCACACTAAAACTATTAAGTTTGGCATCCTACCTCTTATAGCAATAGGTAAAATTTCGTGTTATAATTTTATAGGAGTGGTCCCAGATTTTATGATTTTAATACACGAGTGTGACCATCCACAATATTTATAACATATACACAATATATTACATTTTTATACGTACAATGTCACTCTTTGTCGAGTTTATGGCTGCTCCTTATATTTACTACTCTTTCTAATTAGGTATATTTATATAAATATGTTTGTATACTTACAATTCACGTCCAGTACCAGATTGCTTGAATCCTCCAAATGGTGTCTGAGCGACAATATGTTCATATGTGTTGATCCTAAAAAAATATTACAGTTTAATCATTCAATTTCATAAACCATAATTATAAATTGTTATAACCTTAATTACTAGCATCAATTTAAAACTACTCATAGTATTTTCGTATAAAATAGGATAAAAAAAAATATTGTTGCGGTAAATAATTATGCTATAGTATATGACGTACATTAAATTATATGTATTATGTCTAGATAAAAATTTAACTGAACTATTCTATTTATTTCAGCATATCACAGTAGACTAACATTTTCAAATAACACAAAGCACAATTCTGTGCTAAATGTACTAAAAACAGAGGATTAATTAAAGACCCATTATTTAATCTAATAATGGGACTCCTCTGTTTTTAGTACTTTTAACGGCACCAAAATTTCGTGGACCAATAGGCTGTTCAAAGATCGTGAGTGCTAAATACACCGTTATAATTACTATAATTTCAATATCTAACTCTCTGGTAATAAAAACAATGCTTGCAAAATCATAAGCTCGCACTCTGCCTTATTGATTTCAAATGCGCTCGTACAAATGTCAATACACAAGTTCGTTTGCTGGTTCACGGTTCATATGGTACATCCATATATTTCAGTCAGTACAAGAGTAACAGTAAAGTTGTCTCTGAATAATTTATATACGATTGTAGTCATAAGTATACACATTATAGCAACTATATCGAACTAATCATCTAAATTACTACCTATATTAATGAAATTATACGTGAAAATTGTATCATGAGGAACAACATTGGTTATCTTTTGTATAAAAAAATCAATATATATTGTGACTAATGAAGAGAAGTAAATAACTAACCAGGTAGAGCCAGCACGGACGTGTTTCACAAAAGTAAGCGCGGCTGTGATATCCTTGGTGATAATTCCAGCTCCAAGACCGTACTCAGTATTATTAGCGCGGTCAATCATCTCCTCCAACGTGTCAAACTTTAAGATGCTTTGAACCGGGCCGAAAATCTGTGAACGAAAGTAGTAACAAATAAAAATCTGTAAGATGTCTGTAAGCCTATTAATACAAATCATAACATGAAACAAAGTCGTTGTCGCTGTCTGTTCGTCAATATACGTATTGACGCTTAAATCTTTAAAAATACGCAACGGATTTTGAAGCGGTTTTTTAAATAGATTCATGAGGAAGGTTTATATATATGTACACCCATGGGAAGCTGCGGCAAGTAGCTAGTAGCCAATAAAATACTTTTAAGGACGGGTAACAATCAAATAGTAAGTCATTACACAGTTGTGGTAATACAGAAATTTCTTGTAAATACCTCCTCCCTGGCAATCTTCATATCGTCTTTTACGTCAGCAAATACAGTTGGCTGAATGTAGTATCCAACTTGACCAATACGGCTCCCACCTACTACACATCTAGCACCACTTTTCTTTCCAGCATCAATGTACCCTATTACTTTGTCGAACATGTCTTGGTCGATCTAAAATTAAAAAAATGAAAATGAATAAAATAGTACACTTATAGTATTTAGTTATTACTATTAGTAAATCATTGCTCTATTTCTGTGATTGTAAGTAATAAACCAACCAAGTTATTACTCGATCGCAGACTTTCACGAGCGTTTGTGTAATATTAGATCAGTGTCTCTATGTCTGTACATGTTAATTTCTTAAAGTAAATATTTACGAAATTCTAAAATTTAATACTTGTACCAACACTACTTATATTAAATAAATCCAACCTGAGGTCCTTGATCTACGTTTTCAAAGGGATTTCCAACGCTTCTTTTTTTAGCAATTTCAGTAGCTTTCTCCACAAATTTGTCATATATGCCAGATTGAACATATGTTCTTGTACCAGCAACACAACATTGACCACCATTAGAAAATGCAGCATTGTGAGCAATTATGGCTGCCTGCTCCACTGCAATATAATGGAAATTAAATTATTTTAATGCTTTTACGAGTATTTGCTTGATATCTATAATTAAATTGGATATAATTATCTTTAAACGAGTAAGCTAGGAAAGTATATTTTCTTCAAATACTGTTCAAATAAATTTTGTACAAGTTTAGGCAAAATGGCCTGAGTTTTAATAAGTCTGTGACATAGATACTAATCAATTTTTCTTTTGTGTGTTAAAAAGTAATCATATAGATTTCCATAATTACCATCGGCATCATTGCAGATGACAAGGGGACTTTTGCCTCCGAGTTCAAGGGTAATGCGTTTCAGATTTACAGCTGCTGCCGCTGACATGATGATGCGGCCCACCTAAAATCATTTTATATATTTGCAATTAATTCTTAGATTATTAGAACGTCGTTTCGTAAAATTCGTAATCGTAGCCATTTCTTGCAGATTACTAGCACTGGTAGAATAATAAGTACTTAGTAATTTAGATGGTTTTAAAGCATTAAGAGAAAATAATAAAGACATCTTTAAAATATTTGTATAGGATTTCTTCATAAAAGAAAGTAAATAAAAGATAATGAAATCGTACTACCATATTATCATTAAACTCTAAATGATATTCCAATGGTCATAATTCTATTTGTGTAGTCTGTAATTTTTAAGAATATATTCTATAAATTCTGGTTTGTATCGTATGCTGTTTTAAATATTGTAAATTACAATCAACTAATAGTATAGAGTACTTGTTATATTTAGTTGAGATTACGACGATTATACATTTTATTAGGCATGAAATTATTGTTTATGACGGTTGGGTTACCTCTGTGGATCCAGTAAATGCGACTTTGTCGACATCAGGATGGTGGGTAATAGCAGCTCCGGCAGTAGGGCCGTAACCAGGGATTACATTCACAACGCCTGCCGGGACGCCAGCTTCCTTAATCAGGGCGGCTAGAGCTAAGGCTGTCAATGGACTTTGCTCTGCAGGTTTTATAATAGTTGTGCAACCTGATAAATAAATAAGTATAATAAATAATTATAGTAAAATTTAATGCCAATTCCCATAAAAATCCATTACCTTCATTTACGTAATTTAGGGACTGTAAGTTTATATTTGTATCACATTTACTTCAGGGATCAGATTTACCTCAAACTATGTACAGTAAGACTATTTTTTGTTACTTTCTAGACAAGTCTATAGATGTCCTTTGGTACCCATATACTTCTACTTTGACCACATTGGTCTACTAATTTTTCATGTCCTTAATTTAATGCTGTTTCATATTAAGTTGATGTTAGACTACTGTATTAATAATACAATTTGTTTTTTATTCTACTAAGTCTTAGTTGTGGCAATTTGAACCACAATCACTCTGCTTTCATTATATTTCTTAATTCGTATTTATACTATTTAATATGACAAGTTTAGTTTAGTTGATTATTTACCTGTAGCCAATACGGGTGCAACTTTCCATATGAACATAGGAATAGGATAGTTCCATGGCAGTATTTGACCGCATACACCTACTGGTTCTTTTAGAGTAAATGTCAAGACTTCACCATCTGAAAGGATTTAAATACATTCCTAATTATAAGACTGTAACAGTAATCAAATTAACTGAGATGACGTAGATATGACTGTGTCTTGTAATATTTCTTAAATATTACAAGGTACTAACGTAGTGATTGATTAAAAAATAGCCAATTTAAATTGGTTCTGTTGCGTATTCGTAAAAATTTAAAAGACAAGTAGCATTAACGTTATACAAATATAAATAATAACGAACCTGCTGGAATTGTATTTCCAAGAATTTTGTCCGCTTTCCCAGCGTAATATCGGACAATACCGGCGGACCATAGAATTTCATTCTCAGCATTTTTGATTGGCTTTCCGCAGTCCAGGGTTTCTAATTCCGCAAGATATTTCACGTCTCGTTCCATGAGATCAGCCAGTTTGAGGAGCAAGCGACCTCTTTGGGAGGCGTCTATGGTACGCCATTCCGAATATCGGTGGAAGGCTTTCTTAGCCGCACTTACTGCTTTATCAACATCAGCCTGGAAATGTATTATTATTTTGTAATATTTGTGAATTACATGAGTCTTCTAGATAATATATAATATCAAAAATAAATATGTTCAATCATACATCGGTTCATCTGTACTTATAGAATGGCAATATTATGCGGAATAGTCTGTATGAGGAACTTCGTATAGTACAGAGGGACTTGGACAGAATATATTATTCGGGTAATTGTGACGCATTGAAAGTAGTAGGTTGATTAGGTAAGAAATAAAAGAAACAACGTGGTTGAATCACAATGGCCTATCAATAATATTGGATGTAAATTTTTGATGATTATTTTGTTTCATTTATAATGAGAACCTACTTAATATAATTGATCTTTATTTGTTTTTCTTGATGGAAAAAATGTAGATCAAAATATATTAAAATAATTTTTAGTATAATATATATTCGAATTAAAAACTATCTCCACTTTAAAAACTAGGAAAAATATTAAATGTTACCATACTATACTGACTACATATATGTGCTATATACATTTTTAAAATGTTAATATAGACTCAAGAGAGATGTGAGAAGATGAGACATTGTTTTCTTGATCTGTGTTTTAAATTGGTGACTCTGTCAGAACTAATATAAGAGTGTGTACCTTATCTCCTTCAGCTACTTGAGTGATCACGGTTTCATCCTGAGGGTTAATAGTTGGAAATGTTTTCTTGCTAGCAGCATCCACCCACTCGTTGTTGATGAACAACTTAAAAATAACACAAAATTTATTAAAACATACTTCTGATAAGACAAAATTACATAATAAATTAGTGGGAGCGGCCCAGATGTTAAAAACTAGTTTAAGATTGATATTTTTGTAACTTATTAATAATAATAATAACCCTGGATAATTCACGCAGCGCCATATACCTAATCCTGAACTAAGTACGATATTGGTTCTTGACTATATATAAATACATATATTTTTGTAAATACCCAGACCGATACAAACAATCATACTCCAAAAACAGTTTGTCATCGTCTCTAGAGTCTTATTAGACATTGTTAAATGTTGTATAAACCGGAAATTGAAGATTATATGTGTATATTATATATTATTACAGACGTACTAATGTATTTACGCTAACGGTAGCACAATTACTGTTTGTTAAACATTTTATAAACTGTAGTAAAGGGTTTTTGAACTGGAATAAATTTAATTTTAAGAAGAATTATATGAATTGTTGTCAATTTTTACCAATCATATCAATATACCACAATTTCACTGTTGACCAGCATACTCCCATTTTCATTAAAACTTTTAACTACCACCATTAAAAAATTAATAGCATTGTTATATAAAGTTTGTAAGTCGATAAGATTCGAATTCACGATTATTAAGGTCGGGATAAAATATTCGCTTAAAAGAATCAAATGGTACAGTGAAACTAGTTTAGGTTTTATTAGTACCAGTACTAGTTCAATTATAAGTAGACATTACAAAGTTGCATCTTTACAATGTATTGCAGAAAGGCACAATACATTTATGCACGATAGATGATAATTACATTAGAATAGGAAACTGGTAAACGAAACATGTCGGTATTTGTTTACTTTGAGTGTTTTTAACCCATGTTAATATGTATTGCTTTTGTAAAAACTATGACTGTGTATAAAAACACACATTTATCTATATTAGTTATATTATAAATGTGTGTGTGAAAGTGTGCCTGTTTGTTAGCTTTTATGGGAATGGGTATTCCTATAAATAACCTATTAACTTTTCTAAATGATACTTAGGAACAGCAAGTTGTATAAATAAAACAAAACGAACAGTATCAGTTTTAGTATATTGTCTAACTTTGAGCATAGCATAACCTGCTGAACTCAGTATTGCTACAAGGCTGTCTCTGACATTTCTAAATTTATTAAAACACCACTTGTTTCGTGTACTTTTTTGTTCTGTATCTCGGTGTAAACCACACACTCGTACAATAAAAGTTAGAGATTTATATACATCTGTATTTGTATTTATATACAGATGCATTTCGTAAAATGTTTGCACATAAGTCTTTCTTACTTTACACATACAAGATACATACAGGATAAGAGTGGCTTATTTGTGGTAATTTACAATTGATGTAGCTACGATGATGATAGTAGGAGCCTGATTGACCAACTAGCAATGACATTGTGCATGCGGGCGGACTAATCTATTGTACCAATTGTAACGAATCAACAATAAACGAGTTCTTATAGTGTATTTTAGACTCAAAATAAAAAATATATCTGCTTATTCATGTAGGCTCACACACGATACATATGAGTTAATCATTTTTTACAGCGTCGCATATTTTAATACGATAAACAATTTTTTTCGCATTTTAACTACTGAATTGTAGCAAGTAGCTTTAAACAGTTTCACAAAAAATAAGTAACTACTAAAATTTGTGTGTGAATGGTGTATCATACAAACTAAAATATTACAAATTTAGAATCCTCTAGAAGTTGGTGGAAAAAAAAATTAGAAATGGTTTAGTATTAGTGTGAATATAAAAAAATGTAAGGTGTCTGTATGTGTTATACCGTATATCCTATATGTAGAGTACTATCATGTAAGTGCATTACCATAACATTAATGAATGCAAGGAAGTTGAAATTTGATTACAGTGAAGGTACTTTGTTTAAGTGTAATTTGGTCGGAACAATGGTGTTGATATTACATCGTTGGAATTTACAGATAACGTTTCAGGTATTGAAGTAATAAGAACACACATAAAGATATGTGGATAAGCAAATAATGATCTTATGGGATGAAACTGAATAAAAATCATTTATTCAAATAAACTTAAATTAAACCACTTTTGAATAGTCACAGTTCTTTTTTTTAATATACCGCTCATTCGGAAAGCTGTCTCAACACAAGAAGAACGAGCAAGAAAATTGCGTGTTGCTCTTTTTAATATATGTTGAAAAAGTTTCATACATTTTTAAATTGAAATGTTATGAGTATAAACCAACAGTAATTCAATAAAGTTAAAATATCAAATACACAATAATACTAAATTAGTTGTAGAGATTAGAGCAGACCATCCCTACAAGTAGTCCACGATTATTGTTCTTGTTCACGAGTATGACGGATGAGCCAGTCACTGCGCTCGTACCATATTTTAGCTCAATGATCTTTGGTAACCTACTATTGTAAGTTGTTCTTTTGTAAAGTTAGTAGAAGATTTTCATAAAACATATAATATTCTAAGTAATATTATTAGTTAAGTCCTAAAGGTTACCAAATAACTATATATGTATTGTGATTAAAGACTAATAGGTATAGTATCTTTCAAAAAAATATGGAAGTAGATTCTGTCTATGGCAAAAAGAATCATGGAAATTGGTTCAGTTATGACAAAGATATGGCGTACCATTAAAAAGTTAAATTTGTGGATATATCAAAATGGTTACTTTTTTTTATGATATTCGTATCTGGTCTAGCAAAAGAACTGACATAAGTGTGAAAATTATAAATAAGAAGTTAAATATGAATAAGGAGGGAGAGATATCGTAGTGCGTTGACATATTATTATGAAATATCTGTCGTTAGGAGATAAGTTACATAAAAAAAATTATATACATAGATTAATATTATTATATATACATATGTATCTATTGAAAACATTAGAAACATATAGTGGTTTAATTTATTTATTATCATTAAAAACTACTCACTTCTAATTTATAAAAGTACTTACCGGAATTAAATTTTCATAATATGAATAAAATTTACGTTTATGGTATCTAATTATGTATAACTTATACCTATTCTAATTCATTATAAACATGATTCGAATATAGAAAAAAGTAAATTATTAAGAAGATTGTAGTAGTCAAATGTGTGATAAATGTGAACAGTTATATTATCAAAACTTTTAAATATTTTGAAATATTGTATATACCTAGTAACAAAATTAAAAAAATATTGTGACAAGGTTTTAAATATTAGTTTATTATAATGACAAGGTTCTAAAGGTGGTTTCTATTTTCAGCAATGTTTTTTAAACTTACAGATGGTATTGTGTTATATTACAAAAAAGTAACATACCTTCGTGTATTTAATGTCGACCTTAGACATTTTTGTTTAGATAATTTTAAACACGTCTGCACACACTGGATGTCACCCACAGAGTGTATATTTCGACGTGCCATGTTGTGTATATAGAATTGCTTAATATACCTAAAACGATGTATGTATTTTAAATTGATAATATTTGGGTAACGACAATATATTAGTCATGCAGACGCGGTTGTTTGTAGGAATCATGATCGACATATGATAATATCCCCTTAGAGAAGTCATTTGACTATGAAATTAGCTCAGGCAAGTGGAATACAAATGAAACTCCAACAATGGCTCAGAATCAGCTCTGTCTATCCGTATTCTTGCATATCCTATGCGAGAATACGGATAGACAGGGATCGCTGAATTTAAACAAGGAACAATTCGCAATATTGCAGATGAAATAAGAGTACATTATTTTTTTATTTAATTTATAATATAATCTTATTTCGCCTCAAAATTAATAGAACGAATACTTACTCATAGTTTACATAAATGTATATACTTAACATTTTTTTTGTAAAGAGTCTTATATTTTAGTACATTAATAGATACTCGTGTCCTGCGTCCAGTTTTTTTCAAAGTTGCCTGACTTAGAACAATACCATAACAATAAATCTTAAGGTACAATAAGTTTGCCGTTTGCACCATATTTTTAACGTGGTCAATAAAGAATAAATGAATAAGTATATGTGTTAATATTAGTGATTTACAAATATTCTCTTATCTTATCACTCCGCAGCGTTAAATAAGAATAATATAAATATCATTCTGAAACTCTATATTTGTATTGATTAGATACAAAAAAAATTCATTGAGCTGTACTTTAGGAGTTTTGTACAAACTCGAAAATAGATATCTGATAGTGAAGTGTTCGGCACAGTACACAGATAAACGAATAACATAATAAATAACCATTCAGTGACTACACTAGCATGCCAATCCTTGCTTTGTATGGAATATAATAATTTCTTGCCATAAATAAACCATAAACACATATTTTAAGTTAGATCTCCAGCAATTCATCGGTGAAAACAGCATTCCATGCAGTAATTTTTGCCTTATGTATTTATATATACGTACAGATTGACACATTTTAAAAATAATTGTTGTTGCATATTAGTTTTTTTATATATCAATAACGTACAGACACTGGCCGGTTACATTTTTATTATGTGTATGTGTATTTTATGCTCTGAAAAAAGATTGGATGTGTTGTATAATCCTAAAATATACAAATGTGTAGTAGATTTTGAATGATAGGTAGCTTAACAGCTGCTGTATTGATGCTTATATGCTTGTAAGTATACGATTTCATCGTGTATATATATATATTTTTTAATAGTTAGTAATGGAATGCTCCCATCTACGCTACCAGTTAAGGCTGGCACCAGTGAAAGATGATAAGATGAGCATGAGGCCAGGTCAGATAGCTCATCGTGACAAATTCACCAAGAATTTGTCATGATGGTTTCCAGGGAGAACCGCGTGGTCAACCTGACATGGTATATTAATAGTAATGAAATCATTAATCCACATTACTAACAATCCCCTTCCCGTAATCTTGTATATTTAATTGTCTAATTCAATAGTGATAACATATTTTCTATGACTGTATCTGAACTAAACGGAATGTCCTATACATTTGTATAAGACGATTCACGTTTTTGTCGTTTACTTTTATTTCAAATCTATAAGGAGTTCGGCAATCGGAAATACTGCTCGCTTAATTGTAAATAACTATCGCAGTTAATAATAGCATAAATCTATCATATAAATATGATTCATGGGTTTCAGACAGATTCTTGAACCAGTAATTTCACTGCAAAATTGAAACTAGGATTGAGTACACGGCAATCTGCTTGGTAGATATATGTACATATACTATAATAATAATCTAAGGCAATACAAGAAGTGCCATTTGGTCCAAAACTAAGGAAAATATTATGTCTGTACTTAGTATTTTTATATACATGCTTTGTGCGCATGTACTACTGTTTCATTCCACTAATGATAACAACTGTTTGTACTGTACGGATATCGATCACACGAACCCCGAACCAACGGTATACATAGTAACATCTATGCAAGCTTGGGACATATGGACCACCAGGAGAGGCATGTGACTAAATGTCATTGTCCATTTTTGCAGGACGATACTCCTTATAATTTATCTATACTTTTATCACGTCATGCTAATTCATTGTTTTATCACTTAATTATTCTTTATAGATAACATTCTTATTATCTTAAAAGATTATTATTTTTTAATACCGCCATCAGACATGTAAGTAGTTTACGATATGCAAATGTCTACAAAGTGAAAAAATATTTTATTTAAATTTTTAGCATACGTACAATGCGTACTTAAACTGCTATTCGTACTTAATGGCACTGCAAGTGCAAGAATCTATGGCATCAATGGTAAATGTAATAGTTTTTGAGCATGTTCAAAGTGTTGCACACTATAATGTAAACTCACATTTCTTAAAAGAATGCACACTTTTTTACGTCATATATATATTAAAAAGTGTTATTAAAATGGAATGTTACGTGATTGTATTACAAAATGTTATTAATATTTTTAATTCTAAAATGTCGCAATAACTATAATAAAAAATATGAAAGAAGGAAAACTTGAAATATATTCTAAGTGTGTTAGTGAATAGTTGGTGTGATCGGATCGTAATCGGATAACAGTCTAATATTTATCCTCTTTTGTTTAATATTACTTTATGGAAATATTAAAAATATATCTTCCAACTGTAATACCAGATGGGGCTTCCAGGGCCATTGTCAACTTGACATGACTGTTATAGGACTTGGCTGTTATATTTATATTCATCGTGGCAGGAGACGAACTTCGCTCTCTCTCAGTTTATTTTATTATCGCTGATTTCATCCCTGGAGTGTCAGGCAAAAATGTTTAATATATGATAAGTTTCTAGATTATTGTACGTATATTAATAAATGGTTTTTATAATTTATACTAAAAGCTTTATTTGTTTCGATATCTACTATAATATCTTGAGGCATTTCATTAAATATTTCAGACAATTTTAATATTTATCTATACCTGCAGAATAGGTTCGAATAAAATAACTGTCCCGTTATTGACTGATATGACATTCGATGTTTGTTTCATTATGTATTGATATTTTTTTATGATAACCTTAAAGTTGTGCAGGCTATCAGGGTAATGTTTGAATTTATTTTAACTACTGCCATACATGAAAGTAGATAATTATATTATAATTGTCACCGTTATACGTATGTTCAATTCGATAAAAAAAAGTACCAGTCGAGTTTCTTGCCTGTTCTTTTCAACTGAAGTCGAACTGGACAGTAGGGATAGTGATAATAAAAGGCTAAAAGGTCCTATGTGAATAAATTAATTTGTATTTATATAGCGCATACCTGTTATCACATAATTATGATGTGTACTAGCTAAATGTTTATTTATAAATGAAGTAACCGAAATAGGATATATAAAAAGTAATTACAGATATATTTATAAATGGCAAAATATCGTAAATAATTGTGAGTAAATTATTTAGACTTTCATTTTGAGGTTTGTACCTGATAACGTAAGAAATTGTATATATTCACTTTAGGTGTATATATAAAAAATTATCCATATGCAAGAGTTTGCTCTTATTTGGCTAATTGTAGGTGCACATTTTGTTATATTTGTATTCTTAGAACAATGATTGTATATTATAAAATGTTTGAACAACGTACAAAAAAGTGGAAATTTCAGATTAACAATATCTATATATGTGTATAAGTTAGACAAAAATACTGACATTCACATGCTTAATTGTAATATTTTTCATTATCTGAAATTTATATATTTATATATCGTACATAGATGACGACATTTTTATTTTATACTTTATTTGATACAGTGTTGTACTTCTCACATTGTTTACTCAGTTAATATAATAATTAGAGATGACTAGCAATTATTCTGTAGTTATTGAGATAATCATGGACGTACAGACACATGGTAAACTTATTTTAAAATATGTATAAATTAGATCATGACTTTATCATAATAAATTTGTTTTGTTGAATAAGAATTCATTTAAGAGCATTTACAAATGTAAAGAAAGCACCTAGAAATACTCTTAAATGAATTCTTATTCTCTAATTTGTATTATTATCACCCGCATCATGATATAACTCGCATAGTTATAGCAATCACTCCGATGGATAAATATACTAGTAAATATTGTTAAAAATCGTATTGGCATTATTATTATTTTATTAGAACGACCAACAGTAGACAGTAATTGTTTTTACAACTACATTGTACATTGTACAGTTCATTATTATTAATTGTTATTCAATATATAGGTACAATACAACATACTATTGATATCAGTTCAATTAAATTCATAACCCGTAGAAGTTCACTTTGTTAAAAGAATAGGTAATAATACGTATCACAACTTATAACTAAACAAAATATATACATTCAATGTAACATAAAGAAATATGATTATATTTCAATGAACTCAATAAATAATTCAAGAGCGAAATCAGAGGCGAGATCCATAACCAATTAAGCTTAATTATAAACAGAATACAATGTAACGCAATTAAATATATTGCAAATTAAAATATGTGCAAACAAAACAAATATGCAATCAACCTGGGTAGTTGACCAAATCAAAGAAACAATTATCTCGACTATGTTTATAGAATAATAAAATGGTTGACATAAATACCCCCAGCAACTCATGCTTTTGTTAATCGTGGAGGAGATTGTTAGAAAGTTAGAAATGGGGCCTCATTACTAGTAATGTATATTTGATCTCATTCTACCTTGTCATCGTCTACTAGTGCCCTGCCATAGCATAGTACTATGCCACTAGCGCATGGCGGGTGCTATATCCAGTAAACTATATATATGCTTCTGCAAAGAGATGTCAAGGCATTAATTTCCAGACATTTTCAAAATGCTAATAGCAAATTATACTTTTCACTGTAATATCTCAATCTTCAAACAAAACACAGCTTCCAAAGTAAACTGCTTGGTCATTAATATAGGTGAAGGTAACCACACTTATGACTTCTTAATGTCTAACTCGGTGAATTTTATATTTCAATAGCTGATTTTAATTTATATGGCAAACGTTGTTTTGCCATATAAATTAAAATCGCTATTAAAAAATAGGGGTTACTAGTAGAAGGGTGAAATTTAGACTGTATATATTTTTTTAATGACACGTAATAAAAAAAAAATAATAATAGAAAATCTAGAACAAAATGAAAAAAAGAAATGAGGTGAGCCATCCTTAAAACTCAAGGGCATGAAAATTAGTTATAAACCTATTCTGAGACCTACTGAATATATTATACATAAAAAATTTCATCAAAATCGGTTAAGCCGTTAAGGAGTATAAACACGAAAATTTTATATATTATATTTATTCAACAGGTCTTGATCCCGCCCGACCCTTAATCAACGAGTATGGTTCGAGTTTGTTCCGGTTGGGGAGAGATGATGCCCATGTTGTACAAGTCTTGCATACAAATGCTGGATTCTTGGGAGAGTCTGGTCAAGTGGGCCATGCTGACTTTTGCTTTAATGGCGGTAGATTGCAGCCTGGTTGTAAAGGACATTTGATGCGTAAGTTGTATGCTTATGAATAGTAAGGTAAATAGAAGGTTTATTCGATGTCCTTTATTGGACATGTTATATTTCATCAACAATATCATGAATTCCAACTTGCCCCAATAAGTTAATCAAAGCAATAATTATGTATTCAATGTAAAGGAGGACTAAATTGTAAATTTCGTTTTGAAGACATTTTGAGGGGTTTCTATATGTTCAAAACTGAAAGTTTTATATCTCATAAACAGAAAACACTTTCGAAAGCATCTTCAAACCAATAACTGACACGAAAAAATGTAAAAGTAAAGTTATATAAAATAAGTGCAATTATTAAGTATTATTATTATGTGTAGGAGTATTTTTAAATTGCACGTAAAAAGTCGAGCTAAATTCTCCCTAGGACAGATTAAAAATAGAACATTCCCAAATTAGCTCGAGTCTCGGAGTTGTACCGAACTGCGTGTGGTTCAATAGAGTGAATGCCAAGAGAAATTATACTAGAATATTAAACCAAAGTTGCCTGATACCACTAGACTATATTTTATAGAGAATAACAGTCAGTTACGATCTAATGAGACTCCACAGCAAATGCAACTATTGCAAGTATAATTGTGCTAATTATTTACATGGCTCTCTTATTTTCACTACTCGTCAGTAGTAGTCTTATAAACTTTATTCAAAGAAAGACTGTCTCATACGCGGAGTAATCATTTTCATGGATACCTATGTCATTTAACTATGCGTGTTCTGGTTTGAAGTGTAAAGTATGGTAAAGTTAATACTGAATTAGGTATACACTGTATTTTGCAATGACTGTGATGCTGTTCATGTTTTATTTATGAGACAGTTATCGTAGTAGATACGTTGTATCTACTTAGTTTGGTTGTCATATTATGTATTATCATAATCGAGTCCAGAGAATAGCTAAAATCTGTGTTAGTCTACAATTTTATGATGAGCATTGAAGTAATTTATTGTAGTTCTAATGAAGTTGCATCATTTAACAGGTATATCTCGGTGTAGTCATTTCAAGAGCTCCTGCTACTTCGCAGCGAGTGTTCGACGACGACTGCGTATGGTTGCGGTGCCATGTGATACCACTTGTCCGAAAGAAAACGGTCGTTGGGGTATCAGGTTTGATAAACGAGCCGTGCGATTAGGTGAAGATACACCTGAGTCGTGAGTAAATTTTTGATAATCCTTTACATTTTAAGATTTAAATTCTTTCAGCAACTTAAAGATATAGGAAGTTCTCAATTCGATTATATGTATTGATTACTATTCAGCGACTTTATATTCATATAAAATGTAAACTGACTACAATAAAATACATACAAAATTGTAAGTGAAGCTTACCACAATTAGCGCTTCTAGGATTAGTGTGCACAAACGCACATAAACATACAAAATTCCAACAATCAATCAATTACAGGTTTCCTCATATTCAATAATAGTTTTTCTTTTCATATATCTTTCATGTACAGACAGCGATAAGTACCATTTTTCATATACTTAAGTATATGTCGTGTAGGTGTCGAGATGTTTTCACTAAATGTGTAAGAATTTTGAATATATTAGTCTAATTCCATACCCATTGTCTTATGATAAAAACCCCCTATACTTTTATAAAATAATTTTATGCGTTCTTTGCTATATTGCTAGCATTTGTAGTTGAATTTACATTTTTGTTTCAGTTCCAGAGGCATGTACTGCATCAGCGTAGACCAAGAAGAGGATTGTCCTTTTGATTAATATGAATAAAATAGTAAAATAATTATTAGAAAATATAATATTATTTATTAAATGCATGGAATATGTTAGGTATAAATATTAAAATAAAATTGTGTCATTTATAATAGTTTATTATTTTTATAGCATGTTTTTGGAAGATATAAATTAGGGTTTAAATTTTTAACAGTAGATTCATCACAACAGAGGAATATACTCAGATTAAATGAAGTATCTACATAGAAAACAAAATATATATTTTATGACCATCATAATATACTTATTATTGTATGTGACAGTTACTTCCCATAATGCGGTACGTTTGTGAAAATTCCGAGGACAAAACGGTATTTATGAAACTATAAAATAGTGATACATACTTGAATATGAAACATTTTATGTATGATTTTTGATTTACTACTTCTATTATAAACTTCTTCAGCAAGTGAATGTCATATTTATAATTGCGTAAAGAAATTTAAACAACTTATAATTATAAATATTAAGAGTTTGTTGCATTTTTTGGGTAAAAATTCAAAACAAACACACCGCAGAATAAATTGCACTGGTTGTTATTAAACGCAGCTTTGAATGTTAAATTCCCGTATATAAAGGATCCTCCATAGTAGTTTTGCGCGGCTTTCTCAACATCCACTGTGAAATCATAGTGTCCCTGCAACAAATACTACATTAAAGACATAACAGTGTGGCCTAGTGATTCATTACCCTGGCTTACACTACAAAGTTCGTGAGTTCGAAATCAGGATGAGAAATAAAAAACTTTGTTTGCAAATGTATAGTTCTGATTGAATCTTCTGTGATGCATACGTCAATAATAAACAAAATTAACTTGAGAAAAAAAGAAAAGAGAAAAAGAGATAGGATTAATAACTGTCATGTTGGACAATTGAATACCAAGCGAACTGTGAGCAAAACCAGATCGTAAATAGTATCTGATTAGCCCTCTGAGATAACAGTCGTGAAGTTGCATTACTTATATTATTATCTGTTATTATTATAAGACGAATAAAATAATATGACATGTACTAATAATGCTTTATTTAAGGAAATGTGTTATTCAACATGTTAATATAATTCTCAATATACTGTCTTGAATCAGTGAAGAATAAAAGAATAAAATCGAGGGAACTATTGAATGACTTAAATCATCGTGGTTAATTGGCCATGAATGAACCACGATGATTTCTGGTTTAGGCTGGTTTAGAAGAACTACGTGGAAGTTTCCGAAGTAATTAATGTACAGAATAGTTGTAATGAGGCTAAGAATGAGCTCACATTAGCACGTTCAGATCCGAGCCTGTGCTGAGAATGCTATGCGATTGGAGCATCTCCAGCGAGGACGTTATCGTAGCGACAAACGCACAATTCAAACAGGCCGACGAATCTGAATCTGCTTATGTGAACCCACTATAAAAGTCCTTCTTATTAGAAAATTTCATTCAGAATGGGGTCATCGTTGTTTTCATGTAAAATTACTTAGATAACTACTTATATATTACTTTTATTTAGTACACATATTTTGACGGTTGTATGAAGTTTTATTACAATATTACAATTAACTATACCTTGAATATTTTAAGACTATTTATAAAAATCTGATATTCGTGTAGAGTTACTTACCTTCAAAATGATACAGTTGTTAGTAAAATTTAAAAACGTTTTAACCAAAGGTCCCACAAAAAGATGATCACACAGTCTATTCATCTGTAATCTAAATGATTCTTTACCATTCGTTGATACAAGAATTTTCCCCTAAAACACAAGTAAAAAACGTTAAGGAATAGAAATAGTCTGGGATATTCCATTTTGCCACGGACATAGGAGTCTATCCGAGTAGCACTGAATTCGTACACACTAGGCGATCTAAGAAACGATTTGTTCTCACTACACACAATTCCAATATTAGCAAATTTTAGTGTTGCGTGTTCGTTTAAAAAAAAATAATGGATATTAATGAGTCCAAAACATGTCTGTTTCAATTGGTATGTATGAAGTATCTATATTTTTACAAAAACTGTAGTGCGGTCATAATTCTGGTTAAACATATTTGGAAGAAACAAGCATTCGTCTAAAAACTATATGAATTAATGTTATAAATGTGAAACATTAGAGTTAGGTATTTATTATCTGAAATGATATAAATCTTCAAATCTTCAAATATTGCAGATTGATAATAACCATTCAGCTACTTATAAACTGCTATAGTAGTCACACAAAGAATATAATTGTACAAAAATGTCTTTATTTTTAGTTAATAGAATTCTACTTATCCGAAACGTATTTCTTCGGGAATTCGGGAAATTCAACACACTGATTTAATTAGAAGATTTTGTATATACAGTGCAGTTATTTATAATGTCAAAATTTCGCTGAATACTGGTCCCAAATTAAATTAACGATAAATAATCAGTGTATAATTATTTTTTATATTAAATTTAATGTCTTTCATATGTATATTAGTCTGTAAAGTATTTATAATATGATTAACTTAATTTCATACGGATATGTGACTTTATAGACAAAAAGCCAATGGAATTGCGATAGTTCAAATTCTGTATCCAACTTCTACTTACTTTTACAGATGGCATATTTTCAGTCATCTCTGCTTCAAACGTCATAACATTTTCGTTTTCTATACGATATTTCCATGTGCAACAATCCTTTATTTTGGGCCCTTTACATAATTCGAATTTAGTTACAGCTATACCAAATTTTCCCTGGGAATTATTAGGAAAGATAAATCTAATGGATTAATAATTCTAATTTTGTTTTATAAATAAAACCATACCAAAATATATTTTTGAAAATCTATCAAATATTAAAATAGTTTTACGCCTTGGCAGCAAACAGCTGTATCTGAAACATGACTATTTCTTATGTAATAAATGTCCGTTTGTTATTTTCTGGTCTGAAAAGCTTTTTCCACAGAACTATATTATATATAGGTTTTTATTTAGCACTATTTGTTATGGATTCATAACTAACCTTTATAAACGAAGTTTTAACCACAACCAAAATCATGTTCAATATTGCCGAAGTTTGTGTATAAAACTTACTTACCTAACTCTAGATTTAAGAATATCCTGATTAATTGAAAATAAACTTACGTAATTATTTGTTGGTGTCGATATAATATTAGTCATAAATATGAAGCCACAGAATATGACGACTTTATAATACATGATAGCTAGTTAAGTCTTTTGAAGGCGAAGAACATTTGAAAAATATAAAACCATTTAGATAACATTATGGTTTATAAAATTGGCCATTTTAAACGTCAAGGATCGTTGATCTGAATTATATACAATTATGTGTTTTAAATAATCGTTTAAATTCATTTGGCTCTACCTACTCCTGTCTACCTAATAATGATTACGCTTTAATATTTAAATTGATTTATGGAGGATGTAATATATGGTTAAATAATTTAAATATTTTATTCCATGATAAGTCCACATTTCGGTTATTAGTGTCTTACTAAAATATTACCCATATTTTAGTAAGATAGGAGGTTTATATCATAGGATTACAGCATTCACAAAATTGCGAATAGTTAACAATGTTAAAACTACCCTATCTGGTATTACAGAGGGGCATGAGGATATTTATTGTACTAAACCGACTGGCACCAAAGTTAATGATTTTGATTTCAAAGAGGTTGATCGAAGTCATTTTAGAGTGTACAAAAATATTGTTTTACGGCAATCATAACAGAATTTGTTACATATGCTTTAAAAATAATCTTTTAAGTTTTACATCAATTTTCTAAATGTATGGCTTATCTTTACATAGTATAAACAAAGTCGTCGCCGCTATCTGTTTGCTTATATCTTTTAAATTACGCAATGGATTTAAATGCAATTTTCAGCAATAGATAGTGTTTCAAGACGAAGGTTTATATGTATAATATATGTATGTTGTAGTATAAAATAAGCCGCGAAATTGATTGATTTGTAACGTATCTGTGCGAAGCCGAGACGGGTCGCTAGTAAGATTATAATTTGAAAATTAAAGTGTTTTATTGGACTGTGAACTACTTTACTCTCGATATATGTATGTAAACATATTTAAGTTCAAGGGAAAGTCTATACGAACCTTTTTGAAAAAAAGTAATGAAAACTCAGAGAGGAATTATCTTTTAGAGTTCCGTATTACTTATTATTGTCGGTTTGTCTGACCGTGACCGTATATACGTCCGTATTCGTTAGAAATGCATGGACCTATCGAGTTGTAATAAAAACAATATACATCTACAGTTCCTTGAAGTTGTAAAGCAATACAACTCTTAAGTTAATCCGTCATATTCGTGAACGAGTGCTGCTCTGCTCTAATCACTACGACTGATTTAATCTTATTGTGTATTTAATATTTTGATCCCAATAAATGAGTCGTAGTTGGTAGTTTGTATTCACACATTTCGACTTAAAAATGTAAAATTACAACGGTTATTTAAAAACGCAACTCTTTTTAATTTTCTTCCACGCAAATTTCTTGCTCTTATTCTTGTAGATAAAAAAAATGAACAACGACTATTAAAAAAAATACTTATGATAAGTTTATTTGAATAAAGGATTTTCTATTCTATGCTATTGTATAGAAATAATGCTGTATATGCCGTAAAAAACGAGACTCTCAAGGGATGCAACATTTATAAAGAAAGAACGGCAGACCAAATTTTGAATTGAGTTAACCGTGTCTTGAGGGATATCGTATGAAAGGGTTTCATTGGCACAATTTACAAATTGGTGCAAAACTTTCGATTGGCAAGTCTGACTCGAACTAATTAGGTTTTTTAAAAAAACTTTTGATTTTTAAGTTTTCAATATAGGGTAGTAAATGGGTCGGTATAAAAATCAATATACTAAGTGTGAAAGTTGTATAAAACTACGTATAGCTCATTAACAAAACTATATTGTATCATTGGATCTCATTTGCTTTTTTTTGGGTATAAATTCACAGAGATGAGGCCACAGGATAGATTGCAATCATTGTTGTTGAAAACCGATTTGAACGTTAAATTTCCATATATAAAGGACCCTCCGTAATAAGTCTGTGCGATATTTTCAATGTCCGCTGCGAATACATAGTATCCCTGAAATAAACACAAAAAAGTTTCTAATATTTTTTATGGATGATAATGGCATGCTGGACCCGCCCGCGCTAACGGTTTACGCGAGCGGGGCACCAGTGGAGGATGATTAGATGACCATGCGGTCAGGTCAGTTAACCCATCGTGACAAATTCACTAAGAATTTATCACAATAGTTTCCAGGGAGACCGCGTGGAGGTCAACTTGACTTGGTATATTGCTAGCAATAAGATCATAAGTTATACTACTAACAATCCCCTTTCCCCCATATGTACTGTCTCTGTTAGCCACGGGTTAATAAATAATACTGTTTTTCTGAACCATTCAATATATTTTGATGTTTTATCGGTATCATTTCAAGTATTTCTTTCGAAAGATCTTTTGGAAGAAATACTGATTCCATCACCACAAATTCCATCACATACTGATATAAAGCCACGATGAGTCGATAATTATACTATAACTAATTGTAGATGATTCATTGAGCTACAAAAGTTTTTTAACCATAAAGAAACAAAATAATATAGGCACTAAGTACTGTTTTTGAGTTTTGGTGTAATTAACGAATAGAATTTGATTCTTATACATACCTACATTATAATAATATATACATTTATTAGTCAACTATATAGCTGACTTGCGTGACTTTACCTGCGTCTTGGTTCCCTATTTTTGTTATATTTCTCATAACAGCTCTGCTTTGGGAATTTCAATATACCAAGAGGTTATAAAACATTACCTTTTTAAAATATTAGTATAAATATTCAAAAAAGGTAAAGTTTTATAATCCATTCGCTATTACATTTCACTTTTTTCGTCCTTTCACCAATTAATAATTGGAAAATTAAAAAATATTGAAAAAGCTGTAACTTTATATAAACTAATGTTACAGCTTTTTCAGTAATTTTTAACTTATACATATGTATTATGCAGAATTGTGTACCTTTTGAATGATGCAGTCTTGTGTTACATTAAAAAATGATTCCAGCAGAGGTCTCAGATAGAGGTGATCGCACAATTTATTTGACTGTAGCCGGAACATCACTTTACCATTGGACGACATTATAATTTTAACCTGAAATGTATATTTATGCCTATGACTAGTGAAACTCATAATGACGATGCAATGAGCTGCGATTTTCAGTATGATTTGTTTAAGAAAAGATAATAAAAAAGACAATTTAAGTATATATCCTTGAAAATACCTAATTATGTAGGAACTTAGTGCGTATAAGAATGCTAAATATGAATGTTAAGTAGCTAAAACGTACTCGATAAACTAATACGTTTTTTCTTGATAACAACTTAAAACTGCAGATAACACTTATTATTATAAAGTATTAATATTACATTATTTTTATAAAATGAGGTAAAAAGTTGTTTCAATATAAAACTTAACATTTTATTATATCTATTTTAAAAATAATACGACATACACCTAAATGTTACACGAAACTTTTGCTAACTTTGAAATTACCTAGTATTTTTTACCGAAACCCTTTTACTTAATTCATATATAAAAGTATTTAAAGGGCACATACATGTACTAAAGTTAAAATGTAGTAGATGTAGTAGACAGAGATTAATACCTAATAAATGTTTCCGGCATGAAATAACACATATTCTAGTGATTAATACTTACTTTTAGAGATGGTACATTTTGTGTTATATTTACTTCGAATGACAAGTAGGTTTCGTTTAATAAATCATATTTCCATATGCCACACTCTTTGCTCTTAGGGCCTTTACACATGGTAAATTTAGTTACCGCTATGCCGAATTTTCCCTAAAAATAAATTACATTGTACTGTACTGTATATTTGTACAAAATAATTTAATAAGTTAATAATATGATTAAATAGGTTACTGATTATTCTTCAAAATTATACTTGTATAAATACTATCATGCATTTGAGACAAACTCACATAATTATTTTCTTTTGTCGAAATATTGTTTATGATAAAAATTAATACACAAAAAATCGCAATTTTATGGATCATGGTTAAGAATGTACTTTAAATAAAATATAAAGCATATATAATTTTCCAATCGTTTCAAAATACTATCCTCATCTGTAATTTTAAAAAGGTCACGGGTCGTTACCCGAAAATAAATACCATCGTTTATTGTAAAATAATTGAGCGTATTAATTTAAATATTTATGTAAAATAGGAGGCAAGTCTCATGCAGAAGTATTCCAAATACAAAATACCTTATTAGAAATAAAATATCAAGCATTGTTGCATTAAAGTATCTAATATAATATATTATTTAATTAATGCACATAATACCTGTTACTCAAGATATTCTGAAATCATCGATCATCAATGTCAAATTTTCAATGTGCCTCTTTTAAATAACCTCCTCATGGCTGTAACAGATTAGTTTGTTAAATGTCAGTTTTTTATACCTAGTCTTTGTAAGCATAATTTTTGTCTATGATGTATCATAGCCTAATATTTTAATTATTATATAATGATATATATGTGTAAAGAAGTTAAAATTATAAAGAACGAGGTGTAAATGTAACAATTGTAAATGATTAAAAGATATATTAGCATTATATTAAAATTATTTAGCTTGGGAATGGTGATAGGCGCTGGTGGCCTTTGGGCGGGTGCCGGAGTGGAAACTAGATCGAAATACAGGGACGAGCAGACATTAGTTGGAGGAGCAATATGGAGCCAAACCATTATACCGATTGGACTAATGATATCTAAAATAGTCAACGAGAAACTGGATAAGTTCGTGCAAACTTACTTTCTGATATCAGGGGTAATTCTTTTAGCATCAACAGGAATATTCCTAGTAAGTAAAAAAACTGATTAAAATAAAACTGTTTATCTATCTGCTTTTTAATATAAATATAGTAATTTTGTGTCCCTAGGTATGCATGACCGTTATTATGCTGCAAAACAAATATAAGTATGTTTTTGTGTTGTATGCAAATGATTTTTTTACATACATGTATCGTGTAATACTTGTATGTATGTGAGATACCTCTAAACCATTCATATGGTTATATATAATATAATGATCATAATATTTACCTATAGATATAGATAAATATTATGATCAATAAATGTTTATCCTTGCATAGATATCTGATATCGATGACGGCTTCGATGGTTTAGCACACCGCTTTACTTCCGATGGTCACGGGTTCGATTCCTCGCACGGTACCAACATTTGTATTCATTGCTAGTATTACCAATATTACATTATAAATATTGTAAACATAATTTTGGAGATCGTAATAAAAATCTGTATATTATACATACTTACAAAGACAGATATGTATCCATATTCATAAATCGACAATTATGTAATAGTTAACACCCAATCCTTTCTCAGGAATGTATGAGTTCTATGGATAACCATAAGGAATAGTGAAAAATGTATAAAATATCTGTAATTGTTTTAGGTTGTTGGTGAATATAAAATAATGAATAGACGTGTACAAAGAGAAAGAGACATATCGATAACACGGCTGCGAGTTCCTGAAACATATGACAAAATATATCTCAGCATTGGCATTTTATGTTTATTAGCTGGGCTGGTCACATTAGTAGATCTTTTAGTTCTTATGTTTTATTAAGACAAATAAATTATTTTCAGTTATAGTTTTTTTGCTGAAAATAAATTGGACATTATGTATATGTACACAATTAATATGAATGAAACACTATGAAAATATTTATGTTCTCGAAAAATAAAGAAAAAGTTCCAAAATAAGATCATCCTCCGATATTATTTTGTTGTTATAATAAATATAATAGAAATATACTCGTAGTGTAAACATTTTTTTTTATAAACAAAAGCTAAGAAGTGTGTAAAAGTAAGAAGAAGAATAAGAAGAGTAGTCTAAGAAGTATATAATAGTACATGGAATCAAATAAAAATTAACCACATCATTTTAAATATTTAAATATTAAACAAATCGTCTTCCTCTATTTATTAAGTCATTCTAAAAACAGAGTAATACACTATCCATATATTTTAAAAATGAGTAATAATAGACATAATTAATAGTAAACATTTGCAACATAGTACGAGGTTTACATTAATGTTATTATAATAGCAATTACAATGATTTATCGTTTGACAGTAATGAACTAAGTTCAATACGAGATTACAATTACTTGATTCATTGAGAAAAGTATACCTGTGAAGCACATAGTATGCGTCGAGTGGCCTGAAATAAATAAAAAATTAAAAAAAAAAAATGGTCTGCATTCACTTAGGTTCAGTTAGTTAGACAATAGTGTAGTTTTTGTACGATAAAAATTACTGAGGTAGGTTTAGTCCAAAGGCAGTGGTGTAACTAGTATCTCTGTCTCATCATTACATAGTATAAAACAAAGTCACAGTCGCTAAATGTCCGCCCCTATGTATGCTTAAATTTTTAAAACTACGTAAAGGATTTTGAAGCTGTTTTTTTTAATAGACGGAGTGATTCAATAGGATATTATATGTACACCCGTGCCGGGGTACCCACCCCGGCTTCGCTAGCAAGTATATAAGATTTCAGCCACCAAGCAGTTTGAACCACGGGCCTTACATGATGAAAAAATGTCCACAGTACCTATAGTTAATACTGAGAAGCTATAGTTGTCATTTACTATTGAACTGAATATGTTAAATTACAATATGATATAAATAAAAGAAGAGAATGTAGTTGGCATGTAGGTACATGCCAACTATGTACATATTTAGATGAATTTATAGATGATAGCAATATATAGCAAGAATAAGTTTATTTGCGGATAACGTTATAATTTAAATTTTCATACTGCTTTCTTGATATGTGATAGCGTAGCGGCTTTTGTATTGATTGCCGCATACATCCTTATGTAAAGTGCGAATACTGTAACTACCATATAGTAATTTTTGTAGCTGTGACGTGGTCGTGTGGAATGAGTAGTCATGCTCACTAAAATGTCCAGACATGTGGCGGCATGGTGGGCCGGGTCAATGGGCTCCCTAAAATATGGTCGAGCGCAGTGATGGCTGGCTCATCCGTCATACTCGTGAAAGAGTGCTGCTTGTAGGGACTGGTCTGCTCTTATCACTACGACTGATTTAATCTTATTGCATGATTATATTTGACCCAAAAATTAGTGCTTGTTGGTAGTTTGTATTCACACGTTTCGACTTGTAAATGTAAACTTACAAGGATTATTTAAAAGAGCAACACACAAGTTTCTTTATCGTTCTTCTTGTGATGAGACAGCTTTCCGAACGAGTGGTAGATAAAAAACAAATTGTTATGACTATTCAAAAGTGCTTAAATTAAGTTTATTTGAATAAATGATTTTCTATTCTATTCTATTCTTTAATATTACTGAGAACTCTACATACTATGTCATACTCCTGAACGAGTGCTGCTTGTAGGGACTGGTCTGCTCTTATCACTACGATTGATTTAATCTTATTGTGTATTTATATATCCTAATAAATAACTGCTAGTTGGTAGTTTGTATTCACATGTTTCGACTTATAAATATTAACATAAAACAATTATTTAAAAGTGCAACACGTAAGAGTCTTGCTCATTCTTGTGATGAGACAGCTTTCCGAATGAGCGGTAGATTAAAAAAATTGTGATGACTATTCAAAAGTGCTTAAATTAAGTTTATTTGAATAAAGGATTTTCTATTCTATTGGCAGTGTATCTGTTTCATATTTTTTCTGATATACTTTGTCATCTCAAAATTAATTGATGATAATAATTATGTTATGTCGTTATAAAAATGTTTGTACAACATTCGATCATGCCTGTCCGACTGCAAGTAAGGAGTAAGACTCATGGATAGATTTCTCAGTATATGTATTATTGGATAGTTATCTATATTATTTTGGAATAAAGCCTATGTCCGAGATACAATATATTGTATATACTTATACGTTTAACCTTAAGATTTTGCAGTAACTGTTTAGTCGTTTAGTAGTGAAAACTTTATAAACAGGCAGACCTTTGCAGTTGTATTAAGAATGTAAAACTCTATTTTGCATTCAATTAAATTAAATGTACCTATTTTAAAACTGTGATACAAATATTGAAATAAAACAGTCTGCAATATTTGTAGTCTGTAACATTTTATATATAGATAATATTTTATTGTATTTAAATAGTATAATGTACCTCCATAATACTGCATTGTGATGATCGGAACTATATTTAGAAGTCCAGGACAATACCGAGAAAGATATGCGTGAAATATGAAAGATTATTACGTATTTAGAATGAAGGTATAAATAATAATTGTTTGTGCATTTATTGTGCTCAATGTAATATACATTTTATTTTCTTATTAATAAATACAATCAAGTACACTCAATAGTCGTATGCAGTGTATTAAATGTTGATTATACGATGTATTTTTTTAATTGTACCTTTATAATCGGCATGGGTAGTCTAACGGTTTACCATGTTTTACTTTCGATGGTTGCAGGTTCGAGTCCTCGCATGGTACAAACATTTGTATTTATGAGTATGATTGTGTGTATGATTCTGGGTGTTTTCTATGTATATTATGGATGTATTTATAAAAAAAAATCGTAAGTATTTATATCAGTTGTCTAGTACCCATAACACAAGCTCTGCTTACTGTGCGATTAGATGGCGTTGTGTTAATTGTCCTTGGTTATTTATTTATTTATTATAATCACGTTCTAATTTTTATATTTACAGGTAAATTTATAAAGCAAGTAGGAAAAACTAAAAGAGACACTAGTAATTAATTATTCTCTAATTTGCAAATAGTGAGCAATTGAGTACTATGCTTAATTTTGAATTTCGGTATACATCATTTCATTGTAGTAGGTGTACTTTGTTTTAGTATTGTGAATAATGATGATCGCGTAAGAGTCGTACTTCTAATATATGTATATAATATAAAATGCCTCTTGGATTGTAAGTAAATTTGTTAATTATTTGCACATATATGAATAAATTATTTCTGATTTCCTTTGCTGTGTTACAATTAACAATTAAAAAATGAGTTACCATTTCTACCAATTATAAGTTACCCCTGGTTACAGACTTACATAGATAATGGTAACCGTTTACCATAAGATTGTCCGAATGTTTGCTTACCATCACCAAAGGTATAAATAAAAAATCTCGTATTTTGTCATAACTGAAAGTAGTTATGACAAAATAAACCACCGACGGGATGTTTGCATTATATATACTAAACATATGTTTATATCTGGGATTAATTTGGATTACATTGTTTACAGCGTACTTATTACTGGATTATTGGCTTTTGGTGCTTATTGGACGACGAAGTATCTAATGAATATGCCTGAAGCTACGACACTTGCGTCTAATACGACCCCAACCACAATCACGCTAAAACTTTAGTAATAATGACATATGTATAGGTTACCTAGTTTTTTTATGAATGAATACGTAATGAACAATAAATATAATGAACCCTAGTATATACCCGCTAGGGGTACAAATGGAGGATTTTATAAGAACTCAACAGGAATTAACTATGATAGTTTCATGGGACCACATGAATGTCGACATGACAGTACATTCTAGTATTTGAGTCAAAAATCAGAATTACGAATATTCCTGTCCCCTATAGTTCACCCAGTAGGTATACAACTTAAATTCACAATACAATATTCAAGTTTGTTTAATTCATTATTTTGTAGTCGTACAGATTGGTTTTATAAAATTGTTGTAGCAAATGTATTATTCGAGATTGAGGAAATTATTTGTAATTTAGTAAACACTAATTTTTATTTTGTTATTCTACAATGTGTAGTCATTTTATTTAGGTGTGTGTCATTTATTTTATATTGTGTTTTCAGGTATTATATATTTTTTATTTTATTTCGGATGGACATTAAAAAGTGTGTAATTGAGTTTTGATGAAATTATTGCAATGAAAAGGATTTATACAGTGCAATTATATTTAATCACTCAATAGTCTCACGGAAAATCTATCTGTTTACCCTTCCAATGCAATAATTTGTTGAATCAACAAAGGTCATTGTTCTCTTTGATATACACCTAAAGTTAATTAAGGCAGTGTTATACTGGCAATAAAAGATATAATGTACTAATATATCTAAAGAAATATGTACCTAAATATATAAGTCTACCATTTAGGAACTCTCGATTTGCATGACATCGCAAAAGTTAGTAACAAATTTTTGTCAAAGTGGGACGCATAGAAAAAAAACATCCAAATAAAATAAAAAATATTAATAATCTTTAAAAAGACTTCTTCAAAATGTTGTTATATGCTTGTTTTTTTACCTCGATGTGTCTCACTTCTTTCTCTTCTTTATTTCTGTTTTACTTACATACAGACACTTAGCAAAATCAAACAAAAGAGTTCGAACCGTTGTCATTCGGTAGAGTATAACAGTTATGAAATAAAACTTTTTAATTTACGTACATAATTATGCATGTAGGTGAGGATGATGGTCTTTTCGCGCTTGCGTTGAAGGATGAGGATAAGGTAGTAAAATTACAAGCTAGGATTATAAGCAGAGGCATAATATCTTAATTTTCTGTAATGCAACGTTTAAGAGGTTCCACGTGCCATTGACAACTACCATCAGCAGGCCCAGGCCCAGCTGCTTGTTTACCAATCTAGTTAAACAATATATGTATATATATAACTTTTTAATTAATATCAAGTATGACTTAAAGTCA